AAACTTCGTCTTAACTTAATTCCCTCCAAGTCGATAATTGTGAATTATAAAGCTCACCGTTAGAAATTCTACGCGGGACTTTGTGACTTTGCCCTCGTTATTTATGCACGGGAACAATTTTCCGCTTCATCGTCAAGTCAAACGACGCGTTTAAGTTAGATCGTAAAAGACTGAAGCAGTCGTTAAATTAATCAACCACGGTCTTGTTGTTCTTTTTAATACGATAACAAGAATGATTGTTTACGATTGGTCAATTTTCTCACAAACGTCCCATCAACATTTTTACGTTTATTTTATTTATATTATATATTTATCTTATACTTTTATATTTATATTTTTTATTTCGTTTTATTACTACTCGAGTCTTCTCGGTGATTACGCTTTTCTGTGTAAGCTTCTCGCTGCTTTCGCCTACAAAGTGAGACAAAGTTCGCACTCTGTCCGTGCGACGACGTCTGTCAAGGATGAGAGAAACGAGTCTATCACGTGCGAAAACTTAGACTCGCCTCGCAAATAGTAAGCATCGGTTCTGGCTTTTCCTGCCTCGCGGGCTGCCTCGTGGACGAGCCTAGGTAAAGCGGAACGACGAGGCCCGCGATGGGAAACGGAAAAGCCGGCTACGGGGTAAATCGATACGAAGCAGGCAGAGCAGCATCCGAGGCTGACGCTTCGGCCCTTCGCTTCGCCTCTACCGCTCTGTTTTTCCCCCTCTTGGCGATCCACCCTTTTCTGTCTCACCCCTTGTTTCATCTCTCTCTCTCTCTCTCTCCCTCTCTCTCTCTCTCTCTCTCTCTCTCTCTCTCTCTCTCTCTCTCTCTCTCTCTCTCTCTTTCTTTCTCCCCCGCTCTTGCCTCCCCCTCCTGCTCGGATTCCCTTGGCCACATTTATGGTCGATCCACTTCACACCGAGAGCAAGAGAGCTAGATTTCATTGAAATTCACTGACTCTCGGCAGCAAGCTTTTCGTTCTTGTCCTGACGGGCGGAAGCGATAGCAGCGAAAAATGAGATTTAATTATCATCGACTCATGGCATCGGCATGGGGAAAAGGATCGATCGAGAATCTACGCGACGATGAACGAACCAAACGCCTTTTGGCAGAGGGAAACATTTCCCGACTCCTGGAGACGATTCCTTCGTCTGCCGCGGCCGCGGTCAGAGCTTTCTTAATTTTCGCGAGCAAAACACGTTTGGCTCGTTGGTTCACTGCCGCGTTGGTTCAACCGATTTCCCCTCACCGTGTACAATAGCGCTTATTATGACGATCTATCTGGCTGATAATTATTTCACCATGCAACTGTGTGCGCGTCATCACAGACACACACCGAACACTTTGCTCTCTCCCTATCAGCGTTCGCCGCGACCGATTTCGAGTCGCCTTCGCTCGCGCGAAATATACAGCGAGCGTTACACTTCGCGAAGTACAAGCTTCGCTTTCGCTTTGATCGGCGATCCCGGTAGAAATATTTCGCAGGACTCCCACACGTCCCGCCGCCGCTGACACGTTGATGTCGTGCACGTGACAACGCTCGCCAGGATGTATTTGAAACTTGTCCTTGCGCGCGTCATGCCGCATAGTGCCGCATAGTGCGAAACGAAGCGAAATATAACGGGGTGGTGCGCGACGCGGACGGTGTCCTGTCCGCGGCACCATGTGAAAACACTGCCATTACCATGAGATATATCCCTGCCGTGCGCTCCAGGACGATACACGCGGCCGGCCGTCCGCTAAAAAGAGAGCAACCACAGTGCTGGAATAGATAATAAATGAAGCGAGGTTCTTCTGCTTCCTGTAGTGGTAGATCCTCGGCATCGATTTCCGCGTCGTCGCGCCACCCTTCCTCGGCGCCCCCCCAATTCTTCCCACATTGTTAATAACATCGCGATAATAAATTCGCTTGTTATTAGGGTGCTGGGAAATTTGCCAAGTCCATGAGAACGGCGGAATAATGAAACTCGCTTTCTCTCTCTCTCTCTCTCTCTCTCTCTCTCTCTCTCTCTCTTTCGCTCTTTCTCTCTTGTTATGCTATTACAATGATCAAGACTGATCGACGCGATTAATCCTCATCACATGCACCACCGAGATCGTAAGCATGCTTTTTTCTCTCTACCAATAAGGTAAACGTTCCCGACCACTTTGAAAAAAGAAATATTTACTATTTATTTCAACGATAATGAATGAAAGTAATAATTATCATGAAAAAGGCTCCAATATCTGACGATTAGTTGGAGAAAAAATATACTTTGATGATAAATACCAATTGATATACTTTGAAATAAATACCGTTTCGATACTTTTGTGTTAAAGCAAAAGTTATTAAATAAGTATGCACCTACGGTTTGGCCAAATCAACGGTTAATAAATTCATTAAGAGATAGTAGATCTATATTTATATTATTTCCCGTTAGCGCATACTGATTTTCTAATTGCGGTCAGACACTCTCTGACAATTCATGGCAAATATGTCCGGACATTGGGCCATAACCTATTTCAATTGTCCGCTCACACTGGTAGATTAATGCGTTTTATTGTTTATGTAAATATTTCATCGATAATAGATATGTACATTGGTTTAAGTCATTTTTCTCTACTTGAGGGAATCTTAAGTTTTCGAATGCAAATTATATTTATATCAAAACTTCTTAATATTATATTTATATCAAAACTTCTTAATATTATACATTGTGTTTTTTTGTGACGACCTACGCTTAAGGGGACTCAGAAGAGGGTCAGATTGCTGAAAAATCGTACTTGTTTTTGACAATAGTTTGTGACGAACTGAATAAATGTGCAAGAATGAAAATTAGGTATAGCTATACAACATATGAAGAGTAGAAAAATTTTTGTTAACTGTTTATTAACAAATATTCGTATAAATATAGCTGATATATGTAGCTGAGATATGCTCTCCTTTTTTTTTTCAAGTTATCGTTTTTGCAGTAATATCTCGGCTCTCGGTGGTCCGATCAGAGCGAATTTTAGCTAGAAATCTTGAGGAGGCTTATCATTATCCGGTGAACCACTAGAAACAAAAATCAAACAAAATTAACGAAATGGCAGCTATTATTAGGAAAACATTCAAAATTTGTCAGTTCTTTTACAATAAAAAAATTAATATCTCGAAATGAAATATTTCAGCGGAGTTGTCCATGATTCACCTGACAAGCACATGAACAAATATTATTGAAATTTTTTAAATTTCAAGTCGATACGAAGCTCAGTTTCGGAGAAATCACTGGAAAAAGCTGAACAATCTCAAATCTCGAGAAAAACACGTTTAAAATTCAAGTGGACGTATATTTTTATGAGTATTTGTTTAAAAACAAAATTTTTCTACTCTTCATATGTTATATAAATATATGTAAAATATGCAAAATATGTAAAATTTTTATTCTTGCACATTTATACAGTTCGTCGCAAAATATTATGAAAAACAAGCACGATTTTTCAGCAATCTGAGACCTCCAGAGAGAGTCCCTTTAAGCGTCTAGTTACTGGGACCTTATGATATTCCGGTGAATTTCTCCCCTCGTGCTTTCCGACCTCCGCCGAAAAACACGCCGGCACGAAGATCGCTCGGCCGGTGGTCGCTAAAGGGTGCTTCCGGTTGATGTAACCGTTTGAAAGCTCTCGATGCAGTCCGATGCGGTCGTGCCTGTCGCAGCGTATACCGAAAGTCCTATCTGGTGACGCGCAGTGGGGCTTTATACGAAGTGCGACAAAAGGCCGCCCGCCGCGGCGCTAAAGTTCGAATGCGCCAACTGTCGTGTTCACAAAAGGTTCCGCCTTTGTGCGCGCGGCGGCTCGCGTGCGGCGCTGATGTAATTGAAAGCGTGCCGCGATTATTAATGCCGCCGACGAGAGCTTTCGATATGCCATTATCATGGCATAATAGGCGCCGATAAGTACGCAAGTAAAGTTACGCAATTAATAGCCGAGGTCTTTGCACGCGCGACAGCAACAGAGTAACCTGCAGTCTCGTCCGGCGCGGCGGCTCGGGGCACGTTTCGTAATCGTGCACTCTTGCCGAATGAGTCGGTGAAATTCAGGCTTCAGCCTGAATCAATAAATGAAGTATTCCACGCGATAATTAGCGAATACCCGTTGGTTCTCAGCGGAAAATACGTATTCATGGAATATATTTCCTTAGATCCGGGTCATATCTCTTATTTAAGGGAGAGTCAGATTGCTGAAAAGTCGTGCTTGTTTTTGATGAACATTTTGTGACGAACTGAATATTGTATTTGTTAATAAACAAAATTTTATTTGTATTTGGTTAATAACTTTTTGTTAATTAAACAAAGTGTTTTTCTACTCTTCATATGTTGTATAGCTATACCTAATTTTCATTCTTGCACATTTATTCAGTTCGTCACGAAATATTATCAAAAACAAGCACAATTTTTCAGTAATCTGACCCTCCAGTCCCCTTAATTAGGGAATAAAGAATTGTTCTCGTATTTTCTGATTTGAAAATAAATTTTTCTCAACTTAAAAATATATATCTCCCTCTGCAAATTAATACAAGTAAATATGTTGTTAACACCCGCTGTGAGAATATTGCTTCTCTTTCTCCGATTTTCTCCTTTCTCAGGGTGCTTCTTCGCGCTTTTTATTCTATTCTCGGGCTGAAATCAAATCGCGAATCGCGACTTACTCCCGGAAATTTGTGATGCTTAGAGCCGCCGGTTGTTTCAATCTCTCTTGGTAAGTTAACTGATCGAGTTCAATCGTATGTTTACCTTTGTTTTTCCTTCAATTTAAACAAAGACAGACAGATATGATTTAACTATCAGTTAACTTACCAAGAAGTTGGAACACAACCAGCCCTTGACGTATCCTTCCCTTAGGAGGAATTCGGAGAACGGGGAACGAACGCTGCGCCGTGTCCGGACTCCGGGAATATTCTCGTCGTGGCGTCATTTATCGTCGGGAACTAGGTTTCACCTTTATTCAGCTCGCACGCCGCCTTTAAAGAGGGACTTTGTTGGCGGGTTACAGGCTGACGGTGCTGGGCGTTCTGCTGGGGATTCTCGAGTGGGATCGTAGCATCCCCTGCATTCTACTCCTATGGGACTACGTGATCGGCTACGAGGCCCTCTTCATGGCCTGCTTAGTGGTGGAGTTCTCCATCTGCTTCCTGGCGACGAGGGGCAGCATCCTGGACACTGCGGCCAGGGCACCGATGCAGCACATCCTTTATATCCGGTTGTGTGAGTACCCAACGCGCTCGTTTTAGCTTACCAATGGCGGACTGACAAGTTCGACCAGCGATGGTGCAGACTCGTTTCTTTTTAGCTGATGCAGTGTTGCTTCCCTGGCGCTTCGTTCCTTCTCTCCTCAACGTTAGATTACATGCATATTTTGTTTTGCTCCAGCACCAAGAAATATACAACTTACCTCAGCTCAAGAGGACACTTTTAAGTACCTGACCTGATTCAACTAAATAGAGGCAGAGCAAGGTTTCTTGGTTATTACGCCTTCTTTTAAATTTCATTGCGGTCCAACCACGAGAGAGCGAGGTATATGTCGCGAGAAGACAAACAATCTTTTCCACGTTCGAAGTAAGAAATTCCTCTTCCCGCGCTAATAACAAATGTCAAAGAGCAGCGCTTCGGTTAGCGGGTTAGTCCCGTGCGCGGCGCGTGTAGGTTGTCGCAGGGATTGAGGTGAGTTGCGACGATGGTCGCTTACTTCATGGATTTCCAGGATAGAGGAAAGCGGTCCGACGGAAAAGTGTTTCGCGGAAGGATGAAAACTTTGCGAAAGTACTCTCGAGCGCTCGCTCGCGTATATGGTGTGGGTGTTTCACGCGGTATCTTTGATCCCCCCCCTCCCCCGCGTCTGCGCCGGAGCCGGTCTGTGTCGCCGATGTTAATTCTCTGTCGGCAATGTTATTAAATTTCCAAAGGCCCCCTCTGCCCGGATGAATACTGAGAGCCGGTGAAACGATCCGATGACAGTGACAATATTTGTCGCGCTGCGAGCGCGCGCCGTCGGTGATATTTTTCCTCCCTTTCTTCGCTCATATATTTCGCTATTATATATATTTATTATATATATTTATTATATATATTTCTCGCTATTAGTTCCTTTTTGCCTCGTTTTCGCCTCATTTTCACGGGCGACTCGCTGCGAGCGCCTTCCTTCCTTCTTCTCTTCTCTTCTTCTCTTCTCCTTGGGCTCTCTCTCTCTCTCTCTCTCTCTCTCTCTCTCTCTCTCTCTCTCTCTCTCTCTCTCTCTTTCTCTCTCTCTCTCTCTGCTCTTTTGGCGTCTCCTCTTCTTGCCTTCTCGTGCGTTCTCGTTTCACCGCGCAGCAAAATTCAGTTCGTCTTAGCTCGTCACAGTTCGTGTATTAAGAGGACACGCCGCGTGTCCTCATTTTTATTTAAATCTTCTCATCTCTGGGCCAACCCGCTAACGCGATTTATCCTCCACGTCTACGAGAGTGTCGTTAAATTACACGGAGTGCGCGCGCGAAATGAATTTGCAATTTGACTGTAGCTTAACGTCGGCCGATGTAAATAAAGTCGCGATATTAAGCTTCCGTGATTCAATTTACCGGCCAATTATTTTGCCGCGTGCACCCGCTACGATCGGCCTGTATAATTCCTTCACGGGCGTTTAAATCAATACTGGGGAACAGGTAGGGGGGGGGGAGAAAGAGAGAAAGAGAGATTTAACGGAAGCTGGATTGTATCTTTTGCGGTAGAAACCTCAAAGAAAAGTCAAAAATGCAGGAAGATCGAATCGACCAAGAACGTACCGGCGAATCGAGCGAGATCCCGTCGAAGGAAGATCGATCGCGTCTTCGTCTTTAAAGAGTTTCTCGTGGAAACTCGATGCGTCGTTTGTCCCGCATAGAAAGTTCTCGGGATTTTTCCAAACTCATCAGATTCCGGATTACTTTCAAAATTGCATTTCCTATGACGATACAAATTGGAAATCCTACTCTAGCCTCGAACACGGGTTCCCTCTCTGTTCAGATTCGAAGCAGAGACGACTCTGGAAAGCTTGCGCTTTGTTTTTCAGCCGGTATACTTTGATGGCACAAAATGGAGGATTTCTATTTTCGTACAACTGCTGTGCACAATAGGAAAAAAAAAATGAAAAAATGAAATATGAAATTTTAACGTACAATAAAGAGCGTAAGAAATCTCGAGGAGACTTGCTTTTCCACTTCGTTGGAATCGCGCATTTGAGATACTCCAACCCGAGTAGAAAATTTAATAGGGCTCTGGTAAGATTACTTTTCTCTAACATTAATTGGGCCCTAGTAGAAAGATAAGGGCCCTACTAAGATGTGTAATAAATGGCCCAACAATTCATAAATGGGTGCTTATAAGACAATATTACAAGGACCTTATTAAGGCAATATCAACAGAGTCTTATAAGGCAATATTTTTATTATTGCTTGAGTAAAAATATTCGTTCTTTTCGTTCCAAGAAATGTAGACTACAATTTCTTTATTTCTTTATAACTTTGTTAATATACAAGAATTTTTTTAGTTTAAAAATGTAGCATACTTTACAATAAAATATAACATTCTTTACACATAAAAATCCTGCTGCTTTATTAAAGTTTTGCCGAATTTCAAAATGAAGGCAATATTAGAAGAATCCTTGGGAGAAACTAATGAATGTGGCAATTAATAAAACTAACATAATTCGTTTTTAATCGCGGCATAATTAAAAAATCTTTAAAAGAACCAGATAGAGCGTACTTACTAGAACAATATTAAACTATGACAATTTTATTACATGCTTTATATCTTATTAATTTTCTATAACAAAACTTGATTTTTTATATCTAAAGTCTAAAGCATCCTTCTAAGGCCCACATTAAGGGGCCGTTTCCATGTTAAGGCGTTATTAAAATTTAAGGCATCCCTAAAAAATCCTTCCAAGACCCTCATCAGTTTTCCTTATTAAAGCCTTATTTCGTAAAATCCAAAGTATCCCTAAAAGATTCACCTTGAGGCTTGATGTGGTAATAATGAGATATCCCTTTTTAGAGCATCCTACTTTCGGGGTCTTATCGGGGCCTCACGCTTCATGAGGATGGCCCTAACAATTTTTCCGCTCACGGGAACACGTCGAGACATCCCAACTTGAATCTGCACAAATTTCGGGAAATCGGATCCCGGGAGATGTTCGGTGCGAACAGAACACGCATCTGTTTAATCCTCCGCCTCTATCCGAGAATGCTTCGTGAACCGGAGCGTTTATTGTCAGCATTGTCGCAAGTGGGTCGACCGGGTTTGTCTCTCGCCGCCGTCTCCGGTCGCCGCGCGTTTCCGCCCCGGAAGGCAACGAACACGAGCGTGAGCTTTTGTGAGCTCCGCGCGCGGCCGAAGAAAGCGTCGTCGATAGCTTCGATTTTTTTATGCGACACGAGCGTGATGTGACGTCAGTGGGCGCGAGAGAGATTGGCGTGCGCTTCCTCGTTATTGTAAGAAGGCCCGTGCGTACACTCGGCATTCTTCGCGCACCGGAAGACGCGCGTCGTCGGGGACGCCGATGGCAACGGCCGATAAAACGGGCACTTTTAATCCCGGCGAATTCGATCGCGAGCAGAGATCGACTCGCGTCACGTGCTCTGTCATTTCTCAACGTGGCGTCCCGCCGCGGTCTCTTTCCATTTTTTCTCGTTAGTCGTTAGGAGGGAGAATTCTATTTTTCTTCAGTCGGACGCTGAGGTGGAAATTGACAGGCAGATAAAGCAGACAGGCAGGCAGGCTGACAGGCTGGCAGCTTACGACTTGATCTCGATTTGTGTTTCATGCTTTCAGTCCTGCTTCTGGTAGAATGCGGATGGTTGGGCGCCGGTCTCACGTGGTTAACGTATTATTATCATATCTGTCCAGTGGACCAAGCTAAGGACGTTATGTTGGGTGAGTTCTTTCTTCACATTGATTGTGTATCATAAGGTGGAACGGAGTGGCAGCGAACGGCACTCCGGCAGTTTTGCTGCGTGAATTTCGGATGGACTTGTAAGGTCTTGGCAGATTTTAATCCTCAGATATGAAAATTGAAGAAAAAGTATTTTTTATTTTAATTACTTAAAAAATTACTTAAGGAATTTAAATTAAGAAATTATCTTTTATTTTTATTACTTATTAAAGTAATAAACAATAAATAATGAATAAGTCTGCGTATACTTTAATATCTGATATGATCCACGCAAGAGTGTTGGCTTCAACTGATCTTCCCATTATATCCCAGAGGACTTAACCCTTTAACGCCCGACTTTCTTATAAGTGTTTTAAAAATAAAATTTGAGTTTTTTGAACTGAGACTATAAGTAGTGATAACCAAACAAAATATCAGAATTTTATATCTACGAAAAACTATCTTTCCAAGCAGAAATTACTCCCAGAAGCGAAACATACGCCTGATCGGTTAAATTTTTTTTTTTAGTCTTAATATTATTATTATTTATTTATTATACTTCAGCTATATCGCCAGGAAGCGAACTTGGTTTACAATTAGTTGCTTATCCTGCACATACTCATCTTTCCATCCTTTTCTCCACTCATACCCTTAACCTGTCTACCTAGTCTTAATCTTAATTTATTTTTTCACAAATTATCACAAATTATCACATATCTTCTCCTGTCACAGTATTTCTTTATTTTTATCTTATTTTTACCTTCTTTCAACTTCTTTTCTTTTTCTCTCCATAATTTCTTTAATATTTCCTCTTTCTTCTTATCTAACTCGTCGTGCCATATTCTTTTTAACCTATTTTCCTCATTCTTTCCTAATTCTACAAACCATCCCTTAATCTCCCTACACTCTCTGATATAATATTCCACTGTATTCCATCCTTTTATACAAAACACACATTTTCTGTATTCCTCTTTCAGCAAATATTTGTTTTCTTCCTCTGTGTTACCACATCTTAATCTGGCTAAGGCTTTTACTCCTTCCTTGTTACCTATCCTACTCAAATTATCCTTTAACAAATACCTAACATTCCCCTCCATAACCATTATATCCTTTCTGTTATATTTCGCCTCTTTTATATTTCCTTCCTTTTTTTATTTTTAATAATATCTTATAGATCATCATTTAGATAGTTAATCGTCCCTTCATTTTTCGCCACATAAAAAACTGTAAGTCAGGTTTCACGAAAATAGCTTGATTATTTGGTTTTTGGTGTCCACCATATTGGATCCGCCATGTTGAATTTCTGTATTCTCTTAATTTCACATTTTGCATCTGAGAAAGCTTCCAAATCATCCGTATCAAATTATAACAGATACCAATCATTTATAGTGCACTTCTAGATGTCAGTAACAATGCTAACTTGGATGCCTACTTGGAATTTGACAAAACATGTGTTGTCATTAAAACTGAGCTAAAAACAGACTAAACCGAATCTACATGCAATCTATATACCATCCTTTAGAAGAAGAATTCACCTTTACCTTTAGTGGTGCAAAGAAAACGAAAATATCTCCTTTTTTGACTAAGTTATGGATTCTTAAATCCGCGTTTCTGGTAGCTATAGTTACCGGCAGGCGTTAAAGGGTTAATTGGGTTGTCCGAGAGAGAGAGAGAGAGAGAGAGAGAGAGAGAGAGAGAGAGAGAGAGAGAGAGAGAGAGAGAGAGAGAGAGAGAGAGGAGGGGAGAGGGAGAGAGAGAGAGAGGAGGGGAGAGGGAGAGAGAGAGAGAGAGAGAGAGAGATTCGATCTCCAACTGCAATTTTATTTGCGCCGAGCAGGTTTGGTGGCGTCGAATTGCTGTCTGATGACGTTGATGATGGCGACCGTTTGGTGCACGTACGACGCTGCTGGTAGGTCTTGGGTGAAGATGAAGAAGTACCAGCGCAGCATGAGGGAAGCGGAGTTGCGGGGGGCCAGGTTACATTATAAGCGCAGCGGCAGCAGAAATCGAAATTGGCGACAACGGTGAGTGTTCGTTTCTGCGCCCGCACGCTGTAAAGCCGCGGTAAAACTTTAAGTGAGCCCTGAAGAAGAGGCGAGATCGCGGCTCGCTCGCATTTCGCGTCCTCCTCTATTACGCGAGTGTGGAATTTAAGTCCGCCTGCGGCTTTATCGCGAGCGAGAGAAAGCCAGAGGAGGGAGATAGAAAGGACGGGAGTCCGAGGCTTTGCGCGAAATCACGTCGCGGAAAATAGCGGTGCTCCCGTCGCTCCTAAATGCATGTCCGACCAGTGCGGCGGCTTTTCCACTGCGGCGTGATCCGTGTTGCGTCTCGCTGCAGGCGCCGCAGGCTCGTTTTATATCTCTCACCGCTGTTAGTCGCGGAATTTTATCCCGGCCGACTTTTACGTCGCCCCGGATTTGTGTGTTAGCACCTCGGCAAACGTCTCCGCGCGCGCGCGCGACCTTCTCGAAACGCGCTTGTATTTTCTGCCGCAGAAAAGTCATACGTGCCTATCAGGACAGCTGGGACAACAGGTGCAGGTTGCTGTTTTGCTGCATGGGCAACTCTGATCGCAATCGGGTGAGTGACGCACTCCGGGGAATCCACTCGGCACGAGAGAGAGAGAGAGAGAGAGAGAGAGAGAGAGAGAGAGAGAGAGAGAGAGAGAGAGAGAGAGATGAATTTATTCTTGAAAGAACCTCCGCAAAAAGTGCCCATTTTTTAGTCCCCGATTTTTTAATTAAATTTTATACGAAATGATAGCTTATAATAAGACATTAATCACAAAAAAGTTTTACATTGAGCGTACGATTGATTTCAGAGATATAGAGGGTCAATGTGGTCATTACCTACTAAGGAAGTTTGACATTAATGACATTTTATCGCACGAATTTTTGCGAAATTCAGTATCTATGGGTTCTTTGAGTTGCTTATTACGAATTCGATGTCAGATTTTAAAAAATCAAGATGGCGGATGTAATATAGCGGACACAAATAGTGAAACAATTATTTACTTTTATTAGAACTGTGTTATGTTATGGTTTTTTCGGCTAGCTGATTGCGAATTTTCTATCAGATTTACATTTACCTTCAGTAGACAAGATGAAAAAGTTATCCAGCCAATGAAGGTAAGATAAGCTTCTAAATATAACAAATAAAACTATCACGTTATCCTTTATGCATCATATAACGTATCAATTTGAATTTGATATTTTTTTTTATGAAAAAACAATTTAAAAAAATACTTTATCCACTCAAAAATTGTGGATGAAAAAATTACTTTCGAAAACCTAATAGAAAAATTGCAATCAGCTAGCCAAAAAGACCACAACATAACAGTTTCAGTAAAAGTAAATGATTGTTTCACTATGTGCGTCCGCCATGTTGCACCTGCCATCTTGAATTTTTAAAATCTGACATCAGATTCATAATCAGCAACTCAAAGAACCCATAGATACCGAATTTTGCAAAAATTCGTGCGACAAAGCGTTATTAGTGTCATACTTTCTTGTTCTCAGTAGGTAGTGACCACTTTGACCCTCTACATCTTTGAAACCAATCGTATGCTCAACGTAAAATTTTTCTGTAATTAATGTCTCATCGTGAACTATCTTTTGGCATAAAATCCGATTCTAAAATCGAGGACCGAAAAACGGACGAAAAATCGACCCTTTTTGCGGAGGTTCTTTATTCGAGAAAGAGACTCCCTGCGTTGAACGCGACGTTGAAAATGGCTAGAGACGGGGAGCAGAGATGGCTTCGTTCTCGGAGAAGCGGATCAAGTAAATTAAGTGGATAACTAATTGCTTTCTTAGACGAGAAGGATTTGAAGAGAGGAAACCCCAAGATTCGCGGGATAATTTTTCACTTTCGCCAAGTAACATTTTTTTTTTTTTTTTTTTCACGTAGCTTCCGTGACGATTTTGCGAGAAAGTCTGGTTTGTTCGCGCGGTATTACTCGCGCGTTTTCTCACCTGTAAAACTCGAAGGTTCTCCGATGTATGAGAAGTCCCGGCGAAAGAAATCGCCTTCGTCGGCGGGAAGATTGCTCGTTTGCATGCTCGTATCGAACGAAAGGAAACGAACGTTCGGTCTCGAACGCGTTCCCCTTACTTTGACGAGGTAAGAACTCTAGAGCTCCTGCGTAGAACTCGTTCGCCGACATCGCCCGACTGCTGAGTGACTTCTTTCGCGATCTGGACGTGGTGCCGTCGGACGTGGTGGCCGGTCTGGTGCTGCTGCGCAAGTTTCAGAAGATCGAGCGTGAGCTGATAGTGAAGCAGCGCAAGAACGACACGTACGAGTTCCTGTCGGGGGTGCCGGTCACCCCGCGCACCAAGTTCCTGTCGATGACCGAGGACGGCGACCTGGGTCACTTCCAGTTGGCCATCCACTACATGCACTTCGCCCTCGCTGCTTACGGCTGGCCCATGTTCGTCGTTAATCCCTCCACTGAGCTCTGCCAGTTGTGCACCAGGTAATTTCAGCTTCGATTCGTCGGCCCCGCTCGCTGTCTAGAGGCGGTCTAACCTAGCTGAAGAGAATAGAGTCTTACGAACGATACCCGTCCTCGTGAAACGTGGACGTTCTCTCGCCGGTTAACAGACTGCGATGCTGTTGCTTCCCCTGCGGCGCCCACGAGGACGAGGCGACGATCGTCGAGGACAATTGCTGCCGCTGCAACTACGCCGCCCTGAGCAGTATGCTCGACCTCGGCGAGATCGAGGTTGTGTACTCGACCTTCCACGTCGACGTCGGCGAGACACCGTTCTTCGTGGCGCTGGATTACACAAAGAAGAAGGTCTGTGTTGTTAGCGTGTTAATTTTACTCTTCGAAGATAATACGTACCACCGTGTTGCTCGGTAACGAGCGAAACGGTCAATCGAGGAGATTCAGGATCGTTGGGTCGTGGTCGCGCGTGCGTCTTTCCGCGTTTCTTCCTGATCTTCTACTTAGGCGGCGCTCCTCTTTGTGCATTTCACGCTCACGCGTTTCCTCCAGGTGGTGGTCAGCATACGTGGGACTCTAAGCATGAAGGACGTGCTGACGGATCTAAACGCCGAGGGCGAAGTGCTGCCTTTGTCGCCGCCGAGGGAGGACTGGCTGGGGCACAAGGGGATGGTGCAGGCTGCCGAATACATACGGAAGAAGCTGCTGGAGGAGGGTATCATCGCACGTGCCCTCGCCAAGGTACGCATCGCTTGCAAATGAGCCGCCCCTGCGCCTCGCCTCGCTCGCTTGTTCGCTCGTTATCGAATAGCGGCCGATAGGTGTATAAGTATAAGTATAGGCGAGTAATTACCGCGCGCGCATGCACGGTGCTCGCTATCCGCGAGTAATAACCGGCACACGCGAGCACAGCGGTAATTTGTCCTTTTTTTTCTTTTTTCTTTGCGCAGCATTTATATGTAGATATTGCACTGTCACCGGCTAGAAACGAGAACGAGCTGCAATTTTCCGTCGCAAACGCTTTCTCATTTTAAACGAAGGGAGATAACCACAGGGGCGGGGGCGCTCCCATTTTCAGAGGAGCTCTTCGATCGATAAATGTATTATTTCATTTAAAATGCTATTTCGCACGTGTCGCGGAACAGAGAGACAGAGACGTTACGCGCCAAGTGGCTGCAATTCACTCGGACGTCTAATGGCTTTTCTACATAGTAAAAAAAATCGCCGATCTTTCCTGAATATGCATGGCGCAGGGAAAAAGGCTCACCATGCCACTCTCTCGCCTATGCCCTCTTTTTCTTTCTTCTCGTGCGGCGAAGTGTGTGACGGTAGCTTTTTCATCGTGGATTTAAATCGCTCGACGTTTCGTCGGGGATGCTTCGTTCACGGGACAGTTAAATATTTCAGCTCGTCGTTTCGCGGTATATAAAGCTTATGTGCCTTATGGATAGACAATGTGCATGTTTCGTTGCTTGCCTGTGTGTGTGCGTGTGTGCGTTGAAATCTACTCTTTATCTCGATAGAATTTCCTGCGGGAAATATATACATAACATAAGGACGACGTACCGGAGAGATTTAATCGAAATAATTCAAGGAGAAGCTCGACAGGTACAACGCTCGTGTGAAGTATTTCTGGTGCTCGAGAGAGGTGCACGATCGCAATAAGACGGATTCTGACTTTAGTACGAAACGCGTGCGCTTCTTTATTATTGTCCATTGTATGGTTTTTATAGATCCCTGAGGCTTGATTGTTAATTATTATACATACGTCAGAGTAATTAGTAATTTGCGGATTAGTAATTAGACCGTTCTAGTCTATGATGAGCAAAGTTTTACACGTCGGCGATAATCAAGACGTTTCGATGCTCGGTCGCTTCTCGGCCGCAGGACACCTCCAGGGGCACGCACCAGTTCGGACTCACTCTGGTGGGACACTCGTTAGGCGCCGGCACGGCGGCGATACTCGCGATCCTACTGAAGCAGGAATATCCGGATCTGGTCTGCTTCTCGTTTGGGCCACCCGGTGGACTCCTGAGTATGCCGGCTCAGCAATACACACAGGAATTTATCACCTCAGTGGTGGTGGGGAAGGACGTCGTACCCAGAATCGGACTTCGACAAATGGAGAGTCTGAGGGCGGACCTCATCAACGCTATAAAGAGGAGCGTCGACCCCAAGGTTCCTATTATATTATATCTTATACATACGGCGGTTCTATCTTCCTCAAAACTTGTCAGCGTCAGCGTTCAAGTGTAGATTTAATTTCGCCGTTTGAACACTCGCGGCTTTTCGACAAAATTGCACTTTCAATATCTGTTCAGAATTTTGCACAGACTTTGGTGTCTCTTTCTTCTCCCTCGTCCCCCCCCCCCTCTCTCTCTCTCTCTCTCTCTATCTATCTATCTATCTATCTATCTATCTATCTATCTATCTATCTATCTATCTATCTATCTATCTATCTATCTATCTATCTATCTATCTATCTATCTATCCGCCCTCTAAGATAACGTGAACGTCAAAGTAGCGAAAGTCGTGGGATAACACGGGCGACCTGTTTCAGTGGAAGACGATAGCGTGCTCGGTAATGTGCTGCGGCTGCGGCTCGACGCCCACGTCCGCGGCGAACCTGGAAGCAGGCGGCTGCATCAGCGAGTACCAGCGGGACAAGGATCAGGCTCGCGCTCAGACCGTCGTGCCCAGCGACTCCAGCATCGCCTTGACCCTACACAGGCCCCTTTACCCGCCCGGCCGAATCATACACGTAGTGCGGCATCATCCGAACAAGGACGAGTAAGTGTACTCGATATGGAGAATCTGACTGTTTCTCTTCTTCTCTTCCATACCTGAATACTAGTTAACGCAATTATCTTCTGAGAATTTCTTCGTTCCTGATCCGTAACGCGAGCGATTCAATCGCACTCGGCGGGGAGCGCTTCGAAGCACAAGTTTAAATTCGATATACGAGGCAGTCTCTCGTACGAGGACATGCAGAGAATTCCAACAGTGCCTTCCACTTTCAGTCCAGGTTATCTCAAAGTATGATACACATCTTCTACATATTTTCGCGTTTCACAGTTGCTGCAAAAACAGTTGTAATAATTTGCACCAACGGTGATGCAAAAACATGTAGTTAGTGAAATATCACATAGAAATGTGATGCAAAAATATGTAGTTAGTGAAATATACATAGAAATGTACGTAGAAAACATGTGGTTTGACTGTTGGGTTTGAGAAGAGTCAGCGACTCGATCACATTCAAAGCGGGATGGGAAGTAGAGAAATGCTGGCGTACTGAAGCAGCGCTTCGGGAGAAGTGGAAGAGGGATATGAAAGCTCAGCTACATAAAGTACAACAGTAATGTACACGGTGAGTGCATATATGCACCATTACTCTTGCATTTGCTGCGACTGAGTTGCCGAGATTCTTTTCAAAGGCAACAGTTGTGATACAAAGATACGTGAAGAAGAGACGCGTCCGAGCCGAAATAGTGGAGGAAGTGAAAGGCATTCGTGGAATTTTTCGTACTTCTCTCTCTCTCTCTCTCTCTCTCTCCTCTTTTTCTGCTTTTCTTCTCCCTCCCCTCCCCCCCTTCTCTTTCTCTCTCCTCGCTCTTTCTCTCTTTTCCTCTCAACATCTGTTTTTCTACCCGGTAATATTGCACGAAGAAAACATTCTGCGGAACGGTAAACGTTGGTTCAGTCTGCGCTACGCGATAATCGTGACGTACAGCGATGGCAATGCACACACATACACATCGCTTGTTATTCGCGAAAGTAATTATCTAGCCTCTCCGCTCCCCTATGCAAACTTTCCTAGCCCGCTGATCGATGTTTTTAACGTTGGTCGCGTGATTCCCGCGATGCCCGCTTGTGGTAGCCCGGTCGAAGTTACCGCCGCGTTAAGCGCGGTACAGCAACGCTTAACCCTTTCGTGCCTGACTTTTTTCTAGGAATAATTTGCATCTAATTTACGTCTTATTAAAGGTTTTTAGGGTCGCTGATTATGAATCTGTAGTAAAAATTTCAAAATTAAAAATAACGAATTCAATATGCACAGCGTGTAAAGTTCCACTCTGTTCCATTCCGTGCTTCAAAAAATTCCACGAAATGTGAATAAAATTGAGTCGACCTTTTTTATTTACATTTTGTCAGCTATATTGAATTTGAAAAGCATAACTTTAGATTCGTTATCAGTGACTCAAAAAACCTCTGAAAAATGAATTTCACTCAAATCCAAAAAAATTTCACATTTTGGCCCGCCATTTTGAAAGTAAATAGCAATTTTGTATCATATAGCCCTTACCTTGACCTTCAAAAGCCCAGGAAGAACTTGCTATCATAATTTTTGTGGAATATATATATATATATATATATACACTTTTCACTTTTATCCTATTTTACGAGTATTTGACGAGATATGCTGATTGGAGGATGAAACTAACAAGGGTGTTGATTTTTGCGCGAAAAGTCCTATCTTTCTTCTTTAAAATCGGCTCAAGAACGAAGTCTCGCTATCTTTATTTTTGTGGGAGATATGAATTTTTTAAGTTTTAGAACATATATGTCTCCCACCAGGCACGGGAGGGTTAACGATAGGGTTGCCAACTGTCCGGTTTTTAAGTTATATCCAATCAATGGAATGAGAGTTCAGATTTTTTAGCAACGTTTCTGCGTTTCAAGCGCCTACAAACGATCGCGAGCGCCACCTAGTAAAGCCATCTAGTAGATGATATCTATCCTCCTATGATATCCATATATATTAAAAAATAAAATAATAGTTTATTATTTTATTCTGTGAAATCTTGTTTAGAAAATTGTTTGGAAATTAATATTGTAAATAAATTCTTGTCATATTTTGTATTTAATGTAACGTTATGATTATTATTTCTCTCCGGTCTAGTCCGGTTTGGATTTGATTACCGAAGAAGAAATGTCCGGTAATTTTAACTTTTGGACTTGGCAACCCTAATTGACGAGCGGACGGCAGGGCCGCGCGATGAACCGCGATTTCACGGACGGCGCGCGCGCGCTGAACAATGCGCGCGCGATGAACAAACGAGAAGTTAATTGGACCTGTGTGTTTCTTTCTAGGCAGAAGTATGAGACGCGTTGGAGGTACGTTTATTAGCAGATAGCTTACATTTTCAGGAGTACTACTGTACTGCCATTACTACTGCTACTACTACTAGTACTACTGCTACTATTACTACTAGTACTACTACTGCTATTATCACCACTACCACTACTACCACTGTGGATTGTTGCATCTTGGAGATATGCCCGCATGCTTCTTGGCTCTTTATCCCTTATTTATCGCGTAGCCGAAGCTCCCCAGCATCTCTCGACACACTGGTGTCGGCCACGAATTTCGTTCCACGCTGTTAGACCGATTTTCATCTCGAGTGTCTCGAGAAGAGCATACACTCCGCGCGGCGGCGTGTCGGGCTTTTACTCGGCGCATAAGTCGTCCGTCTCGAGAGCGGCGTAGCGACCCGCTGGAAATACGCAACGTAGCTTTATGAGGAACGCACGTGATACATCGGCTTGCGCACGATCGTCGCTGGCAAGAGCATGGCAAGAGCAACCCGCGTCGGCCGCTCTTAGGGCAGGTTGTTCCAACTTCTTCTTGTTAAGTTAACTGATAGTTAAATCATATGTCTGTCTCTTTGGTTTTCCTTCAATTTAAACGAAGACGGATACACTGATTTAACTTTATCAGCTAACTTACCAAGAAGTTGGAACACAACCGGCCCATACTTCGTATCTTCAGACTGGGGAGAAGGGAAACACAGCAGAATTCGCTACCGAGCTGCTCGTATGAACTTTCTCGAGACACACGGTATATATATACATAAATATATGCATGTGATCGATATATTCCATAGATGAGCTGATACGTGAGCAGAGTGGTAGGTGGTCGAGTAATTTTTCGCAACTTCAGTATATCCATCATGATCCATCAAGACAGATTTTACTCGTACAGACCCTCTGATTATATAGTCCTCTCACGTGTCCACTGGGATGCATGCCACCACTTGGTAGATGACCTCTTCGTAGGAAACAAATTAGATTATGCATGACTGATTACACCGTACGTAAAAGAAAAGTTTATTCGTCACGACGGCGAAGTCTGTTTTCTGTTACTACGCGAGTGAAAAATCAAGATGGGATCGATCGTGAGGATGTTTATCGTAGATCGCGAAGCCGAGAGCAATCGAGATGCCAAGGTCGTAACATGAGTCGCGAGTTTGAGAATATGAGATGGAATAAAAGATGGAAGGGGGAGAGAGAAGAGACAGAGAGAGAAAGAGAGAGGATTCGTGCTGATTCGGTGCTGATTCATGCGTCGTCAAAATTGCAGACAGATGTTGAAGAAGCACGAGCCGGTGTACCAGGCGCTGTGGGCCGGACCTTGCGACTTTGACGAGGTGCTGATCAGCCCGGTGATGATCCAGGACCACATGCCGGACAACATGCTGCGGGCGCTGAACAAGGTAAGCCAGGCGGACGCGATCGTTCGGCAAGTGAAGCGTTCGCAGGCACCGCTAAGCCGGACCCCGTCGGTGAAGCCGGGCCATTACGAGCCGCTGGAGGAGACCACCGACGGGCCCGACGTTCTCAGCGAGACGGTGGTGGCGGCTGTCGATCGACGGGATCGACGGACAGCCAGGAGCACGGACGCGGTTGACGATCCCGCCCGATGCGCAGCCACTACTCGGCCGGATAACCGCGCGGTTAGCACGTCGATCGTCGTCGACGTGGAAGTGCACGAGACACGAGCGGAGGCGCATTAACCATGACGACGACGACGACGACGACGATGATGATGATGATGATGATGATGATGATAATGATAATGATAATGATGATGATGATGATGATGATGATGATGATGATGATGATGATGATGATGACGACGATGACGACGATGACGACGACGACGAGTCGATCTCCTCCGTGCAATCTCTCCCCCGCGATCACGATCAAACCCCCTCGAAAGGGGGGATTTCGAGAGAGAATGCGCCAAGGGAGAACGAACTGGCGCAAGGGGATGTTCAGCCGCGACTTGAACGCGGTTGTCGCGGAGTTTGAGGACGGATCGCCTCGAACGATCGGATAGATTCGTTGTCGGGATATTCCACAGTCGCGCGACGGATCGTCCAAGAGACTCGCGTATCGCGCCGGCTAGATTGTAATTGTACAGCTTACTCGTTTAGTTGATTGCACATCGAGATCTCTTTGATGTGTGTATGTGAGTATTATATGCAAGCATCATATATATATATATATATATATATACATACAGGGTGTCCGGGATCTTTTGGAAACGAAGAAATTATGGAGATTAATCAGATGAAACTGAGAAGAAGAGTCAAGTATCATTTTGCGAAAATTCGCCATAGTTATTAAATTATTAATGATTGAAAATTACCACTTTGAAAGTTTGCATACTCATTTGCAAAATGGCAAAGGACATTTTTATCTAGAATGGCTTAATCTACAATTATATGACCCTAGATATTATCCCTAGCGATACAGGATCAAGATTCAGGATTCAAAGTTCAATATACTTATATCTATCGCTAGACACAATAGCCGTCATACAACTATGATTAGGTCATTCTGAATGAAAAAGTCCTTTACCATTTGGCCGCCATAACTACGCAAACTTTCAAGTTATCAATTAAGAGAGCCTCTAGATATAGTAATTTTCAATCATTGATAACTTAACAACTATTGCGATTTTTGCAAAATGGTACGTGACTTTTCGTCTCGGCTTGATCTGATTAATCTTCTCAATTTTTCGTTTCCAAAAGATCCCGGTCACCCTGTATATGCACGTATATATGAGAGCGCGCGAGAGTGAGTGAGTACGTATGTATGTGAAGATTATTTATTGGCGCGTTATGAATTAGCGTAGAACGTAGTCGTAGAGGCGTGACAAGATCTCGTATAGTTTGCCGCTAGTATAATCTCTCGTTTACGTAATCGCATTGTTTACTTTCATCACCCGGTGCTCTTTAGCGTTCAAGTAGTGCCAATCTGTTTTGCGTGTTATGCTTTGGAACGATTGTACATACATATGTATAAGTAGAAGCTGCTGACTCGGCGTGGAGAGACGAGACGGTGTAGAAAGCTTCGGTGGAGAGATGAATGAAAATCGCAGAGTCAGTTCGGCATTTCGACCGCGGCACTTCGCACTTTTTTTCTTTCTCAAGATGATTAGTTCGACGGTCGTCATTGTTCGAGAGATCAGCTGGTATTCTCGTGTTGGAGTGATATCCGAGTTCGCGACGACGGACGGCGTGTGACAAATGCGAGAGGAATAAGTTCCGGCTGCTTTGAAGAGATATTTTTAACTTTCGATTTCATTCAAGCCCTTACGTGTCCCCCGAGGCAGAACGTGATTCCTTATCAGAAGAACCCTCACCGGATGAGTTCCTTTTGCTGAAATTGCTGAGGTAATAACGCCTCCTCTCTGGAAGATCTTTAAACGGAATGTGAGGCAGAAGAGGTTTCGATGTACCTCGTTTCGAGCGAAGAGAAGAGAACTCGAAGAGAAGGAGTCCTCTGTCTTCTTCTCGAGGGGAATTTGGCCGATGTAACGACGAACCGTCGAAACGCGCCCGTTTTAACCCTTTCACTGCTGAATTAACTTCCCTTGAGAGGATTATTCAAATATTTGGTAGTCCTACGTTTTTTTGGATCGCTGATTACAAATCTAAAGTCAGATTTGCAAAATTCAAAATGGCGGACTCAATATGGCGATCATGATGTGACAAAATTAATGAAAATTCCAATTATTATTAAATAATGACCAGGCCGTAATAAGAACATATGATTCTAGATGACAGAACTCGATCGAGCTGGAAAAAATTTACGTGGGAAAACGTTCAATGGTGCATATTTATGCTTACTAGAGATTAAACATTCATTTTTGAGTAAAATAATATTGATAGTATGGATAAGAGATGGGGAGATCCAGAATGAAAAAAACTAGGAAAATAGAGCTAAAAAGTGCAAAAAAATCAAATTTCGGCCGTTTTTGTAGAAATACTTGTTTATAAAAGAAAAATCTAACTTGCAAAAGAATACTGAAAAAGATATATGTTCTTGTACAGCATCAGAAAAATATTTGGTGAAAAATTTCAGACCTCTACATTCAATACTCTCCAAGGAATCGATTTTTCCCTAAAATAAGCACTTTTTTCAACTTTGATTTGTTATAAATAATGACAAATGAATAACTGGGTATAAAAACCTATTGGAGTATGTTGAATAACTATGTTCAGTTATTTTGGAAAATTCAAATCTCCGATTAGTTCTTCAAAATTATGTGATTTACAAGGTAAAATTGAATCAAGAAAAGGTGGGAAGTATACTCCCCACTAACAGTGAAAGGGTTAAGCGAATGTAACAAATATTCGCAGTTTGGATCGCGTTTCAAAGTAAACTCGAATCAGCACTCTGCTTATCGCGCGCGGCCGAGCCGACTTGCGATTCGCGTTCGCTCTTTCGAGCATCGCACGGATAGTGATTTCGCTATTGTCTACGATATCGCTACCTCGCACAATACGCGTACGCTGAGTATTCTTGTACTTACTACTATCCCCGACATTATCGCCTAAGTAGAGTAATAGGACTGACATGCATGCCCTCGTACAATGCATGAACACTGTTATCGTCTGTGGCCGAAAGTGGCTAACCGGCGGCACGCGAATTCACCGATCGTTTGCACGCGAATGTAATCGTTACGCGTACGTTCGTTACGTAAAGCACTAATCTCGCACAGGAATCGCTTCGCTTGGAACGACCACGATGCAAAGTTCGATCTGTCGTCGCGGCAAGTTCACGTCGGGAAAAGCTGATTAATCTTCTCTCGTGGGAGAAGTCTCTTCTGTTCGGAAAAAGACAACCCCGATGATTTATCGTCGACTTATCATCGATTATTATTACTTTCCAATTAATCCTAATTTTAATTAATCGTGCTTTTGCGAGCCAATATTATTGTGCAATCGGCGAATCTGTCGACACGCTGATGATTTCGGTGCGCAACGTTTTGCGCTTGAGTAAAACGCTTGAGTAGACCAAACACTACGGAGGAATGCAACGCGATAGATAAATGCTATTCGCGATATATTCGCGCACTTAATCGTAAGTTAGCTTCGTCGACTCCACATCGATTACATACTTCATTTATCGTTATACACGCTCAGTTGGTTGCGTTGGTTAAATTTATAGGTAAATTAGCGAGACGCGGCGAATGTTGCCACCGTGACCGATGACCGTCACGATGACGGTGAATGTATCGCAGCGGACAATTTTTTTCCCCCCAGACACAAACCCGCAACGACCGATTGGATTCGACACAGTTAATTAGACAAAAAAGTTGACCACTGTCGGCACGCTCACGGAAGTGAACGCCATGTACGCGTGCGCGTCTCTCTTTCTCTCTCTCTCTCTCTCTCTCTCTCTCTCTCTCTCTCTCTCTCTCTCTCTCTCTCTCTCTCTCTCTCTCTCTCTCTCTCTTTCTCTCTCTCTCTCTCTCTCTCTCTCTCGCGCGCGCAAAAGATCATTCATTCTTCCATCTCTCCATTCTTCTCTCTTCTCTCTCCTCCTCCTCCCTCTCTCTCTCCATCTCTTCTATCTATTGCACGCAAAACGACTATAGAGTACAAAGAATACGCGAAACGAAGACACATCTGTCCGCGATCGACACAAACAACAATTTTAGATTAACACGATAGAGTGCTGCACAAAGTCAGTTAGTGTGGAGAAAAGTAAAAAAAGAAAATTACCCGCACTCTCGCCGCGCACTCGGCGTTGGTGTTGGCCGATTTCCGAATACCCGGCTGATCCCCGCCGCGCGCGTGCTCGAAGCTCGGAGCGCGTCGAGCGAGCGGCGGGAGCAGCGCGATTCGATATGTTTTTCTACGGCAGTCGCGAGTCTACAAGCGAGAGTGAGCCGCCCGCAGCCTCTTGCCGCCTCTGGCTGGTGCTAGTCGTTTTGGATGCACAGTTCCGCAGCAAATCCGCTCTGTATAATTTGCGATTGTACGCCACTTTCGACCAATATATGCATATATATATACATATATATATATATATATGTATATATATACATACATACTTTCTGCCACAGAAACGACCGTTGTTGTTCATTCGACGAGGCTTCCCGATAGCTTCCCGAGTCTCGTCGCGCCGAGACGCTCGACGATGCCGCGCGACCGAAGCGTATTTTAACCCTTTGAAGCATGGTATGGCATATACAGGGTGTCCCATTTTAATCCGGCCGGCTGAATAAAATTCGAGGATATTTTCCAGAAAAAAATGTCAGACAAATGTTGCTCAGTTTTAAGGGGGACATTCGATGCCATCAACAATTTTGACCTCGGGTGAAGGGTTCAAGGTCATTCAAGGTCAACTTTTTTTTCTTAAATGGGAACCCCTATTTTTCACATCGGCAATCGATTCTACGTAAAAAAAAATGAAACTTTTGTCTGAAGCATTTTTTTTATAACGCAAACTAATTTCACTTATTCAGCCTCCAAAATTGAAATTTTCAAACTTTCTGAATTTTTTACTCGAGAATGGTGGGGTTTGGGGGGAAATTGCAGAAGACAAAAAGTTCTTGGAATGCTGCAAGGAATTCACTCGAATTTTCGCATAGTTGATCGTGCACTTTTTTCCGCCAATGTTCTACCTGTCAGGAGGTACCTCGAAAAAAGTGCACGATTTGATGATTTTGAAACTTTCAAAAGTCGGTACAAATAGCGAGATATCGTAAGTTAAATATTGAAAGAGTTATCAAGTTCTCCTCAAATATCTCAAAAAATATTAGACAAATAAAAAAATATTTTATTATAATAGACAACAGTTGTTCAAATTAATTGGTAGTAAAAAAGTGTAATAAAAAATAGGGTTCCCATTTTTTAAAAATGCAAGTTGACCTTCAAATGACCTTCAAGGTCAAATTTGAGGTCACAAGAAAACAGAACTTTATGAACCCTAAAACTTTTGTTCGGGTTATTTTTCCCTATAATGCATAGATTCTGAGATAGGAGGGGGGTCCATTACTTTTGGAAAACTTGGTATATTAGCCGTCTACGCTGTGGAGAAACGCCGCCGCGTCCGTCGTGGATTCGTTCCCGTGAATATCCGGGTTCGCTTCTTCAGGGAAAGGAACCATTTGCGAAGGTCAAGTTCGAATCACTAAGGACGCGCTAGATGAACGCACTTCGCGACGCGTATATTCGCGTCTGTAGATTTTTAATTTGTCGCAGGCGGTCGACGCGTTAACGAGAAAGCCGAAGAGAACTCGGCAGCGTCTTCGAGCGTCTCGCGCGCCTCGAGTCGTGCGCAAAGATCGATACGAGCGATCGACTTTGACTCCGCTCGCTCATTTAGACTTGATTTCTTTGTAGGCTTAATTTGCGCTGGTTGAAGTAGCTAATTATACTTGTGTTCGCCGTACGAGATCTGGCCTTTCTCTCTCGTCGTATTACTGTTATGTGGGTATGTGCGTGTGTGTGTGTGTGTATGATTATACTACTCTCTGCCGCATAGTTCCCGCTGTCTGTGTGCGCTCTCTTTTTCTCTCGACACTCAACGACTCCGTACAGACTCGAGATTCCTCGCTTTGTCCCTCTCGAGTGCAGCGGGTGCACTGCAAAGAAACAAACCGTCTCTTTACCTGCAAGATAACGCGCGGGAATAATAGAGAAGCCGAGTTACACAAGTCATGCAGACGCGCGATGTCTTCTATTGGATAGAGAGAGAGAGGGGGAGAGAGAGGGGGGAGAGAGAGAGAGAGAGAGAGAGAGAGAGAGAGAGAGAGAGAGAGAGAGAGAGAGAGAGAGAGAGAGAGAGAGAGAGAGAGAGAGAGAGAGAGAGAGAGAGGAGAAAACAGTTGGATCCGATTGAACGCCGAGACGTCATCATGACTCACAGGCCACAGGCATAAGTAATTATTGTACCTATACAACAGCATGTTTCTTCAACGTGGAGACGTACATAATTATATTTGATTTTACATACAACTATATACACGAGCGTAAATATATTCTCACCCGGGAAGCCGCGTCTGCGAATTATGCGACGGTTTCGCCGCGGAAATCTTCTCAGTCCGCTTCGTCGCGATCGGGCAGAGTCTTCGGGAAGTCGGGATGATCGGTCTCGCCGCGAGACGAGAAAGTCCGAGAAGAAGCGCGCCCGTGGCGATATTCGTGGGGGACTCGGCCGGACCAAGCTGGCTGAGAGTGTGTGCGGTGTGGAGCAGGTGTTGGCGTGCCGAGATCGAGATCGAGATCGGGGCTACGCGGAGGGCGGCGCGGTGCTCGGTGCTACGGATACGGACATCGCGGTAATAGACACCGCAAGCAGCGACCTCAGCGGCTCGGCCCTCGCCGATCAAGGTCTGCCCTCGCACGTCCTGGTGCTTCATCACCATCAGGCTGCACCGGCTGCGGACGGCGCCCCCCACGTGACCGCAGCAGCGTGCTCCTCGCGCCGCGACACAAGGTACTTGGAGCCGCCGCCGCCACGAGGACGAGCTCGAGACCACGAGGGCGAACTCGCGTGAACTCGCTGGGATATCATCCCCGCGCGCGCGCGCGTAATCTCGAGTAAAACCGAGTCGGGGTCGAACCGCGAGCCCCGAGGTCTTCTCGTTGATCGGGACGAGCTTGCGCGAGATCTCTCTTTACAAAACAGGGTAAGCACTTCCTGGCGCAACGTTGATCGTCGTGGATCGAAAGGCATCACATTGTATTGTAAACATATTCGTTGAATCAGGGGGCTGCAAAAGTTCGTCGGTGACTTCTTTGCTCGATGGACGAGTCGTTTTCATCAACCTCACCGCAGCATAGCTTTATCTCAGGGACAGACATCATTCTGGGGCCGGTTGTGCCTAACCCACTTCTTGTTAAATTAACTGATAGTTAAATCATACATTTATCTTTGTCTTTCCTTCCAATTTAGACAAGGATAGACATATGATTGAATTATCGGTTAACTCTTCAAGAAGTTGGAACAACCGGCTCTTAGGGATACTGCGATATCTTGGGAATATACGAATGTCCGTTGTTTTAGATCCTACAGATATCCTACGGATATCTTTTTTAGCAACTTTGGTTCCTTTTCAGAAACTTTTAGTTTCCAAAAATTATTAGATAACCTAAATGAGATATCCGTGGGATATCTGTGGGATCTAAAACAACAGACATTTGTATGTCTCCAGGATGTTGTAAGACGTCCTTAGGATAACGTGCGTTGTGCGGGACGTCTCGAAGCCCCAAATGTAATTGTCATAGCCCTGACTAACAACTGAACAAAACAATAATAAAAAGAAGAAAATATTCACAATGTCGTAGAAGTAACGTGGCGAAGATCCCTCGAGAACTTTTCGCAGGCCCTGTCGAATACATACATATACATACACACACACACACACACACACACACACACACACACACACACACACACACACATACACACACACACACACACACGCGCGCGCGCATGCACCGACACGAATGCATGCGCATCACGCATTGACCGATCATGTCGTTCTCATTGTGCACTCGCCGCTCGACTAGAGCCGATAATTGCTCCACTGATGACTCCTAGAGTGGACTTTAGCGAGAGTATCGTCTAGCTTGCATGTTGGATGTAATTACGGTCGATCCTTCGTTAATCCATAGCAGCGGTGAATCATAGTGTTTCCACGGAGAACGTGTGTCCGTCCTTCTCGCGATCAAGTTCCCGTGGAAGAGAGAAAGAGGATTGCCGGGCAAGGCAGTCGGGATTCATTACGCGACCCCGGAATGTCGTCCGCGTGAGATATCTTGCAGTTGCTTTCCGACCAGATTTGCGTAAATTGACCGTCGACGTTGATTTGCGGTCCGCGCGCGCGCGATATTCCGTTCGCGAGAACCTCAAGAAGAGATCGCTCGCGGGAGAAGAGGAGCGATCGAAAGCGGCGAATCTCCATTTCTGCCGAAAGTTTCAAACCAACGCGACATGCGACGAGGACCTTCTCCCTCTCCCTTTGAAGTTTACGAATACAGAGTCAGACACGCAAAGTCAAGCGCAAGGTCGGTCGATAAGAACTCTGCGAGGGGGAGTTATCCGTCAAGACAGTCGCAAATATGCGCGAGCTGCACGGCGGCCCGGCGAAGACCCGGGATGTAAAGTTGCAGGTACAAATTTCGCGGTCACTTTCCATTGTCTCTTCCGTTCGATCGACTCCGACCGATTCGCCTGGTCTGAACGGAGCAGAAACTCCGCTTAAACCCGGAATTTCTACCAACGGCCGGTTGTTCCAGCTTCTTGTTAAGTTAACCGATAGTTAAATCATACATCTGTCTTTGTTTTCCCTTCAACTTAGACAAAGGCAGACATATGATTTAACTATCGGCTAACTTATCAAGAGCTGCTTCTTCCAACTTCTTGGTAAGCTAACTGACAGTTAAATCATATGTTTATCTATTTTCTTCTCAGTTTAGAGCCGGTTGTTCCAACTTCTTGGTAAGTTAATTGATAGTTAAATCATATGTTGTTTGTCTTTGTCTTTCCTTCAATTTAAACGAAGACAGACATATGATTTAACTATCGGTTAACTCAGACGAAGACAGACATATGATTTAACTATTAGTCAGCTTATCAAGGGCCGGTTGTTCCAACTTCTTGGTAAGTTAACCGATAGTTAAATCATATGTTATATCCTTGTTTTTCCTTCAATTTAGACAAAGACAGACAAATGATTCAACTATCAATCAACTTACCAAGGAATTGGAACAACCGCGGTCCCAAGACCGGCGCTTTCGCCTCCATTCGCAATGTCCTCGCTCGCCGGAGGAGGGGGGGGGAGGGAAGGGGGTTGACTAACGCGACGCGCGCGATGAAAGTCTCCCGGGCGTCGTCTGCTGACGATTTGCACCTGCGACTTGACGAACGACAGGCATTAGCAGCCTTGCACTATATACCGCGCGGGCGCCGCGCGTATGTCAGGTTGTGACGACCCTGGGACCGGCGAAGCCGCAGAGGCTGGTGTCCGGCCACGCGTCGTCCACGGAGGCGTCGGAGGCGCGCGAGCAGCAGGTCGAGGTGCAGCTGGAGCTGGAGGCGCAGGAGCAAGAGATGCGGGCCTTGCTGTCGCCGTCCAGCCCGGTGAGATGCCGGACCCTCGGCGGTGGCAACCTGGCCGGCACGCCGCCGCACCGGCTCTGCCTGGAGACGAGCTTCACGTCGCTGCAGAGCCCGACCGACCTGCCCCAGGCTGGCCGGGAGCTCAGCGTCGACTCCAGGGGCATCCCGTGGGAGTACATAAGCCTCGCCAGCGAGCTGCTCAACACGCCGCGGCCGGACGACGGCAAAGCGTAAGGACGATGAACGCGCGCGCGCGCGGAGTCGATCGAAGAAGCGCGGCCGAGGAAAGAGGAGAAGAAGAGGAGACCGATAGCGAAGCGAGGCGACGGCGATGGCGCGTTCCGCACCGCCGCGGAATCGGGCGTGTCGGGCTCGCGTGTGAATTTACGCTCTCGCGATGTCCGCCGCGCGACGTTTTCGACGTAACACGCGCTCGACCGGGGCAATCATATTGTCGCACACATCCGCTTCTCTACATGTCGCTCTCGAACTCACACGGCGATTCAGCTTGCTCGTTTCACGCTCTCGCTTCTCTCTCGCTTAGAGCTCTTTGAATCCTCCTCATCAGTCGCGTCATGAATGCATCTTCGCGCACCTGGAAGCCCGGGAGCGCCGTGATCGCGGCGAGATACCGCTGGGTCGCGAGCGATCATGGCGCACGATCACCACGGGTAACCGCGACGTCGCGCAGGAAGTGTCCCGTGCCAAGCGGCGCGACGTCCTTCGGACGCTCGCGTCGTTTGCATTTGCAGGCCTGAGTAATCAGCTCTTGTTTCTCCCCCGCTCTCCCTTCCTCCCTCGTCGACGCGAAGGTTCGGCCGCCGGCACGATTGGGACGAGCGCACGGCGCCCTTGGCCACCCCGGAGACGCTCTCGGAGGCGTCCAGCAGCCCGCCGTCGCCGGTGCCGGCGCCCCGGCCGATGCGACGCACCCCGAAGATCCCGGGAAACTTGTCAACGGCGGCGGACGACCTGAAGAACAATCTGCACTACGCGATGCTCTCGGCGAGGAACTACTTCCTGAGGACGGGGGAGCACGCGGGCAGTAACAACGGCGGCGGCAGCGACAACAGCAGCAGTGGGAACAGCGAGGCGAGCTACGAGAGCGCCCGGAGCCTGGCCGCCGCCGGTCTTCCGCCGCCTGTGCCGAGACGACGGGATTCCGTTACCGTCAGAAGGTGATTCTTACGTCCTCCCCGGATGTCGTCGCGGGCGTCCCGAGACTCCTGAAAATGTCGAGCATACTTGAGGAAATGGGACAACTTCAGGATGGTTCTTCTTACAAGGAAGTAACCATAGGGAAGTCGGAAATTCAAAGGATTTGTGTGGAAGTAAAGTAAAAAGTTATCCGTAATGCAAAACTATTTTTTGTCCGTGCGGAATTCCAGTTTCTGACGGGGTGAAACCACCCTTCGAGGGAAAAATCATTTTCATTTTTAACGTATATCCTTTAGAACACGAGGCAAAAATGGTTCATATGAAAGTTGTAGTGTACCATATTTCATACTCTTTGTAACTTCAGATACTTTGTATTCAGATTTTGCGAAATTAGGGGAGGGTGGAGGGAGGGGGTTTCCAAAATGTTTCAATTTTTTATCGTGTTTTAAAAGATGCGCTAAAAATAAAAATGATTTCCTTTTTTCGAAGGGTGGTTTTGCCCCCTCAAACTGGAATTCCGCATGAACAAAAAATAGTTTTGCATTACGGATGAACTACCTCACTTCTTTCACACAATGTTTCAGTTAATTCAGTTCAATTTTTTGAATTTCCGAGTTCCCTATGTTTCCTTGTCAGACAAAAGACGCCTCAGACAGCGTCGAAAGCAGAAATCTTGATATTATCATCTTCCACGTGATTGACGACTTTCCAAATTTGTCGAGGATCCGGATCCGGTCGCAATCCGGATCCTGATCGCTGAACCGCCGCGCCGTTTCGGGCTCATCGCGGCTTGTATGCTTGCAGAGAACAACGGATGTGCACAGCAGCATGCTGCAGGGACGACCTGTCGGAGAACTCGTCGACCCGCACGTCTTCGCATTCCTCGAGGAACTCCCACACGTCGCATCATCGTGTGCAGGTGGAGTTGTACGAGGAGGGGAACGACACCAACGGCTCCAGCTTGGACTTCTACGAGGCGAAGGTATTGGCGGGGACTGCCATCGACTTCTTCACTTTGGACGCACATTATCGTGCGACTGATAATCTCTCGCGCTCTTCAGGGTTCCTCCGGCCAGCGCGGCAGCAGCAACGACGTCTTCCTCAGCGTGCGCAGCTCGCCGGAGTGCAAAGGGCTCATGGCACCGGCGACGGACCTAGGCGCCGAGTGGAAGAAGCGCTTCGACGCCACGGCCGGCGACGCCTCGTTACCGCTTCTTCGGGGCCTGTCGCCTACGCCGACCACCGGCCAGCACAACTCGCCGTTCTTCAGCGCCAAGCGGAAGAAGTATGTGTACCCTATCACGCTGGTGGGCCGCGGCGAGAGCAGCGTTTAGTCCGCGGAGAAGGGTCGTCGTCGACGGTCGAACGAGGAAATCGGCCGGAGGCACTCGGTGTATCACTCAGTACGACGCTCTCTTCAGCTTCTGCCGGGAGAGATGTTCGACGCGCAGGGACTTTAGTTTAACAAACTGAGATCAACCCAATCGAGGACCACGAGGCACATTTAGCAGTAGTGACGTCCGACGAATACGCGTGCCAAACTCTATTCTCCTTCTACTTCTGATTCCTCTTTCTCTTCTTCTTCTTCTTCTTCTTCTTCTTTTTCTCTGTCTCTCTCTCTCTCTCTCTCTCTCTCTTTTTCGAATCTCAGGATTTCTATTAGACACCAACTTAAGCTTAAGCGACACGAATGTCCAAAAGATGCGTCAACGACTCGGGATGTCTTCGAGATGCCTTTGAGTCTTTTGTACATTTGGATGATCTGTTGTTGGGTTATCCCGTATCTGTCCCGTTTTGTAGGATCAAATACATACTTTTTCTCGATCATCCATCTTCGGTCTCAGCACGCGATCGCTCGATTATCAAAATTGAATAGAACGTGCTTGAGTAGAATCATTCGTGACTCTTACGAGATGTTCGGTCCCCGTATCGCTATCGCCGTCTTACTATCGTAACGATAAGCAACGGCGGGGTGGGGGGGGGAGACGGGAGTGCGTTTCTCCAGCTAGAAATCTTTCAGTACGATTAATGCGTGTATCGCACGATGTGGCAGCAGCGGCCTACTCTGCATCGATATTGTTTGTTAGGGACACAGTAGAGATCGTTTGATTCTTGTTTTATACATTTCTAAACGCGACTTCATCGGATAAAGATGAGTCTTGCGAACTACTCGTTTCGTTCTCGATCTTTTGATATAGTTTGATATCATTCTTAGTTCATTAGAGAACATGCTCTAACGTACGAACGGATTATATCGCGATAAATTAAGCGTCGATACCCTTTTCTATTGATCTAAGCGCAGTCGAGTTGCTTCAAGTACGAACAGTGGGGAAGGATACAACGCTCGAGTGATGTGCCTCTCGCAAAATGTCATCGCGATTGTATAGTCAGATTCGATGCGATCGTCGAACACCCCGACTCCTTAGGAAGCTTCAAGGAATCGGAACTTCGACGTCGCTGTATTTATGTAAAAAGTAGGCGGGACACACGCGTCGCAGACGCAGCGCTTAACTCTAGTCAGTATAACGTAACCTTAGAAAACTGTAGTATTTATTGATTCCTTGTAATATTTATAGATATCCCCTCGAGAGAAGCTTACAGGACATAGAGAGAGTTGATTCTAATGTAATATAAATTATTTATAAGAAATAAATGATGAATATAGGAGATCATTGGTGTACATTGCATGCACAGTCCTGTCTGCATGTTCCTTCGATGATTATAAAATAAGAATCATTGACACAGTATAGACTCGATATTTGTAACAATAATATATATTATTGCAATGAATCGCAGTGACTTCATTCATTATTAGATATTTCTCTCTCTCTCTCTCTCTCTCTCTCTCTGTACAAAGTAAACAATAACACATTGCATACTTATCGCAAATGTTTAAGGTTTTTTGCACTCACGTGTAAAGAAACATTAACAAAGTGAGTTATCCATGGAACGACACAATAAATTTGCTCACTGCATAGCACTTGCCCACGGTGGCGTCATAGGATGAGGATTTTGTAAGTAAGACATCACCACCGCTGATATGGACAGCATGAAGCAGCTGAGAATCTGCTTGGTGTCCTCGCTGACTCGCGAATTGGCGAAGCTGATGCAGGAGCAGTAAAGAGCCACCCAAGCGCACCATTTTAACCTCATCATCAAGCCGCACATGCTGAATATCATTCCTATGACGTTCATGTAGTCCGGTGTCAAGTCGTCCTGCATCTGAGCCTGATTATTTGAACCTGGTGGTTTGTAGCGAACTTCTTTGTCGGGCCGCCGCGGATCGGTCGAGCTATTCATCTTGCTGGCTGTGATAAGAAATACAGATTGTCAGGTGAAAACCGTAATGAATGATGAACCTCACTGTTTCTAATGTAGCTAAATTGACGAAGAGAGTTCTTGAAGCTATTTTCACTTTGTCTTGACAAAAAGATATATATATATATATATATATCTTGTCTCTTTACAATTGCAGATAGTCTAACAGTATTTGCAAATTCATCGTTGAAATCATACGACTAGAAGCGGAGAACTATCGATATATTCTACCCCACTAATAAACAGACTAGATATACTCACGTGCTTATATACACCAGACAAAATAGAAAATAATTTAAAGAACCATCGCACAAAAGCAACTATCTCTTCTTCTCAATCGTAGTAGGGAGGAAAGACACATCTGTTCTGTATTATGCGCTATACGCAACTTGTCAATGGTTGCTTTTCATCGAGACGATTGTCGCTTCATTGGCTACATATCTGGTCTGTTCTTTGTAGCTGCACTGTTGAACTGGTGCAATAAGTGAGACAAATATAGGTTTTCTCACTCTAGCTTATTGCACCAGTTCAGCAGCGCAGCTACAAAGAACAGACCAATCATCTCGAGACGCAGCCAATAAAATGATGTCGTAGTATATAAAACACCTGACGTAGTATATAAAACACCTGACAGAAGTTTTAAAAAAACAGAGCACTCCACAAATTTGACATTCTATATTGCAGTTTTGCGTTAAATGTACATATATACATGTACATATATACAAAGTCTATCCAGAAAGTATTGTGCTTTAACTTTGAACTTAGAAGTGCTATTGTCAAAAACAGGTATTCACCATAACGGGGTAAGGGGGGAACCTTTATATAAATACCCCCCACCAAACAGTACGCGCAACAGTTGTGTTCACTGTTCAGTCGATAAGGGTACGCTGTTGTGTAAACGTTAAATCTTGTGCGTGCCGCATTTCATAATGACTGAACGCATCGAACAAAGAATCTGTATTAAATTTTGCCAAAAACTTGGCCATTCTTGTTCGGAAACCATCGCTATGATTCGTGAAGTGTATGCCGATGAATCTATGGGTGTTACTCAAATTATATAATAAATCAAACGATTTAAATGTGGTCATATTTCCGTTGAAAGTGACCCTCGTTCTGGCAGACCTGTAACGACAAGAACCCCTGAAAATGTGAAACAAGTTCAAATTTGAATTAATCAAAATCCTCGTTTGACAGTGCGAGAGATAGAGGAAGACCTCAGGGTTTCAAGATCTACAGTTTGGCGAATTTTAAGGCAAGATTTGGGGATAAGCCGCGTGGCTACAAAATTCGTTCCACGGCTACTGACGGAGGATCAAAGGAATTATCGAGTGGAAGTCGCCCAGGACAATTTGAGAACGATCGGAAACAACCCAGAAATGTTCAAAAAAGTTATTACTGGGGACGAGTCATGGGTTTATGATTATGACTTTGAAACAGAAGTCCAATCTTCGCAGTGGAAGACGTGCGAAGAGCAACGACCTAAGAAGGCGCGCCAAAGTCACAACAATATCAAGGCAATGCTCATTGTTTTCTTCGACCAGGAAGGTCTTGTTTACCATGAATATGCTCGAGAAGATCAGACAGTGAGCAAAGAATATTATCTAAAAGTTTTGAAGCGATTACATGACACAGTGAGAAGGAAACGGCCTAATCTGTGGAAAAGTGGCGACTAGGTGCTTCATCACAACACACCTGCCCATTCATCGCAACTTATCCAGCAATTTCTGGTGAAACATGGAATCGGTCAACTTTGCCAGCCCCCTACAGTTCTGATCTAGCTCCGTGCGATTTCTGGCTTTTACCCAAATTGAAAAATCTTCTAAAAGAAAGAAAATTTGATGACATAGAGAAAGTAAAGAGGAATGTGACGAAGCAGCTTTTAGCTATCCCAAAAACTGAATACAAAGAATGCTTCCAACAATGGAAGGATCGCTGGAAGAAAGTTATGGCTTCCAAAGGGGAGTATTTTGAAGAGGATATTGTTGCCATTGACTAGAATTAACTCCTTTCTCCTGCTGCAGCACAAAGTCGGATACTTTCAAGACCGACCTTGTACATACAAATTCTTTAATTTATTATATAATATATAATATATTTTCCTAAGCTTAATATATATACACATGTATAATTATTCTAGTTTTGTATCCTTCCTTAAACTGTTTGCTTTCTTTTTCTCAGAATCATCTGGATCAGTTTCTCCTTTGGTATCTGTACTCAGTAGCCGTAGTTGTTCGGGAGCATTCTGTGGTATCAGGGCAGCTACGACATATCTGCCGTCTTCATTTGCAAAATTGAACACTGTGCATGCTTTAACTACAGACATTACTTCCACAGCAATCTTATGTTTACACATAAGTTCTTGTATATATCTGATATGTGAAAAAGTATATTGTTTTTCAAGACCAATAATCACAAGATCAGGCTTAGGCTCCAGGATAAATAACAATGACAGAGTTGAATCGTTTATATGTTCCCCTGACTCAATGTTCCAACAGAGACCTAGTCTTGGAAAAAGTATTGTTGGTCCTATTATCATCTTATCATTGTTCAAGGTAAATCCTACCTTAAAAGTAACATAAACATTCAATTACAATTGAGAACAATGAATTGACATGTCGTCAAGTGTCAATCAGCTGTAACAAGTGTTATCTCTCCAAGTGAATTAATAAAGCACATCAAGCTCACCTCGTCGCATTTCTGTACCAAGATTCGAGGGCCAATTTCCTTACTGATAAACGTGACGGTTGTCTTACCAGGGCCTTCATATGCAGCTGCACACCGTGCGAGAGACGTGACATGTAAATTCCTATAAAAATTGTAAACACTTCAAATTATCGACTGGGTTTTTTCATGAGACAATCGGAGCATAGGGACGAAAGATCATAACGAAGCTCGCTACTTTCTCTCGCGATGTTGAATGAAGAATCAGCTGTTTTCGTAATCGGTGCGACAATCGGCGAGGCACCGATTCTTGAATGTTAACCGCGAACTTGGAGTGTTACGTACCTGCAGCTCCGCAGCGCTTGTCTCAATTGACACAACTTGCCGGTCACATTCATCGTGTTCAGTCAAAGTACGCGTGTTTTCCCAATACAAATGTGTGGTAACGCAACACGTCGAGATTAGAAGCAAGTTGAAGTTAAAACGCACCGCATTTACGTCATCGCAGTTACAGGTTAGGATCCATCAGTCGTATGATGGTCTCTCTCTGTTTCCTTCGCTCCCTCTATTTCAGTCTGTCTCTTTGATTGGCCGGCGAAGCGCAAGTTGCATTCTTTCAAAATTCAGCCTTGGAATCGCTCTCTGATGCGAATGACGCGGCACTTGGAAAACCGGAAAGGAAACCAACGATCAGCTGTGTGTGTATCATTCTTTCTTTTTTTCGCGAGGTGTCCGCGTAAACTCGTCGGACGGCTCGTCTGCATCGCGAATTATAAGCGCATCATGGCGACGCGCGGTCACCTGCGGCGGTCGCCCCTTCCCGTTTTTTCGGTATATTTTTAGCAATATCGCGTATAAATACTCCATCGCACGGATACGTTATTTTAATGTAACACCGATGGTCATCGATCGCGACGAAAATGAACAAGGGCTGCTGGAAGTTCGACGAGGAGGACAAAGGTGAGCGTGCGACACGTTTTCTCTCTCTCGCTCTCTCTCTCGGAAGATCCGCGAGAATGATCTACGCGGGATCGCGAGAGTTCGCAAGATCGATATTCCGTCCGGAGAGAGGCACTGCGTGTTTTTGCGGCTCGCGGCAGCCGACAGTGCTCCCAAATTGCACGCAGATTCACGTGGAAGGCGCAGAATTGCGCGTCGATTCTGCGTCTTAATCGGACGACCAAGTGAACGGCTGTCACTAGAGATACGATACACGCGACTGTCTCATATCGCATGTAGTGAAGCGACTTTTATTCTCGATATGTCTGCTCGGTTTGCTAGCCCCCTTTTCTTTTTCTTTTATTCGCCGCTCGACGCGGAAAATAAAGCCGGTAATATGAGGTGAACTCCTCTTGGAGTACGTGAGCGCGAAAACTCGCGAAGATTAATCTATAATCAGAATCGACATTAATATAGTCTAAAAATAATTTGCATTTCAAGGTAAACGTAAAAATAGGGCGTTAATATGAGGGGAGAGAATACTGGGTGGTGCTGTTAAGTATAGTGAATAGGTGATGAGTTTGCAATTTGTTGTACAACTAATGAAACTTTCTTTTCTCCGCAAAGCCTTGTACATAGACCTGGAGGAGGAGGACGCAGAGGAGGGTAAGACGTACAGCTCTTGGGATCAGACCCCTGACATATTGTTGGAAGAGATATTTTCATACTTGACAATTCGTGAGCGTTACTATGCATCCTTGGTGTGCCGTGCGTGGTATCGTGCCTTTAAACTACGAAATGTATGGTCCACTTTCACCCTGGAGGACACCACCCTCACAAGGGGCAAGTTCAACTATTACAGCGGCTGGCAGTATGTCCTAGATCACATGAGAACGTCCACCTGTTTGAACAAAGTTGGAAGGAATTTCCGGACACTCATATTTGAGCCCATGTTGAATTTCTACAATCTTTATGAGTTCATGAACATGATATCGTGGTATGCCGAGAGACAAGGCTCAGACAACACCTCCGTGGCTGGTGTGGGTACTTACATACGAAGGCTTAAATTTACCTTTCCGTGTAACATGGCGAATAGGGATTTCCCTGATCGAATCAGACTCTTTGGCACAGGCGGCAAGCTGCTGGAAGCACTCAAGAGGCTCATGAGAAATTTGCAAAATCTTAGGTGTCTTGAGCTGATTGACCTGATGCTCGACAACAAAGAAGCCTTGCACCTGATGGACGACATTTGTACTAATTGCACTCAGACTTTGTCGAAGTTGGTGCTGATAAACACCACCCGTTACAATTGCCCGTTGTTGCATGTGGGAGTATTTGTTAATTTAAACGTAAGTTTGAAATGCCAAAGGCCACACTTGAAGGCGTCTCGTGCGCTGCTTGATCGTAGGAGTATAATGTCTCTTTGTCCAGGTCTTGGTAATAAGTCCGCAGAATCTGCACGAGGACATAATAGAGCTGATAGGCTATACGAAATTGCAGCACTTACATATCTTACAAAATCGATACAGTGCGAAGGACACCACTATAAGATTGGTAATTTTTCCTCTTCTCATTCGCCTCACTGGCGATTTATATGTTGACGCATAATTGTATAAAGTGATTACATATTAACACAGATGGAATATATCCATTGCGAGTATCTGATTTCAGCCAAAGAGATCCTCGTGGGTGAAAATGAGGGCGCACAACCCACACCTGAAGGTACATTTCGAGGTGGAGAGTCACAATTCCACAGATATTCTCTTGCCCATCGACCTGCTGGAACATAGTGCTATACCCTGTCACAGTATAATATTGGATAATTCGAAGATACAGGTGAGCAAAGTGATAATTTGCAAACTTGCAGATAATGCAGTAAAATCGCCGTTCAAATCAGACATACACAACATTGATATCAGATTTCTTCTTATCAGGTCAGAAAGTTCACTTTATTCACACTTTATTCGGCAATAATGTGAATAAACTTGACTTTATAAGAAATCGAAGCTTTCATTCTCACGAAGTCAAAAAGTTTACACTTTATTTATACTATTGTCCAAAATAATGGAAACTTTTTGACTCTATAAGTGGAATCAAGTAACACAACACAATGTATGTTGTTTGATTTCATCACGCTGCAAGATCTTTACGGGCTTATTTTGTACTCTTCATATTCTTCTTCTATAGCATATATTATCGTCATAGTGATATAATTATCTTTGCAGATTTCACCGTCCACAATACTCACCCACGGAGCGTTCTTCGACTCGACGATACGAGTGTACGCTTTCAAGGGAATAACCAAGTACTACATGAACAGGAGTTTCGCTACGAGATTAGACGAGGCGCTGGTGCAATTCTGCAAAATGTGCCCGCAGCTGCACACACTGGTAGCACTTTGCATTTGAATCGACCTGCCTCTGACTCGCCTATGAACTCACTATCTCTAAAACGCTAGGCTGATGTTAATAACGCCTCTTTGACACGTTGGCATGCGCGCGCTCGTATCCTTCACACCTGTGATAGGCTTTCTAGCAACGTATATGAGTGCAAATTCCTCCCGACTACACTGCCTCAGACTCATTTCAAACTTATTTCACATGTGGATCCTCCCAGGTGAAGATTTTACCTTTTCACATCATATATCTAATCGAATAATAAATAAGTGTAAGCATCAAACACAACACTCTGGAACTCTTAGCTAAAACAGGATCGAGCCATCAGGTTTGTAAGATTCGTCTTGCGTGTGAACTCATGCTCAAAACGGACTTTACACATCACGGACTCGATTCAATTGTAGCGCTAAACACCCTCAATGTATGTGTAATAATCATTAACTTGAATAGAGTTTCTTGCGCGTCGTCGTCGTCGTCGTCGTCGTCGACCGCTACATGCGCACATTCTCCTCGTCAACTTACGACGATACATTTTTCCCCACAGATGATCCGCGACAAGATATCCACGGCCACGATTTTAGAGATTGTCTCTACCGCGAAACGCTTGCGCTGCTTATACGTGCGGCGAAACGTCGTGCTGAAGAGATGCGACAGAAACTTGTCGAGGATTCTCGACTGGTCGCCCGAACATCATGAGTGGGTTAAGGTAAACAGTCGTAGTTACGAGAACACCGAGAGGGAGGTATCGAAGATACTGCGTTATCGATGGCACATGCTGTCCGAAAGAGAATTTAAAGACCAAGCGATCAATATGCACATATAGAGTTTCATCGCGAGACGCTCGTTTCTCGGCGTAAAGAGTGCGCGCGAGAGGGCTTTAAAGAGCCGCGTTAAAAATAACAAAAAGAAGAAGATTCTTTTTATACTAAAACGTCTCTCATGAGAAACAAGGCTGTAGATCGTTGCCCACCTTGACTGAACGCTTATAATGTTACATAGTATTAATGTTTAATTTTATTTCTACGGTACATTATATATATATATATATATATATAAATTGTACAGAAATTATATACCGCATACAACACAAAGAGAGAGAGACACACGATATCTTTGTATTCGAAGCATTATCTCAGTTCTACGAAATCGCAATATCTCATGATAAAAGTGACTGTGATCGATATACTTAACGGCACATGTAATAACTAAACATACGTGTTGGACTGTTCTCTGCGGATGAGCTTGTTCGATGAATAAGCGCAATAGCAATAAAATGGGAGGAAAGTAACATCACATCACACACGCCCATGTTTCTATCTATATTCTCGTTTATTCGAACGTACGTCATTGTAACTTACGTGTAATTATGTACAATGCTGGTCAATATCTCGTGTACACCTTAATTACATATATGCATAGTTACTGTTTAATATGCAAAATAATTCCGACTGATGTTGAAGAAGGTGTATTCTTTTCTGTGCTACATTACTTCCAAACGAGACAACAATTTCATATCCATGGCCGTTATTATAAAATACCATACAATTTGATCAAAATCAACAGATATAGATAACATACACCCGTGAAACAACAGTGATAATCAAAAGTAACAATAAAGCATATCACATTGATCGGCGTTACAGCAGTTCAATAAAATGCTCGATAAAATCCAATTAATTTAACTACGACGAAACACATGACTGTTGTTGATGTAACAGCATTAATGTCGTATGTATACATACTTGACTCTCGCACGCACACACACACACACACACACGCACATATATATATATATATATATGTGTGTGTGTATATATACGTGCTGGATTTTATTTAATATCAGTAAATTGATGTACTTTTTCTGAAATACGAGCAAGTTAGCCGTCACGCGAAATATCCGCGAATGGGGAGTTTGTATTAGCAGCGTGCAAATTTCGATCCGACGATACCGAGGAAAACTGTAATACGCTATCGAATTTGACAATAAATAAGAAATAATTAAGAATATATTTGTATTACACTAAAAGAAGAAGAGTCAAACAACCAGCATGTAGGAGCAGAAGTGAAAAGTGATTACGGCGCCATGGCTGCGGATCGCTTGTCGCGGTTCTTGTTGCGCTGGATCGTGCGCGCTTTGAACGCGGCCGCATTCATCAGCGTCTGCAAAAGTATCGCAAAAATCGCACCCTCTTAGTTTGGCTTCGACCAAGATGAAAAAAGGTGCAACCGCATTTCTCGGAGCCCTTTTCCCCTCCCGAGTCTCACCTACCCTCTCTAATTTGCTCGTTTTCTGGGACGACGGTATAGGTAGAACTTTGTTGCCGAGGTGGAAGATCTCGCGCAGCAGCTGATTCTCGGCGAGATGAATGTTGATACCAGGACCCAAAAGCCGGCAGCAGGCGTTGTACTGCGTCCTCGCGCACCATCCCTCCAAGTACAAGATCTCTTGGCCGAATCTCACGTGCATCTCCGGGACGACATCCTCCTGGAAGAAGCAAGAATACGTACGTCTCGACGCATCTATTCACACTTCACCTTCGAGTGTGTGTGTGTGTGTGTGTGTGTGTGTGTGTGTGTGTGAGAACATATCGTCAGCTTCAGCAACTTGCCTCGATGTAGCGCAGAATGTCTCTGAAATTGGCACGTTGCTGCTTGCGATCCTTCTTGGCTCTGTACTTGTTGGAGTCCGTGGCGAGTTCCTTGAGAATTTCGACGAGGTCCAGTGCCCAGTCCTGCTCGTAGTCGCAGGAGAAGTCGCGGCCGAGCTCGAATATCACAGCCAACGCCTCGCCAGCCGACAAACGCACGTCGAGATGCGGTGACTCCAGCAATTCGCGCAGTCGATTGAGAGAACTGCGAACAAAGTGAGAAACAGCATGGGTGCTCGATCGAGATCGATCGCATCGCGTTCGTCACGATTACTCACGGCATGTAACTGTTCGTCTTGTCGCTCGCGAGCAAATTGTAGATGTCCGCAGAAGTCATGACTGTCAAAAGCAGAGTCCACGACGAGATAGCCGCCGCGTGTAGCGCCGCCGTGTCCGCGGAGATGTTGGCGATCGCGCCGTTCCCCTTCAGATAGGAGCCGGAGAAAATCGACGAGAGCAGCTGCATAATTTCGACGGTATCGTCCGCGTCGTTGCCCGACAAGAACTGGTTCATACTCAGCGCCCAGCAGCACTGGAATCGTTCCGCCGACGTGAGCCACGTGGGGAGTCGAGATCGTCAAGGAGCGAAGGAGTATTCGCATCAGCTGGTCGCTCATGGTCGGATATCCTATTCGAAATTCTCTCAAGTTTATCTTCAAGTTCCGCTCCGTAGCGAAACGATCCGCACAGCGTACTTGAAGATAAGCTTCCGACGATTTTAAATTCAATATCCGACCATGAATGCCGCCTATGATCAGTGGAAGGAAGACTGCGCAACGCTCGTCATCAACGAGAGGACAATATATCTTCCAGTAATTATCAGAAGACAAAGAGCCTCGGCAAGCCCTATGCAAAAAATGCCCGTTTTCGGTACCTCGGTTTTTGAAACTTTTTTTATGCCAAATGGTTACTTACGATGACCCAAAAATCCCTGCAAAATTTCAAGACGAGCATATGCCCTGTTTAAGAAATATAGGGGGTCAAAGTTGACCATGTCCAATTAAAAAATATAGCAGCTTCACATTTATATTCCAATAATAATGTCCAAAAAATTCAGCCGAAATGGTTCTTTTAAGATTTTTGGCTGCTAATTACAAATCTGAAGTCAGATTTTAAAAATTCAAAATGGCGGATCCAATATGGCGGACGAATTTTTCTTAAATTCGTCAGATTCACTTGAAAGTCGTTATTCGGGGGTTTTTGGGGTTCACCAAATACGAAAGAGGTAAAAATCTTGTCATCTTTACTTCTTTTTTGCTTATCACAGCTAACGCATTTAACGAAAGGCATTTTTACTAGAAAATCGAACTTTTTGCAGTAGCGCATATAAAAACTTTTTAAACAAAAAAGCATAGATTTAAGTCATTAGCATGAAAAAACAAAGAGTACAAAAAAAATCTTACCATTTATCATTAATAATATTTTTCAAACAACAATATTTCCAGATTTTCGAAACTGAAACTTTTATTTTATTACATTCGCAAGCGTACGATACAAGTAAGATGTAGGATGGAATGGAATGTTAATGAAATGATCTGCTGATCGTCTTTTGTTTTCAGAGTTTCGTAACTCTAGGCCGAATTCTTTAAAACGAGACTCAGTCCGCTCGACGCTCACCGCTCCTAGGTAGAATGTAGTTCCAATGTGAGGAAAAATAGGTCCATTGTAGGACAAAATAGATTCTATGTAGGGTCAAAGTAGGTTTAATGTAGTGACAAAGAAGATTTAGTGTTGGTTAAAAGTTAGTTAACCGTTAAATTCGTAATCAGCGACCCCAAAAACCTCCGAGTAACGAGTTTCAAGTGAATCTGATGAATTTAAGAAAAATTCGTCCGCCATATTGGATCCGCCATTTTGAATTTTTAAAATCTGACTTCAGCTTCGTAATTAGCAGCCAAAAATCTTAAAAGAACCATTTCGACTGAATTTTTTGGACATTATTATTGGAATATAAATATGAAGCTGCTATATTTTTTAATTGGACACGGTCAACTTTGACCCCCTATATTTCTTAAACTGGGTATATGCTCATCTTGAAATTTTGCAGGGATTTTTGGGTCATCATAAGTAACCATTTGGCATAAAAAAAAGTTTTAAAAATCGAGGTACCGAAAACGGGCATTTTTTGCCGATGCTCTTTCTTAGAATGGAATTCTCTTCGAGTTTATCGAGGTAAAAGCGCCGCCAATGTCTTTCCTCTACACCGACCGTAAGTCATTCCCCCAGACCTATACATCTACCCGAAGAAAAGAAGGAATCGAGCTTTCCTTCCTTTCTCTCTCTCTCTCTCTCTCTCTCTCTCTCTCTTCCAAGATGCAGGTACTTTACCTCGGCGCGAGCAGAAACGGAAGCTGTATTATCGCTGGCGATGAAGGTCAAGGTCGACTTGTGGTCCCTGCAGATCATCTCGGCGCTCTCGAACGCGCCCAGTTGCACGCACAGCAGGGTGCTGAGCCTGGCCGCCGTGGATTGCTCGTCGCCGCGGCCCTTCTTCAGGCCGCGCTCCACGGAATCCGCGATGGTCATCTTCCTGTCCTCCACGAAGTCGGGGATGTACTTGATGGCGAATATCTTCTCGATCCCGTTGAAGCAGATCGTCCTGCCCTTGGCGCTCTTCTGGGTCAGACCGTCGATCGCCTCCCTCAGCTTCTCCTCGAACGCCTCCTGCTGCGCGAGTTCGTCCACCTCGTTGTCATTCGCATCCTCCAGCACGCTGCGGTTGTCGGATTGACCGCTGGTATCGCTGCACGCGTCATTGTAGACTGAGTCCTCGTCGGATGTTAACTCAGCTCTTTTTCCACCGTGACCTGCGCCATCGGGAGGATCACAAGCGTGAGGGGGGACATGTGCGTCGTCTGGGGCAAGTTGTTCCAATTCTTTGCTAAGTTAACTGTGACGGTTCAAATCATACGTCTGTCTTCGTCTAAGTCGGAGGAAAAACAAAGACACAGACATTCGATTTAACTATCAGGTTCACCTTACGTCGGAACTAAGAAGTTGGAACAACCGGAACCCTGAAATGATATCTTGCACTTCAAGGACTGTGCGATGGAATGCTTCGTCTGACTTCCTGGTGGCGCGTCCACCGCGTGAATCTCTTTCCGGAGTTTCACGAACATTCCAGTTCGCTTCCTCAGCGAGAGAGAAAGAGAGGGGGGGGACTACTCGAATTCTCGTCGTTTCTCTACCTGAAGAGGCGAACTGGAATGTTCACGAAACGTCGGGAACGAATCCACTCGAGACTTCGCCGAGACTCGCTGCTTCGCGTCCGTCCCGAGACAAGCGTGATAATCTTCGCACCTGCATACCTCTCGGCTGCTGTCTCGAGCTACTCGCGAGAGGCTACGCGCGATGCGTGCTAATTGCGATTAACGAAAGTTAATCAGCGTGGGAGCTAACCACGTGAGACAATTCACGAGCTGCGCGAATCATCAGCCATGTCGCGGCAGCTGCGTTTCTTCGCGCGCGTCTCTGCCGGTCGTCGGCATATGATGCTTGCGTTCCGCAAAACAAAACTGCTTTACAACTGTTGTAAAATTCGCGAATCTGATTGGTGCATGCTCTTAGATTCGGCTAAATTTATTAAGAGCATATGCCAAGTAAAATTATGAATTTTACGACAGTTATAAAGCAGCTGTTTTTGCTGGACGCAAACATTGCTTACGTTCAGCAGAAAAAGCTGCTTTACAACTGTTGTAAAGTTCGCGAATCTGATTGGTGCATGCTCTTAGATTCGGCTAAATTTATTAAGAACATGTGCCAAGTAAAATTATGAATTTTACAACCGTTGTAAAATTCGCGAATCTAATTGGCGTACGCTCTGAAATTCGGCTAAATCCAAAAGTATGCACCAATCAGGTTCACGAATATTTTATAATAGCGAGGAGAGTCGCAAAGCAGTTTTGTAAAATTCGTAAATCCGAACTGGATGCATGCTCTTAGATTCAGCTAAATTTAAGAGCATACGCCAATTAAAATTATGAATTTAACAGCAACAAAATTGTAAAGCAACTTTTTCTATTGAACACACCATTGCTTATGTCCAGCAGAAAAGGCTGCTTTACAACTGTTGTAAAGTTCGCGAATCTGATTGGTGCATGCTCTTAGATTCGGCTAAATTTATTAAGAACATGTGCCAAGTAAAATTATGAATTTTACAACCGTTGTAAAATTCGCGAATCTAATTGGCGTACGCTCTGAAATTCGGCTAAATCCAAAAGTATGCACCAATCAGGTTCACGAATATTTTATAATAGCGAGGAGAGTCGCAAAGCAGTTTTGTAAAATTCGTAAATCCGAACTGGATGCATGCTCTTAGATTCAGCTAAATTTAAGAGCATACGCCAATTAAAATTATGAATTTAACAGCAACAAAATTGTAAAGCAACTTTTTCTATTGAACACACCATTGCTTATGTCCAGCAGAAAAGGCTGCTTTACAACTGTTGTAAAATTCGTGAATCTAATTTTGGCGTATGGTCTGAAATTCGGCTGAATCCAAAGGAATGCACCAATCAGGTTGACGAATTTTATAATAATTGCGAAGCAGCTTTCTTCGCTGTGAACGTAGCCCCATATTGCGACAATTAACGTCGAGTCGATCGGCGAAAAAGCGACTTCGCCTGCTCGAGGAGATCGAACGAGCCGATGATCGATCGCCGAAGAAGCCGATCGCGGGCGATTAAAGGCCACTTGATCGGAAACGGTGCGGGTCTGAACCGGTAAGTAGGCGGATAGTCCGGGCCGCGGGGGGGAATAATAACAGCTGAAAGTGAATGTCACGTTACGTAATGTGAAATCCACACAGCTGTTATACCTGTTTTCCATCACCAGGTTGCTCGTGCGTGGTCGCGCGCGCTCGGCGGCGGCGGCTCGCGATTGTAACAAATACCGCGGAATTACATCAGTTTCACAGCGCGGTGTAACTCTCTCGACTTTCAATACGAGAGATAAGACTCGAGAGTGGACATAATCAGGCGAGGAGAAAGAGAGAAAACAAAATACACCGAAAACGTGATAAAAGCGCGATATACTTAGCTCAAGGCTGCACTCCGAATGTTACGTTGGGAGCAGCGTGTCACTGAGAAGAAGATTCTACGTAATCCTGACACTTGCAAATGTGGCAAAACGCAACGTCGAGAAATAAACATCGACCGGCGGAGGACCGACAGTCGCCGAAATTATCGGCGCGAGCGGACGGATAAGAGCGTGGATGAACCGGACGATTCGTCAAAACAGATGCGCGGTAATGAAGAAATCACGCAGCCTACTCGACGAGCACAAAAGACGAAAGGTCTCGCGTTTTCAAGGACAGACCAGGCAGATATGGAGGAGCAGGGAGGGCAAGCTTTACCGCAATTAAAATATTTGTGTAGTTGGCAAACGAAAGAGCGAAAAACGAACGAATATCTAGAAAAGAGCGCGACAAGCGACGTAAAGCCGAGACATGTGAACGAGAGCGCGAGAAAGAGAGAAAAAAAGGACACGGCGCGGCCGCCGTCGATTGCCGCCGATTGCGCAAAATCTCGCTCGGGTCTAACTCGAGTTCGAGATCGAGGAAAGATCGTCGAATGCGTCACACACAGTCTGATTAAGTTTCTTCTTACTCGCGCATCGTCATCGTCTGCACTTGAAGAAAATATGATATATATATATATATATATGACATATATATATATATGTGTGGAGGGAATGACATATATATATATAGCAACATTTGTCTAACATTGATAGTGGCGGAAATTGAAATAATGATTGACAAAGAATTAACAAAATATTCATGAACTTTATTCGTAACGGCATTAGTTAACAATCAGGGAAACAACAATAACGCGTGTGTATATATATATATATATATATATATATATATATATATATATATATATATATATATATATATATATATATATATATATATTCGTAAATTTGCGCAAAAGGCAAGGGTGGAGGGGGTAGGGACATTGCACAACAGGACGGAACAGATCTCACGAAGGAACGAAATCAATATGCGCTCCGTGAGAATGAGAGCCAAGGAGTAACGGATCCGCGGATCCTCAGGAAGTCTCAGGCTCTCGCCATGGTGCTTCCCATAACCTCTCTGGAAGGATCACATGTGCCTTCGGCACATGCCGCCTCACCGTTTGGCCAGTGCTTCGCCGAATTTCCGCTCGCGTCTCCCGCGAATCTGCACGATCCATCCTTCCTTTCGCGTTGCCCATCTCGGGCCAACCGCGTGCTGAAATCGCCATGCGCTGTCTCGGAGAGACACGAGAATCACATGGAGAATCGAGAGCAGGGAACGTTGCATTCGCCAAAGACGGACAGCGGAAAATCGCACGCACGGAAAAGAGACAGCGAGTCTCTTTTGAGCGAGCGAACGAGCGAGCGAGAGAGAGAGAGAGAGAGAGGGGAAGGGGGCGAAAAAGCGAAAGAGAGAGAGAGAGAGGAAAGGAGAGCTTTGACGCAACGTGATGCAAGTCGTGCAAATAAATAAGATTCCCATTCGTTGACGCACGATGAATCACTGAAGCGGATTAAACGTGCGGATAGACGGACAAATGCAGCAACGATCGATAATTTAATAACGTCGAGAGCGCGCGTCACGTGCTCGTCCTTCACAGGCCGTGGATCCTCGTGGAAGAGCTGACGGAGGAGAGGTCACTCGATTCGGGAGGATGTAAAACGATAATGCGATAACGAGAGATTATCTCTTCTGAGGCTGAGGCTGAGACTCACCGTACTTTCTTCTTCTGCCCCCTTTGCCTGGCATCGTTCCTCAGCTTGCTTATTGCACAATTGGTACTAGGTGAAAGACTCGATCAAGAGGGTAAATGTCTCGCACTAGTGGTTTTTCTTCGTATACTGAACACACCACGTAAATTTTTCGTTGGGAGCCGACGAAAACTCATTAACATGTTGCGGAGCGTTCAGAACATACACGCCGAGACAGCCTACAATGGGCTTTCTCAAAGTGCACTGCCGTTGCCGTTGGCTCTCTTCTTTTCCTCTCCACGTCGCCCACGAACGCGCCCGATCTTTCTCGAATGCTGCCGAACAGGATCGAACGCGCAGAATCGTCGGCGAGTCTCAGTAGCGCGCATGCGCGACCCGTTACGCACGGAAGGTGCAAATGTTCTATGCGGATAACCCTATTCTCTGTAGCTGCACTTTCCGCATTTTCTTGTACTTTTCCAGTTGCCATCTCGATTCTACCAGGTGTCGTGTGAGTGCCTCCCACGCTTTGAGCTGCGTTCCGATATTCACTGCCAGTATTGAAAATATATACTTTATGTCACGTATATTATAGATTTTCAGTACTGGCAGTGAATATCGGAACGCAGCCCTGAATGGTAGCCCTGTGCTACAAAGAGCGGGTCCAAGGCCTTTGAAGTTTGAAAAGTTCGTCGAAGAACTCGCGCAGACTGTTTGCTTTCTTTCATGAGCTTTAATAAAAATAAAAATACTCGAAATTGGAAGTCCCTTTATCGACCCGGCGAGAGATCCATGGTACGGTAAGAGATTAAATTGTAAATAAAATATTAAGTTTATTAAATCCACTGAGCCTCAGAACGATATGTCAACATTTACAAACGGACTTTGGTACTTAAACTATAGATTAAGATATACATTCGCTTGAACGTAACGCTCTCTTATATTATCTTTATGTATATATTAACGAAACGAACATTCATACGCTTATATGTTATAAAAATGCACAAACAACATATGCGTTTGTTAATTCTAAGCTGTTTGAATACTTAAACCATAACCTTGTATAAAGTAATTAAAAGCACTTTCGGAACATCATAATTTGCTGGTTTTGGCAAAATATAAATATATAGCCACATGATACCTTTTCATGCGGCAGCACAAGTTGTTAAAATTGTTTGCAAGTATAATCAGTAGTATCTTAATTCTCAATGAAGACACTTTATTCGTATGATTTGGTTACTTACATAGCATCTAACCTTAAACACGTACAAAATATACAAAAAACGTACTATGTATTATATATATGATAATGATAGATGGATTCTCTTCATTTGATTGAATAGTTTTACAAGTAAATCATCAAAGCTGCGCATATACATACACATTGTGATAAACAAAAATAATGGATATTTATAAATATATATCATAAAAATAAAATTAAGTATCTTCACATAACAAATGTATACATATTCAAAATATAGCGAAACATTCAAAGAAAAAATAGCACTTTTCATAGAATAACATTACATATAAAAAAGTATTTTATACATATACATGTGTGTGTGTGTGTGTGTGTGTGTGTGTGTGTGTGTGTGTGTCAATAAACATATATTCTAAAACAATAAACAATATGACATATGAACACCATATGAAAAATAAAATTGTTAAATTTATATTTTTAAACATCTTAAATTTGTTATAAACTAAGATTGAAGAAATTTCACTATAATTTGAATATGTAATTCAATGTAATTAACTTAACTAATTCCTACCTTAATTTCACAGCAAATAAAATAAGTTTAAAAAACTTTAAATTAACTTTTTCAATATAAATGTTATACGATATGAGAAAAAAAACGTTATATTATTGGAGGTAAAACATTCTTTGTTCTCGTTTGTACGAAATGTTTATGAAAAACTTTTGATCCACTGTCACATACCTTGATATCATTTCTCTGAGATGATTTCAATGATGAAGATTGTTACAATTACTAATTGAAGATTGCACAACATATGGCAATTGCAATCTGCAGTGGTATTGGTAACTGTTATTAGAGAAGAAATTGAAGATGAAGAAAGCAATTGTTACGTTTTGGTGTCTTCCAGCTGTGTGTCTTCCAGTGTAAAAAAGAAATCAATTATATAAAATATTAATAACCGCAAACACCATCAAGAAACGAAGAATTCTGTCACTTGCTACCAAGCGACTAAAAAGATTCCAATCTGCAATCTTCATCTTTGTAATGATTGCTCGTGTATCAATCTTCGATTCGCAATCTTAACCCTTTCACTGTTAGTGGGAAGTATACTTCCCATTTTTTCTTTATTCAATTTTACATTGTAAATCACATAATTTTGAAGAACTAATCCGGGATTTGAATTTTCCAGATAACTGAATAGTTGTTCAACATACTCTAATAGGTTTTTATACCCAATTATTCATTTGTGATTATTTATAACAAATCAAAGTTAAAAAAAATGCGTTTTTTTTTTTTTTTTAAGAAAAATCGATTCCTCGGAGAGTATTGAATGTAGAGGTCTGAAATTTTCACCAAATATTTTTCTGATGCTGTACAAGAACATATATCTTTTTCAGTATTCTTTTGCAAGTTAGATTTTTCTTTTATAAACAAATATTTCTACAAAAACGGCCGAAATTTGATTTTTTTGCACTTTTTAGCTCTATTTTCCTAGTTTTTTTCATTCTGGATCTCCCCATCTCTTATCCATACTATCAATATTATTTTACTCAAAAATGAATGTTTAATCTGTAGTAAGCATAAATATGCAATATTGAACATTTTCCTACATCAATTTTTTCCAGCTCGATCGAGTTCCATCATTTAGAACAGAGCTGGAGACGATCTCTGCACATTTCGGGCGAAATTCAAGAGGTGACACCCACTGCTGCCCCCCCTGCCACCGCTCCGCGCTCAGCGGCCGAAGTGACGATCGCGGTGCGTTCAGGTCCGTCGCTGTATAAGAAATCAGCTGAAGCGTACCCTTGTGTCATATTATCATTAACATTTTTTCCTCGTTTAATAATCACTTTAAAATATATATGTTTATGCGTTATATATATATATATATATATAAAATGCATAAACATATATTTTTAAGTGATTATTAAACGAGGAAAAAATTTTAATGATAATATGACGCGAGGGTGCGCTCCAGTTGATTTCTTATACAGCGACGGACCTGAATGGCATCGTGATCGTCGCTTCGGCCGCTGAGCGGTAGCAGGGGGACGGTGGGTGTCACCTCTTGAATTTCGCCCGAAATGTGCAGATCGTCTCCAGCTCTAGTCTAGAATCATATGTTCTTATTACGACTTGGTCATTATTTAATAATAATTGGAATTTTCATTAATTTTGTACATCATGATCGCCATATTGAGTCCACCATTTTGAATTTTGCAAATTTGACTTTAGATTCGTAATTAGCGATCCGAAAAACGTAGGACTACCAAATATTTAAATAATTTTCTCAAGAGAAGTTAATTCAAGCAGTGAAAGGGTTAATATATCCTGATATATCCTGACGTCTACCGCATGTCCTGAATATGATTTAAGGCTATTCCAATGTGCATTTAATATTTTACGCTATCGCACCGAACAAGTAATTTTGCCTACAGCTCGCTACAACGGACAAGATTACTAGTACGGCGGTGAAAGCGCCTGATACACGCGGAGCTCCGTTACCGGATGCTCCTTTACCGGTGGCAGCGGCGCTCTGTGCGTTCAGCAAATTCTCGCACGGCGTTACCCTCTTGATAAAATTGAATATCGAGTCCACGATGTTCGCAGGCGTCGGGTCCGTGCACGTCTCCAGTTCCTTCACCATGCAAGCCTGAAGATTGCTCATGTCCCTGTGCGACACGTGAAAAACAGACGTATAAGGCTCCACCACATTTTCTTCAGAAGCTTTGGCAAATTGCCAAACGCGAGATTTTCTCGCGATTATTTTTCATTGGTGGCGCGCTTTATCTCCCTCTCGTGATGATAACGTAAGGTACATTACGTATTTACCGTCTCCCGCACAACTTACGTGCATTCTTTGTTTCCAAAGTTCAAATTCGGCAGATTCTCGAGTCCTATCAGTCCGCTGCCGGAGAGATCATTTTTTGGTATATAGCCACTTAGCGTTTTATTGGCGCAGTCTTGAACCGCGTCCTGTTTGCTTTGGAAACACTCCGGTCCTCCAGCCGCTATGAAGACTGAAAAAGTAACATCATTTCAGTCTTTCTGATTTATTGTGACGACAACATCGTGAAGAAACTCGAAGAGACAAAAGTCCGAGAGACTTCGGGCGCTTCTGGGAATTTTTCCAGAGACAGAGAGGTCACCGAGGAGTCCCTGAAGAAAACATCTAAAATGGTATACGTACGAGCGATGCGATCTCCCTCCTTGTAGCAAATGAATTCCAGCATCGAATCGGTAATGTTCATGACGATCTTTTTGTTCTCCTTTTCCTTCACGTCTAGACATTGCTCCACTTCATTGGTGAAGTTGCTCACGCAGGCACGGAGAATCGAGCGCTTGTTGCAGTACTTCTTGAACACGACGTCCAGGTCGCCGTTCGGCTTGTGCATTTCCATCTCCGCCTGAAGCTCCGTAACGTTGATGAGCGACTTAAGGCACTGTTCCATCTCCACCTGGGCTTGCTGCGCTTTCTCGAATGCCTCTGGCCCGCCATTTTTTGTACACTTCTCCCTGAAGAGATTTTTCGCCTCCTCCACGTTAGGCAGTGCTGATGTGTCCAGGCCCGGCAAGGGTACCGCTTCGTTGACCTGACGGAGTATCTCATCGGCGGAAGGCACATTCTCCTGCGAATGCGTGTGCCCGAGAAGACCTGAAGAGCAACAAAAACGAGGAAATTACAGACTGTGCACTTGGGCGGGAGAAGCGAAGAGCAATTACCTCGGCCAGCAATTACAATCGCAAAGTTGCTATTCACGCTTATCACCAATGTCATATCAATAACTCGAAATGTATTTCGAATGCATCGGCCAATGTTTGCAATAATGACTCGGTTTTATCGAACGATTGACAGCCATGCATAAATTCTGAGGCCGCGAATATCATCAAAGCTCGTCGAAAGCACGCATACACCGCCGCAGGAGCTAATGATCAATGCTTTTTTCTCCTCGTTTTATCTGACTTTAGCTTGACACGAGTGTAATTAACATCGTTACATCGTCTCGCACACGTAACTCCATCGCGTCGCGCGTAAAAAGACACTCGCGCTCCATCCGGGAAATATTGGATGTACAAATTAGTTCGGTCCGTTTTCAAAAGATGGCTCCGGCTGTTAAGAATGGTTCATAGTGACTGCCGATTTTGGCGGTTTCAGAGAGGTTAGACATCTGCCAATAATATTCAGTTTATATCGCTTTGAGTTTCATACAAAAACCTTGCTTTTTACAGTGTTGAAAATGTCGAATTTTGTGTTAGCCAAGCAGCATTTGCGGGAGGTTTTAATTTTCTGTTTTAATTGGAAGAAAAGTGCAGCTGAAGCCTATCGAATGCTTGTTGAAGTTTATGGTGACGCTGCTCCAACTGATAAATCATGTAGGGAATGGTTTCGACGTTTCAAGGATGGAGATTTCAGCGTCGAAGACAAGCCTCGCTCTGGACAGCCAAAAAAATTCGAGGACAAAGAATTAGAGGCATTACTCGAAGAAGATCAGAGTCAAACGCAAGAGGAGCTTGCAAAATCATTGGGAGTGACTCAACAAGCCGTTTCCGTACGATTGAGAGACATGGGAATTATTCAAAAACAAGGAAAACAAGGAAAGGGTGCCTTATGAACTGAAACCGAGAGACGTTGAAAGGCGTTCCTCATGACAACGCTCGGCCTCATGTCGCAAAAGTCGTAAAAAAATATTTGGAAACGCTCAAATGGGATGAATACGGCGCACCCGCCGTATTTTCCGGACATTGCTCCTTCTGATTACTGGTTGTTCCGAAGGATGCAGCACGATTTGGCAGGTCACCGGTTCGCTTCTTTCGCAGATCGAAAATTGGCTCCAAACTTGGATCGCCTCAAAAGACGAGTCATTTTTTCGAGATGGAATTCGAAAATTGCCTGAGAAATGGGAGAAAGTAGTAGCCAGCGATGGAAAATACTTCAGTTGATCTGTTCATTCATTTTATTTTGAAATAAACACGTCTTTTAACACAAAAAAACGGACCGAACTAATTTGTACTCCCAATAATTGCACGAATATCTTTTTTTCTCTTTTTATCAACGGGGTCAGTGACATATTTCATGCGCGCACGCACATAATGGAAACTCGGCGAGTGTTGATTCAGACAGAAATTCTCATTTTACAGTGTCGGCTGATAATCGGCGTGCCGAAAGGTCGCAAACCCAACAGGGTTTCTCAATGAGTTTCGCAACGCGTCCGTGTCCAATAGAAAAATTTGCTCTCCGATCATTGGCGGAGGACGAATTTGCTTATCGCTTCTGAAATTCATCGAGATAAAAGCGTTGCGATATTTAGCCCGCCGGCTACTGAATGTTTGAATTGCATTTCGAATCACAATAAAAGTCGCAGCGATGTTTTGTAAAACAAAGTACACTACTTCCACTCGTTACGCAACGTAAGCGATATCAGCCTCGTCGGTCGCATATTAATTCGCTAAGAACCGTGTCGTCATTAGCATTTATCGCCTCCATCCAATCGCCACAATCGCATGCTTTATATATAATTGACTTATAATCTTTATTCACGCGAAAAAAGCGACAGCTCCAAGGAAATATAGTTGAAGTTGTCGCGTCTGCGTTCTATTATTATTTTCTTTATTTTTTCATTTATAACACACGGGTCACACATGTGACCCCTTTGGTGTGCAGTGTAGTTGAGACAATAGTATAGCGAGTAAGAAGATTCTCATGCAATAAATAGGGAAAAAAATAAAGTAAGACAAAAAAAGAAAAAGGAAGGGAGGAAGAAAGAAAGAAAAAAAAAATAAGAGAGGAAAAAAAGGAGAAAAAAATTCCTTATTTTGAGGAACGAGCGCTCTTCTCGTATCTCGACCACGCTCGCCTGGCTGGTTACCAGATCCAAGATCGACAAAGATCTACAGATGTTTACGAAAAAAGAATTCTAAACTGAAAACGTAGTTTACGAAGATACATTTTCAAAGGAATACGGCGGTGGATAAAAAGATATTTAACGACCCGAACATTTTTGTGGAATATTAGCTGGAGGTGTGAAATCTGGACGTTTGGCAACGTTATACGCTACGAGTCTCCCATAGCATAGAAAAATCTCCCGCCGTCATTTCCTCCTTTCCGCTAAAGACAAATCGCGCGCGTAATCTACGGAGACTTTGTACTCGTCGCGTCAGCGATCGCGTTTTATCTGGATTTCTCTTTTGTCTCGCGCCGCCTCTCTTTCCGCCGTCGCCGGCACGTGTTGTGCGAACGCCGATACTTCTACCTTTCTCTCTCTCTCTCTCTCTGTCTTCGTATTCCCGACGGTGATTTTGCATAAACCGTCTATTACTGTGCGCGTGGACACCTCGACAACGAGGTGTCGCGTCGCTCCTTTGTCCCGTTCTTTCTTTTCCCTCCGACGTCATTACCGCGACGGGACGGGACGTTGTTTTTACGGCGCGGTTTTTAGTGCCGTGTATTCTCACAATGAAGTTCTGACAAGATGCTTGAAAGAGCACATTGAAACGCGCGACCGCGGGGCAAAGTGCAAGCGACACGCCAAATGATGGCGGCGGTAACTTGATCAACGATCGAGCGTGTTATCGCGCGAACCGGTGCAAAGATCCGGCGATCAAAGACTACGAGTTTCCTTTCATGTTCGAGTCGACGATCATCAGCCTTAGGTCAGATCTCCGTCAAGGGACGACGGTGATCAACTCTCGGCAGCCGTTCGCGACGATCGTCGTGCGATCAATTAATTCCGAACAGGAATAGAACCACTGCCGAGGTTGGCAATTTCATCGGTCGGTTCTCGTTCGGTTTGAACGACGAGGGGACGAGTTAATAATGAATCCCGATCGAGAACATCGCAATCAGTTCATGCTCGTTCGCGACTTGCCGTGTATTGTTACCAATCGTTACAAAATGCGTAACAACATGCGGCTTATCGGAAGAAAAAAGTTTACCAAGGCGATCACAGTTGGAGTATCGCGAGAATCACACCTATGAAATCTTGACTTTTCCACGTCACGTGGAAGCGCGCAACGTCGAGAATGCGTTTACGAGTCTCGGTTCGCGAATTTGGAGAAGGTCAGCTTAAGGGGGAGGGGGGGGGGATTACATGCGGAGCAGGTCGCTTTCGAGGCTATTTTTACGAATTTTTTTCAACAGAAACGATAACGGTGGAGTTGAAGTTTTTACAGTGTATTCATTAGTGTTCAAAGTATAAAATAAATTTTATCGAATCAGAAGAACCGATGCAATTTGTAATTATGGATAAAAACGCAGTCATCCGTTTGCGAGCTCTATGCTTGCCGTCGACATAATTCCGGGCCTCTCACTACTCTGAAAGCAAAAACCGAGAGAGATTTTTAAAATATACGGTTGCCATTATATCCCGTACCAAAATGAAGGCAGTGCAGCCATGTTTGGGAAAATAATGAGCGTACAAAAAAAAAGTGCCGAAAATGAAACTTTTTCCAACTTGTAGTCATGTTTAAAAAAATGAATAAAATAAAATATAATCGTGTTCGAGGTGAGGGCGGAAAACTATATGTCTATACTGTATATTGTATAAAAATTTCAAGTTATTCGGTTCAGTAGTTTTTGCATAATTTTAACGACAGTTTAAGAAAACAGTTGAAGAAACTGGTGTTTCCAGATAAACGCATTTAAAGTTTTATGCGTACCTTCCGTATGGATAGTAACAAATTTATTTTATACTTCGAACATTGAATGAGTACACTGTGAAAATTTCAAGTCCATTGATCCTACTGTCTCTGTTAAAAAAATTTGTTAAGGCAGCCTTGAAAACGGCTGTTCCGCCGGTAATGTAATTCCCCCCTTAATAGAATGTCCCGCCTAAAATACGGGAGAAGCGCGTTATTCGAGAGGACTATTCCAGTCGACAGTCAGACCACGAAGTCACTCACTGTTTTATCGCCTCCATAAAAGCAAACAGCTTTTGTCTGAAACGTCTTTTTCGCGGACATGCGTTCCTTCCGAAGTATCTTAAGTATTTTACTTGGAAAGTCGAGTCACTCTGTTACGTGTCACGATATCCTCCTCGATGAGTCGGACGACAATGTGCAATTACGAAACTCTTGAAAACTCGTTCATGACGAAAGTAGCGATACGGTCGAATTTCAAACGGAATTAGAAGCTGAATTTGCTACGGAAAAGAGAACGCACTTGGACGCGTCATAAATTCCTCGTTGCACTCGCCTCTTATCGTATTTATAGACTTTATTACGTATGTAATGTTTGACTTCTGATACGTAATCCATCGTGCATCGAGAATGTAAACAACGTCCCCAATGTTGTCATGTCCTTGCAGTCCACTCCCAAGCGTTCCAGTGACCGATGGGTGTGCAACGACGTTTTGTTCCCAGCTAATGGGATCAAGTAATTCTCAAGTGTTTTTTTTTTCGCTGCATCACGCATAAACCGCACCCGAAAGGAAAAATTACACTCGAGAAAATATTCCCTCCGGACTGAGGAGATCCCCCCGACCTTTGCATTGTTTTACACTACTCCGGAGTGCCTTGATGATGAAATTCTAATGTGCAAGCAATTAATGTGCGAGAAAGCCGAGATAGCCGAGAAAAAAGCCATCCAATACGTAAGATATATTGATCTTCATCATCGACCGAATGGCTCGTCATCGTTATTCGTGTGTTACGCGTGTGTGAAGCGGTGTGAAGCCCGCATTAGACCTCGAGTCTATTGGTTTGTTCTTTTTAGCTGCACTACTGAACTGGTGCAATAAGTTAAAGTGAGAAAAAATATAGTTGTCTCATTTTAACTTATTGCACTATAGCCGTAGTGCAGCTAAAAAGAACAGATCATATATGTTATGAAAGCACCCGAAGGTAAGGATGCCGATTTCAAATGGATTTAATCGAAGATCGATTAATCGGAGCCTAAAGGGTCGATTTCAAGTCGATTTTCTGGAACTAAATTGATTCAAGGATCGATCTGTAAATTCTGGAAATCGCCAACACGATTTTTTCAGTTTCTGCTAGTAATATAGTTCTTTTTTTTTAATTCTTTTTAGTTGTAATATTTGAACTCACTTAAGGGGACTGGAAGGTCAGATTGCTGAAAAATCGTGCTTGTTTTTGATAATATTTTGCGACGAATTGAATAAATGTGCGAGAATAAAAATTTCAGGTATATAGTTATATAACATATGAAGAGTGGAAAGATCAGTGGTCCGAGCAGAGCGAATTTTAGCTAGAAATCTTGAGGAAGCTTATCATTATCCGGTGAACCATTGGAAAAAAATCGAACAAAATTAACAAAATGGCAGCTATTATTAGGATAAAATTCAAATTTTTCAGTTCTTTTACAATAAAAAAATTAATATCTCGAAATGAAATATTTTGACGGAGTTGTCTATGGTTCACCTGAGAGCCACATGAACAAATATTGCTTTAAAATTTCAAATCGATACGAAGTTCAGTTTCGGAGAAATCACTGCAAAAAGTTGAACAATAAAATTTCGAGAAAAACGCGTTTAAAATTTAAGTGGACCTATATCTATATGAGTATTTGGTTGAAAACAAAATTTTTCTATTCTTCGTGTTATATAAATATATGTAAAATTTTCATTCTTGCACATTTATTCAGTTCGTCACAAAATCATTATCAAAAACAAGCACGATTTTTCAGTAATCTGACCCTCCAGTGCTATTAACCCTTCATTGCCCTCGTTTAAAAAAACGAATTTTAGTTTTCTCATATTAAAAAAATTGTATTAACATAATTCAGAAAATAACTATACAGATATAATCTAAATGGTTATAAGTAAAAAGTCAGAAAGTTTCAGAGTCAACTTTTATGCCACATCTAAGTAATTAAAAAAAAAAGAAATGTAAACTGAGCGTTTGCCTCATACGAGGGCAATGGAGGGTTAATGGCTGCACATTACGTTGCCTTTAGGCAACGATTCGCCCATGGGCGAAAATTTTCAGCGGAACGGAACGCGCGAACCAATCACAGCCACTCCATATAATAGTAAATATTATATACGCATGTATATACACATGTATAATAGTAAACGTGATTTCTTATTATAATAGCGTTTAAAAACCCTTGATTGATGTTTAATCAGACTGATTAAATCCTTAGCATAAAGATTTAAAGATCCTTTTCTATCTTGTTGTTGCCACACACAACACAACCAAAAGAGTATCCATCTGTTATATTTCTTTCATTCATATTAAACTTTATACGATAACTTTATACACGACGCCTACTTTAGAGTGTAGAAATTTGACAGATAGTATATTTTGAATGAGTGGAGTACATTTTACATGCATACCGATTCAAACTGATTTTCTGAAATCGATTCTTTACAAACCGATTCTTTTCTTCGTGATTCGAGTCGATCTTTAAATCGATCTCTACCGAATAAAAATCGGCATCTCTACCCGAAGGAGGTAAATCGGTTTTCCCTGAAAAACACAACGCAAGTCTAGGGAATAACGACTCCGACGGGGAAGCTTCCCGAATACTTTCATAACACTTGTCTAGATATCAGCTATTAGAGATCGAGGTCCACGGATTGGACATTGAAACCCGGACAATCACGACAAAGAGTTTCAAGTTGACTGTCTCATCGAGTTGCAATCGCAAAGTCGCAGGACCTCAATCTTCGATGTTCAGTCTGACTGCGAACGCATTGCGACAAAAAGAAATCCGGTTTTCCAGCGTCGACGAGCGAGAGATCCGCGAGGATCTCCTAAGCCGACGACGACGAGGACGAGTTGTACAACTCACCGAGAAGTAACATTACGGCAGTGAACGTGGTGCGCTTCATCTCGCACATTTCCGCGCTACGTTCTCGTGGCAGAGGTAGACGATGACGGAGATGTCGTTAACGGGGTGACTGCCCTTCGTTCGGTGGCTCTCTCCTCGTGTGCGTCACGTCAACGCACGTACATACGCATCACGCGCGTGTCACACGAGAGAGGGCACAATGCCAGCCTGGCGTGTCGTTCGTCAACGGACTCTTCGCGACGGCACCTTGGTTAGCTACTGCGAGCTACGAGCAGAGCAGATAAAACGAGGTAGAGAGGGGATACGCCGCGAGAAACGAAAACGAAAGAAAATCACTAAGCAATGACGCGCGCCAACTGAGACCACTCAACGCGCGCGTCCGTTTTATACGCATGCGTCGCGCGCCATCTCGCGGCCGCGCCATGTTCAAACTTACTCGTGAATCTCGACGGGTAAAAATCGACGGCCTAATTGGGAGCAAGCAACATTTTCGCGGTGAACTGAGACCCCTGTAAACACAAAGTATCATCGATATTACAATGTCAGCTAAATCATATGGTAAGTTGCATAACAATTGCTTTGTTATGTAACAAAGTAACAGTTACAGTACATACCGTATATGATTTAGCTGACATTGTAACATCGACGATGATACTTTGTGTTTACTGGGGCCTTATTCTAGGCGCACGGCGAATGCATTTTAATATATACCTGTTTAATTGCAAGATTAATTTTACTTTACTGTATGAGTATTGCGCAAAAAGTCGTTTCATTTTTGAAATTGGGAAGGCATGTTTAGCGTTCGCTAGATGCTCAAAAGACGGTCTTTGGTCTTACATTAAAGCGCTTTATTTATCATATTTTGCATTAAATCACGTTAAAATGCTTTATAGACTGGAAAGGAAATTCGCCTATCTTATTATGTACATTCAATTTAAATTTGTTTCGTCGTATTAGTTCTATATGAGCTGAGTTTAAAAGAATCTCTATCAGGTATCCTCGGTAGTATAGTGGTTAGTATCCCCGCCTGTCACGCGGGAGACCGGGGTTCGATTCCCCGCCGGGGAGAATACCTTTTTTTTTCTTTTTTTCAATCGATTATTGTAATTTTAGGATTTAGTATTTATTGCATTTTCTATTTTGCATGTATAAATTACAATACGCATCTTATTTTACAACTAACAGTACTCATGTAAGAGATAAAGGTTTAAGGACAAACAGTTATAGAGAACCGGTGATGATGTGGTGCATTTGCAAATTTATTAAAGTCATGATTAAAAAAACACTTAACGTTTTGTATGTTTTATACATGCGAAATATGCAAAGAAAAATTTGCACAATATGAAATTTAGTCCATTCCTATTCCTGTATTATGGGATCGAGGTGAGAGAGTTACCAAGCATCGGTGGTTCAGTGGTAGAATGCTCGCCTGCCACGCGGGCGGCCCGGGTTCGATTCCCGGCCGATGCAATTTTTTTTTTCTTAATGTGATTATTGTTTTTATACATTAAATTATACACAACTCGACGCTGTTCGATTCCACGAACCTCGGTGATCGAAATTTATTGCTGCAAGCATCAGTCTACGGTTGACTAGTTTTTGAAATTCCTCGACTGCTGCGTGATTAATTCGCTTGAATTCATCACGAAGTTACGATATTTTCCATTGCTACTGAACGCAATGTCGTTTTTGTAGAAGTCCTGAAGAAGTGCACTATACATCTCGACGAAGTCGTAGTTTATCACGGTGTCTGATCATTGATTACGCCACGATCGTGCACTAGATTTCAATTACTTATCATTATCGACACCGGTAGTAGGCGTAGCAAAGATCGTTGTGCAACAACTTTACATTTCCGCTTTCGCTAAGAGACATCGGCTGCAAACGAAACACTCGGACAATATCTGTCGCGTATAACTCGACTTTGCGCGGAGATAAGGATTTTTTTGACGGTAACGAAAGAGTGTGATAAATTTTCCACTGCCGTCGCGTGTAGCTCTTTTGACGGGGAAAATTTCATTCCGAAGCAATTAAAGAAAATAAAATCTCGGTATTATCACTGTTCATTTCTGATCGAGAGTTGAACTTATTATTAATTTCAACCCTCATTTTTACATCATAAATTGAATCCTGTCTGTCTTATTCCTTTGACTTCGTGATTAGTTCTCCATTCCTCGTGCCTCGATCGAATTGATTTCGCTCGCGAGCGGAAACGTTTCTCTTCCGAGAAAAAGGGAGGAAACGTTGATTGCATTGATCATGATGTTAGTCATAGCAATTGCATGCTACACATTTTTTATCTTATTCTTGTGATTTCCGAGAAATGCATCGTGATGGTCTTCCTGTTACGAACAACGCTAAAATCGTGCGTTGGCACGATATAAATTATTAGAATACATTTTATAAGGATACGTCTTTTTTTGGGTTACTTTAGCCTGTAGATTATAGAATCCGGGAAATAGAAACGCACAAGAGAGAGACGCACACGGAGAAACGCACAAGAGACACGATGTTGTCATCTGGAGCGTGACACATCGTTTATCGCAAGGAAACGGGACAATGATCACACACACGTGTGCCGAGGTAATTTTCACAGTCGGCAGTTCAGCACGTCCTAACCGCGACTGTTTTTATTTGCAGTGGAGCGAGCGCACGTGGTTTTACAGAGAAACGCTTAAAGCACGCGCGGTTTGTGCAGCGGTACAGCCAATATATGCGGGTTGCAGCTGCGCTATAAAATTGGACCCTATAACCAACTTCTGTCGTTATCGATAATTCATTAGAACGCTGAAGAAGAATGAGAAAAAGAGAGAGAGAGAGAGAGAGAGAGAGAGAGAGAGAGAGAGAGAGAGAGAGAGAGACGGCAGATAGCCGGCCTCGTTTACACTTTATTTGCTCAACTACTTTCCAGAAATAAACAAGTTATATCCGACTCGAGGATGGAGGAGGGAGGAAGGTGACAATGGAGTGACGGATAAATTTTTCATGAGTCTCTCCCGAGACCGGTCTCCTCTCGCGTCTCTTCTCCCTCGCTCGAGGACGCACGTTGCGATGAATCATTAATGACCGATAGATTTGTATGTATACGGAAAGAGTGTATGTATACCCGCTATTAATTTCGATGATCGAAATCAAGAGTGGACGACTTTATCATTATCGAGAACAGCATACGATGCTTTTGGATTTGCGCAATCGGCGCACTACGTGCAAGAGTCTAACAGCAAGCTAAGGCACACTCGGTACGATGTAACAATGACGATATTAATTTATACATTCGTCCGATGCAGCCGCAACGATTATCGCCGAACGGAAGGATGAGACGGCGTTGTGTCGTCCAAGTGTAAGCGCCGGTTTCGAGATTTACAATTTGTAAGCGTTGCGCATCATCAGGTCGAAGTAAGCGTCGTGATCTATGCTCGCGCTGATGGCGCAGTAGTAATTCAGAAACTCCTCCTCCGTTACCTGAAGCAAAACAAGAGACGATCACGATGAGCGCGTGTTGTCAACCGGCGAGTGATTTGAATAAGAATAAGACTTCTCGCAGAGGAAAAACCGGCAAATCTGTCCGGTATCTCTTATTGCGTATAATCATCTTAATAATTAACATTATGCAACGCACTGGATTTCCAATCTCTCTATGATTTCCGTAGCAAAAACACAAAGAGTTCAACATGTTTAACAGAAACTGGTTGAATTGATCAAACGCACTTCGGTTGAAGGAAACAAAGAAGGTTTTTTCCTAGAACCAAATTCAGGAAAGGACCAGCAATTACATTTCCTTCGGCCAAAACGCCTCTTCCGTTCGTTCATCACATCATGCAAACTCAGCCAGTCTTTCCTCTCCGTGTACAGATTTATCGAGAGCATGATTCACCGAAAAAAAAAAAATTCTATTTATAAAGTAATTTTTCCCATAGTCTCTTATATTCTAAGCCAAGCCTTTTACAGAAGAAGGATTCCTCTTTCGATCAAGCGATTAAAGTGAACCATTCGTCTAAAATTTATTAGATATTATTCCAATTGCTTTCCTCTTATTTCAAGAGGATTTCCTCTTCAATCTATCAATTAATTTTCCTCTTATACGAAGAGGAATATGTTGATTTAAATGTCGACTTTTTTTGTTCAGTCATATTCTGCATGAACGAAAAAATAACCATATGCTCGTGGGTCAGAATATTTGGAACGTTTTTTAAAAAAGGTATGTTTGTTGCTGTAACACAGATAACAAAGATAATTTACCCATATTTGGTCAAATACTGTTTATAATCTATTGCGAGAAATTAAGTAATATATTCTTTTTTTTAACTATGTCTCGTACAATTGGTTATGATGAACATCTTTGTAGCTATGAAGTCCATAACAAAACTGATTGAAAATTCATTTGTTACGATGATCTTATTTCATTTGTGCCTACTTATTATAAAATCGGAGCCACAAGTATATCTATATATGTGTATTACTTTTCACTATACATTATAATAATTTTTTTTCAAATTAACTAGTATAACCTGTAAAAATAAAATACAGTAAGAATAAATAATAATCCTGTTAAAAAATATTAAATAATCTGTGTATAAGAGGAAATTTATGTTATGAAATCATTAAGATTTGCATTATACATATAACGTATAATCTCTCTAACTTTAAGAATAATGTGTTTGTTTATAATATTTTCCTCTTAGTCTTAAGAGGATGTGGGGCCATGTATAAGGATAAAATTCTCTAAAATTTAGATGATTCCGTTCGTTCTAAAATTACTTCTTTTTGGGTGTTCGGAAATGTCGAGGAAATTGAGAAATAGATCGATGATTTCAAAGGAACAAGAGATGAGTCACTTCTTCCTCACACACATGTACAGAATCCGACTAATTATCTGCAATAGAAACCGGTGAATAATGAAGGCAAGCTCTGCTTCGATAAAACATATATCTGAATTGTTTCATTTCTATAAATAGAAAGAAATGTGGCTGAAAGACTGACAAACTTTCGCAAGTATTTTTCGGTTATATCGCGTGCTAGAGCTACTCCGCCGATTAACATTCAATGAGTTAGCAAAGAAGAAGTTAGAAAGAGAAGGAGAGAGAGAGAGAGAGAGAGAGAGAGAGAGAGAGAGAGAGAGAGAGAGAGAGAGAGAGAGAGAGAGAGAGAGAGAGAGAGAGAGAGAGAGAGAGAGAGAGAGAGAGAGAGAGAGAACGCTCATTAATAATTAAGAGATCACAGTCGAGCCTCGTTCCGTCTGAACGATTATCGAAACAAGCGATAGAAGGATTTTTCGTGTCCTTTTGTACTCGCGAATAGCGAAATCGATTCGACGCGGCCGCTGACCGAGACTGATTCGTAGGCCGGTAATGCGATTCAGCGCAGCTGCGGGGTAATAAACTCGATTAGAATACACATCCGATGGAGCTCGTCGACGAGATACCAGCATCGCCGAGAGCGATTCAATTTAGCGCTGACCTAATGTGAGAAATGCAATTGAGGCACTTACGATGCCGTCCGAAGTGCCTTGCTCGAAGTTGGACAGGAACTTGTTCAAGATGCTCTCCTCGCTCTCCTCGCCGCTGATGTAACGCGGATGACATTTGACGTTGTAGACGCCCTTCAGGTCGTCGACGGTGATCCGGCCGTCGCCGGACTTGTCCAATTTCTGGAACGCCTGCTCGACCACATTCTTGCGGCTCTGAGACATCTGCGGCTAAAAGAAGCAGAGCGTTCAAACTTTTTTTTGTAATTTCTGCTACAAAGTTCCTACAAAGCGGAAATGGTGCATCTTGGTCTCTTTGTTTTCTCGCCAGGCATGCAAAAAGTAGCGCTTGAGAGAACATTCAATGCGATTGAACGAGCAAGTGTGTAAAAGCTCTATTGCGCGCGAGTCTACGGCTTGAAGTCGGCAGATTGTTGGAGACACTCACTCTGATGCCGACGAGGAACTCGTCGACGCTGATGTTACCGTCGGTGTCGGTATCAAACTTCTGAAAGATATCGTTGATCTCGTCCTCGGATAACTCCAGCCCGGTTTCCTCCAGGCCCTTCGTGAACTCCTCAAGATTCAGCTTCTTGTTGCCATCGTCGTCCATGCGACGGAACGTCCTGAAATTCATCATCGTTACGACGTCGGATGACACTCGGAGGTCTCTCGAGAAAGGTCAAGGACGGTCGTTTCAACTGACTCATCGTCGTGCGTGCGCTCGTGGGAAAAGGAAATCACACACCGCACGTCAGCGTGCACGCCGACGACATCGCCGGACGACGAGCGCCAACAATCCCGACTAATCTCTTCACCTCGGCCTGCTTCGCGGTATAAACAAAGAATACTCGCCGTCGAGAGACTCACCTACCCAGACCGAGGATGCCGTTGGCACCCCTGGCCAAGCAGAGCAGACGCAGCTTCTCCATGCAGTCCGTGGTGTTGTGTATTGCCCGTTGGGCCTTGTTGATCATCTCAATCTCCTGCCTCGTGGTGGCACTCTGAGGCCGCAGACTGAACATCGCTGAAAAGAGAATGTGATCACCAGCTCACGTGACGACTGTGAGTCAGATGCGACGACAGGTAGAGAGGGAGAGGAAGGTCATATTTGGAACACCTGACGGCTACATTCGCGAAAAGCGGACTACATTCGCACAGCGCGATGCCGGCCAGTATCTCGCTATTTGACAATAGCGAGTTCCCGGTGAGAGGATGTGACCAGAAGAAGAGAACAGATTGACAAGAGTGGACGTCGGCTTTCAGCTGCTGAGGAGTCGAAAAGGATGCTCACCCTCGCAAGATGCGTTCGTGTTAAGAACCGATTGTTCCAACTTCTTGCTTGGTTAACTGACAGTTAAATCATGTGTTTATCTTTGTTCTTCCTTTCCAACGTAGACAAAGACAGACGTATGATTTAATTATCAGTTTGCTCACCAAGCAGTTGGAACAACCGGAAAATTCTAACTCGGAAATCAATGAATGGTTTTCTCAGGGTATTCCCGGCAGCGCGCAGCACGGGGCGATTTTTTCCACGCGCGGCAACGACAACCTTTTTTTCCGCATTGCCATTGTCGCGCGTGCACAGAGACACACTCGCGAAATGGGTCATTGATTAGTCGCGTCCGACGGCAAGCGGTCAACTCGCTGGCAAATGCTACATTGAGCTTCCATCGGCGCCTCGCGGGCCATGTGTGTCTAGAAACTCGCTCGTTAATCGTCTTCAATTACTCCTCGGGGCTTTCTTCCCGCAGCCTCAGCGGCCGAAAATCGCGTCGTCCGTTCTGAAAGCTTCGGTCACACAAGAGCCTCGTTGTTGCCCACCGCTTGCCAGATACTTGTCGCTTTTTTTTCCAGACGACATTAACATCAAGCGATAGGCTGAGTAAAAGAAACATGATATGTAGAATATATCAAATTAGGAACACGTGACGTGGCGGGAGAGACAAGTTTCGTTGTTTTATTATTTAATGCTTCGACGGTGGCTTCCGCAGAGTCTTGATGTTATCGGGTTGGTATGCAGAAAAAGCTTGTAAATTGTCTAATCGATTCTCTAACGGGGGGAGGGGGAAGGGGGAAATAAAGGAAAAGATACGGGGAGAAGAGTTAACAGAAGAAAAAGGAAAAGGAAAGAACAATAAAGATATGGAAAGAGAAAGATAAGAAATTGCAAGAGCGGAGGGAAAGAAAAAGAAATCAAACGATTAATGGTGATTAATGGCGAATATAGCAGATAAGCAAGGTATAATCAATCAATTTATTTAAAATATTAAAATGTAAGAATTAGCTATAAGACAGGGCGACACAGGTAATATAGGATGATTCATGAAGGTGTAAGAAATAGTAGTAAGAAATAGTAGAACTGAAATAGTAATATTGAAATGTTAAGTTCATTTTTAAGTTATATATATGTAGAATAGGATAAAGTAAAGGAAATGAGTGTGAGAAAGAATGGATGGATGAATAAGGTTTATTGAAAACCTTATATAAGGTTACTCTGCGGTAATAAGGTCTTATTATAAACCAAGTCCCTTCTTAGCTGTGAAATAGCTGAAGAATAAATATATCTATCTCTAGTCAATTCTCATAGGAATATTTTGGTGTCAAACCAGAAAGATGCCAAGTCCTCGTCGAATGTCTGAAAGAATATCGAGTCTGTGCTCAGCTCACTTCGCTCGCAGGAGTCACGAATCCTTCGGAATCGGATAATTTCGTTTTCTATCTCATTTCACAAATCTCTCGCAACAGCCCAGCATAAAAGACAGCACCTTCCGGATGCATTAAATCGTTCGTGGAAGATGAAACCGTGCGTTCAAACATTACCGTCCTTTGTGAACATCCAAGTCAATCTTCCGCGCGGCTGGTGCCTTCGAGGAAACCACGGGTGCTATTCTCGAGTTGTTTGAGCATTAGAGCGAAGGTTACAAGCCTAGTAGCGGAGGCATTAAACAGATTCCTCCACGACACGGTGTACATATCCGCAAAGTACAAGGACCTGACCGCGGTATCGACTTCGCCTTTTCGCAGACTCGAGCTGACCGAGCGGAGCGGCGTGTTGTTTTGCCGGTAATCGGAGCATCGACAGGATATTAAATATTAGCGGACGTCCGACGTTCAGAATATACCAGGAAAATTGCTGCCGTCGTATGGAAACTAGGCCGGGGCGGGGCAGCCGCATTTTATCACGCGTTTTCAGAGCTGCTCCTTCGACGGGCGTTTTTAGTCACGCGACTACAGGGCTTGGACAATGTAGCGGCATGATGTGCGCACGACGAAATGTCAACCCGCCGCCGACATAAGTCTAAACACGCACAGTCCATCGTAGAAACATCGAAAGAGACACGCCAAGCAGAGCAGAAATTCACGATGGCGCTTGAGTGATGAGACAATAATCACGTCAAGGCCCCCTTCTTCATGATCCAATCATTCTCCCGTCGCTCTCTGAGCTCTCACCTTCAGATAATTACAATTTTTTTCTACCTGGAACTCGCCGAGAGCGAGTTTATCGCTCTGAACAATCGGGAGGATACGGAGCGCGAGTCGATTTATCCATGAAATTACTCATTTATCTGCGCGACTCGCGGGGTGAAAGCGCGAAGACGAGAAGACGGTCTTCGCTGGACGTCCTTCCGGAGCGCGACACCACTCACCTCGGCTCGCGCAGCTTCCGGCGAACAGCGGAGGACACAGCGGAGGTCGCGCAACAGGAGCAGCGCGGGCGAAGGGAGAGGGACGGCCAGTCGGGGCGGCTGCGAGCTGGAGGAACCTCCTCGCGGCTCGGTCCTCTTCTCGGCGTCCTCTTCAGCGGCGCGGCGGTGGCGGCGGCGGCGGCGACGGCGGTACGACGTATTTTTCAAGAGGATCGGCAAGCGAGTGGCGATCCTCCGGCATGGCACGGACCTCGCGGACGACGATCCTATAGCGCGACTCTACACGTCGCGCACGTAGTAGTACACACCTCTGACGAGAGCGTGCCGTGTGACGCGCGACGTGAAGGAAGAGCCTATACATTACGCCGATGGTCCCGGCGACACGTATCCATAACGACCGGCGTGTCACAACACGCGCATCACTGCTCGCGCGAGCCATTGTCGATTGCATCGACCGATCCATCGATACCGATCGTCGTCGCCGTCGGGTGGCCGAAGAACCGGAGGACCTGCGTGCGAGGACCGACACGGAGACCCCGGAAAGGTGGTTGAACGGCAGACTCGTCTCGCAGGCCTCGGCAGGAAGTCTCTCGTCGCTGTAATTTTACGCAAATCGTTAAGATGGCTGCGATAATTAGTCAACATTATTGTGTCAACACGTTCGTTAGCGCGCGGCTTATTCGAAGAAGTAACTCTCCCCGCAGACCACGTTGTATTTGTTTTCACGCGGTCGGCCGGAACGGACTTTGTTGTTCCGGTGGATATAGAACAAGGAGAAAAATCGCCGCGCTGTTCACACACACACACACACACACACACACACACACACACACACACACACACACACACACACACACACACACACACACACGTGTGCGACGTGTCGCTATCGAACTTGAGCGGAATCGAATATCACGAGCAGGGAAATGGACTTCAAGCGAGAAGTCGGCGTGTCACATATATGTGACATACTCGTAGCGAACGTGTTAATCACTCAGGTGGCGGAAACTTTTGAAAGACGTCTAGATGCTGAGAAAAGTGGGACGTCTTAAAGACACCTCTGAGACGTCCTTGAGAAGTTTCCACCTGCCGGCCAAGTCTTAAGGAGAATCTTCTCTGCGCGACTGACAGACGAATTAAAGGCCTGGCTGTAATCTCTGAGTATAGATGAATTAATTCGAGATATTAGCTCGAGTGTCTCACGTATGAAGCGCGAGTCTCGTAGAGGAGACCTCTTGCGCCTCCTTGCGCATCATGTGGGCCATGTTTTTCGCTCCATTAATTGCCCCATTAGCAGAGTGATGAATCTCCCAAGTGGAGATCCATCGAAGGGAGCGTCGCTTAGCGCTCCGTTGCGCACCGCGCCGCAAATCGCCTAATCGTCTCAAACAACAAATCGCGATGATGGAATTCCCTTGAGGGGCGGAGGGGAGCGCCGCTTCTCATCGAACGTTTGCACATCCGGTCATTGTTGTCGCAGAGAGAGAGTCGTCCAGCCGCGCGTGTTCTTCTCTATCGAACATCTTCGGGACTCGCGGGTACTCATCCTCGAACATGAAATGCCGATCTGTAAAACAAATATAACACGACAGTACACGCCGATTGCAGGAGAAGGTACGATCGACACGTTGATCTCTATCGGGGTGCGTCATTCTACCAACACTCGAGCATTAGTTTTATCGTGAAAAATCCCACGGTCTGAGAGATAATAATCGATAGAGAATCGACAAATCCGAAAATCCGAGCTTTCGCGCGAGAAAACAGGATGTCGATCGAGAAGAAGCTAAAAACGACCGCTCGAAGCTACTTCCCGAACGAACACACGCTGTGACAATGTATCGTTAGACTGTTTATTCTTGTCAGTGTGTTGATGTCACCTTGACCTCCGCATTCGATTGACGCCAAGAACACAAGGTTGAACGGCGTTCGCGGTGGAAAGTCCGCGAACTGGGTAAATTATCGTGCATATTTGATCAGAGCTCTATCTACTAGAGCCGGATGATTGAGCTACAGATAGAGCTGATAGCCGCTACAATGTAGTCGCGATTTTAAATCCTGTTTCGCATACGATTATAGTGCGCAACTGGTACTCAAGTGGCGGCAATGACACGTGTATATCTGTAATGCAAAAGTTAATATGCAGTAAATGCACATTGTATCTGGAAAGTCATGATACGACTGGAGGTATAATTTTTCTTCCAAGTCTTCGTCGTATTCGAAGCTTCGATATAAAATATTTGACGATCGAAGCATCGGACCTTCGAAGTTTCAGTCTTCGAACTTCGAGATTTCGAGAATTCGAAGGTGTTCGCGAGAATCGAAGCTGCCACGAGCTGATACTTTTATTATATCCACGGAATGTAGAATATATCGAATCAATATTGTGCTTCTGACTGATCGGGTCGGAAACAACCGCGGCGCATCCTTCGAAGCTCGAAATATATCGAAGCTTCGAAGAGTGACATCTTCGAAGACTAATGTTCGAAGCTTCGGCACAAAAGCTTCCAAGCTTCAAAGTTGACTTTCGAAGTTGACGGATCATTCGAAGCTTCGGAACTTCGGAGTTGCCGAAGAGTAATAGCTCTAGATGGTATAGGTTGCGCCGGAACAAACTATACTTACTCGTTAATAAATAGCGAGCAGAGTGGCAGATTGTAACAACAGTCATTCCCGTGCTGGATAATATGCGCTTGCAGGATCGTGGGTACGCAGAAAGGATGACAAGTTGAAGTCTCACCGGTGAAGTGGCTGAGATGAAGACCCGGGTAACTTTAGTAAATTCGCGGGCGGGTTCGTAGTGGTAATCGAAGGTGACGATATTACCAACTGCAAAGAAGACAACTCATGTTTTACTGTTGGTTGCTTTGTTACCAACGACACCGTGCAGTAAATGCTTCTTACTTTGGCCGCGACGAAGATGGAGGCGATGAGAATGCAACATATGGTCTGTTCTTTTGAGCTGCACTACTGAACTGGTGCAATAAGTTAAAGTGAGAAAAAATATAGTTATCTCATTCTAACTTATTGCACTAGTTCTGCAGTGCAGCAGAAAAGAACAGACCAATATTTTTCAGACTTATTATATTCCGATAGTTTTTCATACGACGATATCTCATCCATGGGATTAATTTTAAAACAAGAGTTAAAGCAGCGAGGAGAAAGCGTCGTTTCCCATCGTGTTGTAGGATCCCGCTTTAAAATATACTGCTATCGCGACACATGAAGGTCCAGATTGCGCCAGTCGGCCTGTCGCTAAGAGAACAACCTGCTTTACCTGCTTTACTCCTTTCCCTCATCGAGAATTTATATTTTATCATTATTGCAAATCGCCAATATTCACATCAGACGGATGTTGGACTCGACGTTTCTCTCATGATGATCTATCGCGTCGATATAATTATACAAATGTCGAATATGATATCGGAAAGTATTACTTTAAAAAGATATGAAAAAAGTATATGTGTGACGAAGGTGAAATTACTCGTAAACAACAACAACGGGGGCGAGAGCAGATTTAGCCGACGTTAAGAACTTAACGTCGCCTGAAATTTTACCTTTCCGTAAGGACGAATTTGTTTATCTCCACATGGCTGCGCATACTTATCGGTAATTCGATTCGCGATAGCCGCGCGGATACGTGTCGAACGGAATTGATGCGTTCGGCACTGATGAATTTTCTAGAACGTGGAAGAGGCATGTGTGTAACGCTGGACCAATAACGGAAGGACATTTGGATGAAGCTGCTGCCGGCACGCTCGCTATTGGCGCGCGCGGCTGCTGCCGTGGTTCGATGCGATTGGACGGCCGGGTCCGCCGGTGCGCTTGATATATCCGCCGTCCTCGCGGTGCTTCTGTGACAAGTTGGACGTTGCCAGTGACGTTGGTTGGAGCCGTGCGTGGCTGAGTGACACCGTGGTTTCTTTCCTTCTTCGTCAATCGCTCACAGTTCGCGCGCGCGCGTGGCGACGATGAAGAAACTTTACGTTGTAATTGCGGCTTTGCTCATGCTGGCGGGTAAGTAATCGCCCCGTGTAATATATCCGAGGCCAAACGGCGCGCGACTTCGGCGAACCGCGCCGTGCGATTGTACTTATTCCGTGTTTTTACCTGCTCCTCAGGGCTCGTTTCCGCCAGCGAAAACGAGGAGAATGTTGGGACCGTCGACGACGACCTCGGTGCGAGTCGCGAGGCATCCAGAACAGGTTTGTGTTACACGATGTAATTTGTAAGCTGATTGTAATTGATCGGCATACAATCCTGAAATTTCTGTGTGTGAATATTATAACAGATGGTAGGAATCTGTTCGCATGTTGTTTTAACTATTAACTAAAAAGAAAAGAGATATACAAAAGACGAAAAATGTGATCGATACATTCAAGATATTCAATAAATACTTGTATTGCCGGTTGACCGGTGAATTGTTTTCTTTTGTTGTTTGTTTTCCTTTTGGTTGTTTTCTCTTTGACCTTCATAGTTTAAGAATCATATGTTGGGAGAAAATAAATATCCTGATTGTGTGTATTATAGATCACGAAGCAGTTCAAAGAGAAGAAGAAGCGATAAAAATAGATGGTTTAAATACTGCTCAGATAAAGGAACTGAGGGAGAAAGCTGAGAAATTTGCATTTCAGACTGAGGTCAATCGTATGATGAAGCTTATCATTAATTCTCTGTACCGTAATAAAGAAATCTATCTCAGAGAATTGATCTCTAATGCATCCGATGCTTTGGATAAGATCAGGCTGTTGTCTCTCACTGACAGGAGCGTATTAGATACCAACAGTGAACTAGCTATTAGATTAAAAGCTGACAAAGACAACAAGGTGTTACACATAATGGATTCTGGTATTGGTATGACTAAACAAGACTTAGTAAGCAATCTTGGAACCATTGCAAAATCTGGCACAGCTGAGTTCTTAGGGAAGATGCAGGAGGCCACTAATGTTCAAGATATGAATGACATGATTGGGCAGTTTGGTGTAGGTTTCTATTCTGCTTACTTAGTCTCAAATGTTGTGATTGTTACCACTAAACACAATGACGACAAACAATACATTTGGGAGTCTGACAGTAGCAATTACAGCATTGTTGAAGATCCACGGGGAGATACTTTGAAGAGAGGAACAACTGTCAGGTAAACTATACAATCTAAGACTAAATCAATCTCAATCTCAAAATATACTTTAGTCGATTGTAAAGTCTTTGAGTTGAACTTTCAATCGATACTAATTTGTACTCTGTTTCATAGCTTGCATCTGAAGGATGAAGCACTAGACTTTTTGGAGCCAGACACGATAAAGACCTTGGTGAAGAAGTACTCACAGTTTATCAACTTCCCCATATACTTGTGGAACAGCAAGGTCATTCAAGTCGACGCAGACGAAGAGGAGAGTGATAAACCCACGAAAGAAGATGCGGAAAAAGATGCCTCTGAGGACAAGATAGAGGATGAAGATGATACAAAGGTGGAGGAAGATGCAGACGAGAAGAAATCCAAGAAAATAGAAAAAACCGTGTGGGATTGGGAATTGTTGAACGATTCCAAGCCGATCTGGACGATGAAACCGAGTGAAGTCGAAGATAAGGAGTATAATGAATTTTACAGAACACTCACCAAGGACAACCAGGAGCCCTTAGCAAAGATACACTTTGTCGCTGAGGGTGAAGTTACATTCAAGTCTGTCTTGTTCATCCCCAAGGTTCAACCGGGCGACAGTTTCAATCGTTATGGCACCAAGTCGGATAACATCAAGTTGTACGTGCGAAGAGTCTTCATTACCGATAAGTTCAACGATATGATGCCGAATTACCTGTCGTTTATCCGTGGTATCGTGGATAGCGACGATCTGCCGCTCAATGTTTCCCGTGAGAATCTTCAGCAACATAAGCTGATCAAGGTAATCAAGAAAAAGCTGGTCAGGAAAGTATTGGACATGATCAAGAAGATCCCCAAAGAGGACTATGAAAAGTTCTGGAAGGAATACAGCACAAACATCAAGCTGGGCTTGGTCGATGACGTGCAAAATCGTGCGAGACTGTCCAAGCTCTTGCAATTCCAGTCGTCCACCCAGAAGGAAATGACCTTCTTGGCTGACTACGTCGCCCGTATGAAACCCAACCAGCAGCACATCTTCTACATCGCCGGGTCGTCGGAAGACGAGGTGAAGAAGTCACCGTTCGTCGAGCGTCTCGAGAAAAAGGGCTACGAGGTGCTGCAATTGTCCGAGGCTGCGGACGAGTACGCTATCTCGTCACTGTCCGAGTTTGAAGGCAAGAAATTCCAGAATGTCGCGAAGGAAGGATTCACGCTCAACGAGGGCGAGAAAGCCAAGGAGCGAATGGAGCAATTGAAGACGACGTTTGAACCGTTGATTAAGTGGCTAAACGACATCTTGAAGGAACACATCAGCAAGGCGCAGGTGTCCGAGCGTTTGACCGACTCGCCTTGCGCTTTGGTCGCCAGCATGTTCGGCTGGACCGGCAATATGGAGAGACTAGCGATCTCGAACGCGCATCAAAAGTCGGACGATCCACAGAAATCCTACTACCTGAACCAGAAGAAGATGCTGGAGATCAACCCACGTCATCCGCTCATCAGGGAGCTGTTGCGTCGTGTTGAGGTCGACTTGGCCGATCAGACGGCGAAGGACATCGCTCTGATGATGTATCGCACTTCTGTGCTACGGTCCGGCTACATGCTCAAAGAGACCGCCGGTTTTGCGACCAGCGTGGAGCAGATGATGAGGAAGACCTTAGGCATCTCTGTGGATGAGGTGCCCGAAGAAGAGGAGATGCAGGACGAGGAGATGCCTAGCAACGATACGGAGGAGAAGGTCTCGGACATCGACGCCGAGGATGAGAAAGACGAGGAGCACGATGAATTGTAATAGCGGATGAGAATACGAGGCGAGGATATTCCAGAGAGAGAAAGAGAAAGACAGACATAATTTAAAAAGTCGTAACTATACAGTGTATAGTTACATTTAAAGTTCTTCTAATCGGTCGTGAGCCCGTGGACATTTTTACGTGCAAATTGCGCTGAAAGTTTGTTTAGACTTCTTTCCATTTGAGATCTAGTTTCAGTTAACGTTGCTGTTGTCCAGAAACTCGTTGGAGAGACATTCATATATGCCGAATATTCTTTTCCTACGTAAAATTAAGTTATTGTGCACATTGTCGAGTCATCTTTTTCATCGATGTTTTGAAAGAAGTGTCTGAAAACGTGTGCGTATGTGTAATAACTTTCGTTGGTTCTTCCACGTTTTTTTATGACGTAAGAGAGCACTGACTGAGCGTTACTGATGTAACAAGAATGTTTGAGACATTTGTGAGTGCATTTGTACAAGAGATATTAAATGAGTTATATTAAAGTAATATATAATGTACATCTATTATATTTGAAGGAGACAGAGAGAGAGAGAGAGAGAGAGAGAGTCGAGTGTATAATCCATTCTCGCGTCCTAAAGTAAAATCTCATATGGTTTACTTCTCAGATTGATTTACAAATAAAAAATATATATATTCTATTTGTGTGTTCCCGCGAGGGCTCTCTAATTTACCGTTGACGTCTGCATGCAAAACCGATGGAAGCTGATAGTCGCTTCCACATCTCGAACAAAACAAGACAACTTCCCTCGCGGATTTGTCTAATTTATATTCTATCTAGAGCAAAAGAGGTGTAGACGGGAACAAGGAGCGGGGACAAGGGTTAAGTACAAAAATAGAACCTAGTCTAGAGCAATGAAGTACGCAATAATAATTATTATTAATAATAATTATTCTCTCAATGAAACATTTTCTCTAACTCGTACACATACGATAAATATATCGCATCATTTTCGAAGAGAGGAAACCACTTTCTTTTTCCTTTTAAATAATACATGATCTGCTACGAGGGGCATGAGCGCCGAATGTTCGAGCGGGTGAAAATCGAGCTGGAAATACATACGTATCTCGGTGGTTTGCAAGGCGAACGAAAATTAATAAAATAACGAAAATTAACGCGAGAATTTGGCTACGGAACGATCCGTCGAGATGACAACGTTCACTATGGAAGTCCGCGTATGTAATACATTTGGGTTTTTTCAGCGAGAAGAACAAACTAGATATAGAAATCGTATATAGTTACATTATTTATAGAGTATATATTTACATCTCTCTCTCTCTCTCTCCCCCTCTCCCCCTCTCCTTCTAATATGTACATGTCCCTCCGAATCGTGTAGAAAAATAGGCTTGCGTAGAAAAAGTAGGATCGAGCGAACATGTCGAAAACAAACTCGCGCGTAACCATATCGAGGCAGTATAGATTTCTTAGGGAAACGCGCTATCTCGCTTCTTGCTTCCTCTGCGACGGTGTGTAAAATATACAATCGGAATGTAATACTACATCTAACGTATTAATACCATTCGGACGAAGGCACAATGTGTATTAATAAGAGCGATACTTTACTACACGTACGGATTCGTCGTTATTTACCGCCTTGAAACGCCTCACCTCGTCTCCTCGATTCTCGATTCGCGATCGGTCAACAGATATATATAACACAGATAGAAATGAAATTAAAATTCGAAAATTTTAACACTGTGTAAACACGCAATGGAGTAGACAGAGTCGATACACGAATAGGCGTATATGAATGCGCTTACGCAACGGGAATATTTAGTTTTCTTTTTTTTTCTTTTTTCTTTATATCGTTTTCAAAGGACGCGCAACTGGAATGCGACAGAGAGATATACCAGGTATGTAAATATGAAACCGAAATTTTTGTATAGAAAATACACGTTTATTGTATGAAAATGATAAAAAATATTTTATTCGAAGTATTGCCCATCGCTAGCTATACATTTTTCCCACCTGTCTGACAATTTGTGGATGCCATGCCAAAAAAACTGTTGCTCTTTTGAGGCAAACCAGTCATCGAGCCATTTTCGTACATTTTCGTAAGAAGTGAAGTGCTGCTCAGCAAGTGCGTGTCCCATCGATGCAAATAAGTAGTAATCGGACGGAGCCAAGTCTGGTGAGTAAGCCACATGCGAAAATATTTCCCAACTAAACGCCTCAATTGTTTCCTTGACCAGTTTTGCTGTGTGTGATGGTGCATTATCATGAAGCAAAATCACTTTGTGTTGCTTTTTTTTATATTCTGGTCGTTCTTCACGCAAAGTTTAATTCAAATCGATCATTTGTTGTCGGTAGCGTTCAGTATTAACGGTTTCGCCAGGTTTTAGCAGCTCATTATAGATTACAACCTTCTGATTCCACCAAACACAGAGCATTGTCTTCCGTCCATAGCGATTTGGCCTTGCAGTCGATGTCGGTGGTTCGCCTGGAGTTACCCATGATCTTTTACGCTTAGGATTCTCAAAATATATCCACTTTTCATCGCCAGTCACAATTCGATGGAGAAATTACTTTCTTTTGTACCTGGCGAGCAGCGTTTCGCAAGTGGTTTTTCGGTTTTCCTGCTGTCTTTCATTCAGTTCATGTGGAACCCATTTTCCCATCTTCTGCATTTTTCCCATGGCTTTCAAACGTATGGAGACGGCTTCTCGTGTCATATTTAATTGATCCGCGAGTTGTTGTTGCGTTTGAGCATCATCCTCATCCAATGATGCTTGCAATTCGCTGTCTTCAAACTTTTTCGGTGGTCTTCCACGTTCTTCGTTTCTCGCGTCAAAATCGCCACGTTTGAATTTTTTAAACCACTCAAAGTAGTGATTTACCAAGAGCATGCTCACCGTAAGCTTCGACAAGCATTCGATGCGATTCTGCAGCAGTTTTCTTCAAATGGTAACAGAAAATCAATGCTGTCCACAAATCGTACCTTCCAGGCACAAAATTCGACATGTTCAACGCTATTATAAACGCTATGCTGTTGTATGAAACTTGTATTGTTGTGAGTTGAAAATCTTTGTCAGATGTCAACAAATAGAAATGGCGCCAATGACGCGGTTTGACGGTAAGTACATTGACAGCTAGAGCCATCTATGGGCAAATTCCGGTTTCATATTTACAAACCTGGTAAGTAACATTTGACAACAATTTGTCTTCATGAACTGAAAGAGAAGCCTCTATCAGGTGAACGCGTAAATATAACCAACGATCAATAGTCTTGCTATATTGTCATCCATATCTTATATATGCGATGTATATTATACATACATCGGTATCTTATGTATATTGAGTAAATAACCTCTCTCTCTTTCTCTCTCTCTCTCTCTCTCTCTCTCTCTCTCTCTCTCCCTCTCTCTCTCTCCCTCTCTCTCTCTCTCTCTCTCTCCCTCTCTCTCTCTCTCTCTCACGAGCAAACACAGCGGACGTTATTAACCCTTGCGCTGAGGAAGCCATGTATATACGCCCTCAAAAAGTAGCCTCTCATTTGCAGACAGCAAAGCGTTTACATACAACTTGAAAAACTTTATATATGCATTGATGTAGAATCTGCATACATTAGTACGTAAAAATTTTAAAACGCGAATATCGCTCAGCACACCCAGTGGACGGTTTTCGATGAAAGCGCGCCGCAGCGAAAGGGTTAAATTGAGCACTTAATTCGGTACAATCAATCATCGTCGTCGTCTTAGAGATGCAGCACACCTTGATCGTGGCTGAAGTGCCGGCGCTTTGTGTAGATTGACGGCTCTCGGACGATAATTGGCTCTTACGTGAAAATGAGCCGCGACGAGGTCATCTGCTCTCACATAAATGCAATAACATTAAAAAAAATTGAAGAGAATTAAACGCAAAGACGCGTTGCGTGTGTTGTATTAATTGATCATTGATTGCAACAAATAATTTGCCAATTTGTTGCACAGATATCTCATTTACATTCTTGACTGTCGTGCAAATATTTAGAATGAAATATTACCAACAATAAAGAATAAAATGTGACTAATTATACAAAAGTATAAAAATAGATGAGAGATATGCTAACAATTCAAAATAAATTTTATCTATTATGTTTTACTCTATTCTATCACTAATGCATCATGGTGTGACTAAAAGTTTTCATGGAAGAATTACTCACCTGATCGAGTGTTTTCCCAGCAATTTCAATACCATTCACTTCTAAAACTTCATCATTGACTGCTAAAAGACCTGTGCTTTCTACCAAGCCACCTGGTACCAGTCTGCTAATGAATACACCTGGTACCTTCTCGATTCCACCACCAGCAGATGGTGTCAATATACGAAAACTTTCACCATCCTTGATGTAAAATCCCAAGGGTTTGTCTGAGCCATGTTTTAAAAGACGTACACGTCGACAAGTTTCTGGCAGTATATCGACATCAATGATTACAGACACTTAGCAGTAAAAGCAATTATATGATAAACTAGTTTACTAGAGCGTATAGAGAAAGTGATGCATGACAAAGTACACTGTGAAAACTCACCTGCCTAAAATCATGTGGATTAGAGATAGCTAATGGCTTTGGCTTGCCTGGTGTACTACCCAAAATACTAGATATCAAATTTTTGGTTTTCATTGTACCATATGCGTTGATATCCTCTAATCTGTCACCTGTCACAATGACAACTACATTGAATAGAGATATTCATGCATGCTTAGAATGTACACACACACACACACACAAACACACAATCAAACATAGGATTGTTACCTTTCCTCTGAGTAAAAATTCTGAGCAATGGTTTGCTAGCTAGCAAAGCCCTAGCCAGATTGTTATCATTATTAATAGACAGCAGATCTCCATCTGTAGGATCCGTATACCAAATAAGAAAGTTTATATCAGGCCCGATGTCATGTCGTTGTGCCAATAACTTGCCAAAATCCTCATAACTCATAGGCTCGTCACGATTAATAGAAAACCTGATGATGTCGGCATCAAACTGCAACGCACAATACGGACATGATGCATAGTTCTGAACATTCCACAATCAGCTACCAATCGTGAAAGCCATATAATATACATATATATCACCTTGCTCTTGACGGCGACAATGCCGTTGTCGACTTTGTGCTTGTTCTTGGACATGTTACAATCTCCAGAGAGCCCTCCCACCTAAGCGCGCGACTCCAATTTCAACCGAATGCGTCCTTCCTTCCTTCTTTCCTTCAATATATAGTTCTGGGCTTGTGGGAGTAGGCCCCTACGCCATTCTTCTCGATAAAAGAGGTAAAAGAAGAACAGGGACAACGTGTACGTTGTCCCCACGATCAAAAAGTATGGGCAGTTACAAGAACCATGTCCAACCACGCAAGCGAACAAAAGATTTTTCTCGAAATACATGTGCCACGTGAAAAAACCGAATGCGTCATGTCAAGCATCTTGTGAGGAGGGCGAGGAGACGTGCATACCTCATGTAACGGCATGCAATGTGCATTTCAACTACGCTCATGGACCTGTTCTAGTTATTTCTCCTTCCACCGATTCCTCTCACCGACGAATAAATAAAGATAAAATAAATAAAACAAGTTCATGGACATATATTACGTCAACAAGGCAAAATATTGCTTCTTGTAAAATGGTATTCCATCTGATTCGCTGCAATTTCTGGTACGGTTGATGCTTTATATTTATATATTATAAATTTTTGACGACCGGATTGCAAAATCTGGCTCCGTAGGGTCCCTCAGGGATAGTTCAAGGAAGATGCTATAACAGTTTGGCAATTATACGTATCGTCAACGAGGCGATATTTTGCATCTCGTAAATAATTTTTCGAGTGATTCGCTGCGATGCTTGGTACGGCGGACGCTTCATTTATTTCTCATAAATTATGGACGGCTGGATTGCAAAATCTGGCTCTGTAGGGACCTCGATAATAGTTCAAGGAATATTTCATATCAATTTGGTAGTTACATATTGTCAACGTGGCAAAATATCTTATGTTTTAAAGTGGAAGCTGCAGCTGGATTCTGTAACTCGTTATTGGAGTTAACGACACTTTCGCGTTATCGTTGCGCAGCCTTTCTACGGTATACAAGAGCTGCGCAATGATAACGAAAGTGTCGTTAACTCCAATAACGAGTTACAGAATCGCGGTACTGTGGTGCGATTCTGTAACTCGTTATTGGAGTTAACGACAGTTTCGTTATTGTTGCGCAGCTTCTGTATACCGTAGAAAAGCTGCGCAACAATAACGAAACTGTCGTTAACTCCAATAACGTTACAGTGCTGCGATTCTGTAACTCGTTATTGGAGTTAACGACACTTTCGTTATCGTTGCGCAGCTTTTCTACGGTATACAAAAGCTGCGCAACGATAACGAAAGTGTCGTTAACTCCAATAACGAGTTACAGAATCGCGGTACAGAGAGTTACAGAATCGCGGTACTGGAAGGTATTCGTACACATACGCACGGCAATACTTATGCACTGCTCATATATACGCTAATACTAATGCATTGCTCACGCGAACGCAAGGCAGGAAGATTAGGTCATATGGACTGCATTATAGTGCAACTGGACTACACTTTCCGTGTTATCTACATCTACAGATTTTGCCACGCATACATCATATTCGCTTATCGGGCTTACATGGGCATCTTCCTTATATTACTATCTAGGGTCGTACAGAGCCCGATTTTGCATTTAAGTTCTTGAAAATTTGTAATAAATGGAAATATGGGCTCGTGCTGCACCGCGGGATGAACGCTCATTCAAATTATTTAATCGATTTTTATTTCGACTTGTTTTCCAAAAAAGCGCTCTGTATGACCCTGCGGACGTTTCTCCTGATTGCAAATATCATACGTATAAAGTGATTCTCTCCGTATTTTGTTCATAATTTGTAGTATAATTTTGTCTAATTCGCGGTTCTCCGCGAGAGGTCTCTAGTGTGGCTCCTGCAGACCCTTAATAGTCTTTGATATCTTCCGACACCTTTTTCCCATTATTCCATATCTGTTACCATCCATGCTTATTTCGAGCTATGTTTCATATTTCGGCTACGATATTCCTAAGAGGACGCTAGTGCACAGAGAAATTTCTTTGGCACGCTAAGTCCCGTAAGGCCAACAGCCTTTATAGTATCTCGTCGGTGATGTCGGCTACGGATCTGTCTTCTCGATGCTTCTCAATATTTTCAAAGAACTTTCAAAGTCGGATGTTATATTCGAGATCGTCTTCAGTTGATCTTCGGATGCTGCGTAGCCAATGAACGATGAGAAATCCAACGACGAATTATGAAAATGGCCTTAATGCAAACGGTCGTATTCTTCATTACTTCCGGCGACAAGGAAACTTTGGCAAGAGAGAGAGAGAGAGAGAGAGAGAGAGAGAGAAGTTCCATGAGATGTTTGATGTAAATTTCAAGACTCACACTCATGCTTGCCGAAAGTGAGAATTCTCCCATCAGAAGTCAGCGAAAGAATCGTAGAGACAACCTGCAGTCTCTGTTTCTAGTTCTTTTTCGAAAGACTTGGACTGCTGCACATTGTTTCAACAAGTCGGAGCGAAATAATATATATACTCGTCTCGTTCTGACTTATATCGCGCACGAGTTCGAGAGGTTGTTCGAAAAAGAACAAACCTCTTTTTGTCGACGGCCGTCAGCGTTCCCGAGCTATCCCGAGCGTTCTCGCGTCCGATTGGCAAGTTCTGTTGGATAAAAAAATTCTCACCAATCGAGCGCGGTAGCTCGTCGCGCTCCGTGTGATACCGAACGTGCCCGATGAAGTGAGCTTCCTCCGACCGCCGTGGATGGTTGGCAACACTCCATGGTAGCATTTCCGTTTTCGAATCCGACGTCATCTACTCCGAAAGTCCGTGTGTTTTGTGTTTCGTTTGGGGCCACGATGATTATCGCTAATTTAACGTAAGTACCGCGACGCCGCTAGGCCACCGCTAGGCGACACGGCCGCGTCCTGGTGCCCGAGAACTCGCATACGCGAATATTCGCTCGGCGCCGCCGTCACCGTCGCCGTCGTCGATCGTTTCGTTCCATACCTCGCGGGCCGTGGTGGCTCAACAGTCGAGGAGATCGCTACGGCACCCGCCTACTATCAACCTGCCGTTGTTTGCTGTCGAGATTTGCTCCGCCTGGTGAACCTCCGACTGTCCACTCGACCTTATCGTGCACGATCGGCAGTCCGACACAGCGCACAGCACAGCACAGCACAGCACGGCACGGCACGGCACAACGGGGAAAGGTGCCGCGACCTGTCCTCTATTGTGCCGGCGCCGCGAGATAAGCGAGGAAAGACTACGGAGGTGTGAACGTGCGAAGCGTCTTGGCGCGGTCAGAATCGCGAGGACGAGACAGCTTCCTCGTAGCCGGCGCCGACGTCGCGCGCGCCGATGAAAGTCAAAGATGTCCGACGAGGCGTTTATTTTGCACGGGACGTTGCGATCGACCGGCGCGATCCCGACCACCAGCGGAACCACGAGCGTCGGAAGCATGATTCCGTGCTCCTTCTCCTTCCGTGCCGTCGCGTCGCGTCGCGTCACGTCGCGGTCCAGCCCGCTGCGGAAAATTCTCCGCTCGTCCGTTCAGCGGGAGGGTTCAGTGCGCCCTCGAAATATTTTCCGGACGAGCTGTCTCTCTCCTTCCACTTAACTTTTCTCTGTTTGTTTCTCTCCTCCTCCCCCTTCTCTCTCTCTCTCTCTCTCGCGCTCTTTGTTTCTTTCTACGATAATGCATGATGTATATGCAAAACGTCGTCGACGCACTCGTGCGGCAAAAACGCACGATTAACGATTATTCACTGATTACAGTCGGGTGGACTTGGATTTTGTCATAACTGAATCCCAGTGGCTACGTTCAGCAGAGAAAGCAATCTAGCAGGAGCCTTGCACTGCGTAGCCAGCAGCTTTGCAACTGTTGTAAGATTTTCTGCTGAGGGACACCGGCGGTTTATGCTTCTCCGACATGTTTACCAAGCAGTTATCACCCTTCTTCAGCATACCTTCTTAATATATGATGGACCGCTCGTAGTAAACATGTTGGAAAAGCGTGAGCCACCATAAGTCCATCCGGCGAAAAATCAGCGCATAGCGCTTTCTAAGCTATTTCTTCTGCTGAAAGCAGCCGGTGCATAGCGCCCGCGAGTAATACCGTGCCTTTCTTCGTTTGCAGGTTGAAGCTTTTGAAATTGAACTTAAGTTTCTTCACATCCTAAAGATACTGCAAAAGCATACCAACTTTGATTGTAACAAGAACACATTGCTGGACGCAAAAATAAGTACCAATCTAAAAAGTCGCAACACTATTGCGTAAGGAAAACAAAAAAAAAGGGGGGGAAGCCAGAGAGACAAATTAACTTTGTTCACGACTGGACGGTAACTAGGGAGAAAAAGGAGAAATGGGCATTCAAGACTTGCAAGCTTTCCTCGATGGTAATTGCGTGCAGGGAAGCACTGTAGGGGTGGACCTGTTGAAAATTGCGCGTTTAGTCGCTCAACGGCAACGTAACCGCGTGATAAAGGGACAACAATTGCACAATAGTGCCAAATTGAGACTGGTTCTCGATGGAGAATGCTGCTTGGATCGATTGTACGGTGGATTTTTCTCAGGTAAAACGGCAGACGAATCGCGCGACGCGCTTATTATCCATGAATTGTCCAGTAACGCCAATATAATGATCCCGATACGCATAGATTGGGCCTGCGGTGGACAATGGAATCGTATGCTGCAGTTTCTCGCGGTCCTCATACAAGCGACAGAGATGTCGAATTTGGAGCTGGCCGTGTTCTTTAATGGATGCTTCGAGTCGTCACGGCGAGCCGACTGGGTGCAAAATCAGCTGCAATTGCGCGCCAAAGTCAATAACGTAAGTCTTTGCGAGAGCGTAGCGCGTCCAGAGCGGCGAAGCATCTGAAGCGAGAGGTATGGAATTCATGCCAAGAAATATTCCAGGTCTTGAAACACATAATAACCAAAGGCACTCCACCGCCGAAAATTTGGTGGACCCCGCCTGTGTGCCTGAGGACCAGCCTACGTATGGCGCTCAGGCATTTAAACGTCACAGTTGTAAGTTGTTTCGTGAACGATCGTGAAGATTCGAAACTTTTGTTTCTTCCTCCACTTTTTTGCAGCTGAACTAGAACTGCCGTGCCGGGGAGAAGCTCGTTCCGTTTTTCCTTCAACACTATTATGTATCTGTTTCATTCCAAAGGCAAACAAAGTGCAATCTAGTTCAGCAGACAAAAAAGACACCTTCGGTAAGGATCACGATAATTTGACGCTTCACTTTGACAGCTGTGCAGCATGGACGACCATCACCAGGAAGTGATCGCTTATTGTCGTGAGAATAATTACAACGGGTTGATAGCCGACGACGCCGAGTATGCGGCGTTCGACCCTCCGCGATATTTCTCATCCGAACAGCTGAAGCTCACATACAAAGTATGTATTTTCAGTAATTCAGCTAATGTTTCCGCAAAGTTTTCTGTCCCTATATATGCGCGCGATAACAATTTGTAGTGACCAGATAGATAACAGCCATGTACACGCTGTGTACTAATGTACGTAGTGTCTTACGTAGAGGGTTGAAAACATAAGATGTAAAGAACGAGACTGTATTTCCCTTACATTGTTGAAAGCATGCTATCTTTGTTCAGTTTCCTTCAACAGAAGCGAAACTAGACAAAAGTCGAATACCTTTGGCTTATCCTTAAGCTTTCTTCCACAGATGTGATCTTTGTAGTCTCTTCTGGAATGTCCAGTCTGTACGTGTGTGTGTGTGTGTGTGTAAAAGTCTATGATCCGAGTGGCGTTTGTTTTAACTTCATACGTGGTTGTCACTTTTTATTTTCTCCTTCTCTACAGGGTTCTCTTGACACGAAAGAATACATGCTCTCCGAACTTACGAAAGCTCTCAACATACCATCCGACAGACTCTGCATATTGGCAGCGTTGCTAGGAAATTACATATTAACTGAAAATGACTTGGCTGATTTCTACAAGAAACTCAACATTAGCACTAATATCAATAAGACTAGCGTCGAACAGACCATCAGGACAATTGCGAATTTCGTCAGAGAACTACCGTCCGTGGAGCTGGATGTAGTCTCGCAAAAGGTTTTCGGCTCCACTTCAGATCCGAGATGTTCCAAATTGCGACAGTCTATACAATATTATTTAAACGGAACGAAGGAGGGTTTTCTGCATTACAAGCCTGTGAAACCAACGAAAGGTACAATTCTGACATAAAGAACTCTTCCTTCTTCTGAGCTTTAACGAGTTGTGTTATAAATTATAAAATGTAAATTAGTGCTGTTAATATAATCCGGGTACCTGTGTAATACCTGCGAAAAATTCTGGCAAAAATTCCGAAACAACCAGAGGTACTCGGGTGGTTGAAATTGACAACATTACTGATAAATACTGTCCTGTGATTCGTACTCTACATTCGTGTGTGTACAAATTTATTTCAGCTCATAAGGTAGATTCGAAACCAAGCGCACAGGCTCCGTCGAATCAGTCGACCGACACACCGTCAGCCTCAGAGAGCGACTCTAACCTGGAGACGTCGAGGTTCGCATCCGAGACCTTAGAGAGCGAACGTGAGAGCTTGAACGCGTATAAACAGGCGACGGCCAACGCAAAATCAGCGCCGCAAATTGTGATCGATCCACCTGGTATCCAGGGTCACGGAGACGCAGACACCATCCGTACCGAGGACGAGCAAAGTACGTGGTGTTGTTTCACTGGTGCTATACGAAACCCCAATTTTATTATGCGCATTCTACTTTATCAACACTGTTAAGTACATTGAGTCTCCGAAATAGGTAACGGTCATGCGATCAACGGTACTCACAATCTTCTGATCAGCTCGTCGAGTTCGAGCAGCAGCTCTTCCGCTACATCACCGTCCCACGCAACGGCCGACTCTGCGAAACAATCTGAGAAAACGACCAGTATCCCCACCACTGTGCCGGAGGTTATGCGTACTGCCTCGGAACGTCATCAGAAAGGATTGATGTCGCCACACATCTATCAGATTCTCATCGCTGGCGAAATCAAGCTTCCGGTACTTCTCGAGGACGAGAATCATCGAGAGTTTCCTTCCATTCATCTAATTTACCGGCCAATCCGGCAGATGGTGTATGCAATCCTGTTCAATCTTCATCATCGAATGTATCTGGCTACGAAGAGCAAAGAGAAAGGTGGTGAGTAGAAATTTTTGCGCAAAATATGAGCAGGATTGGGTAATAATTTGGTAAATTAGTTAAAAGTTAAGTAAAAAAGTTGATAACTTTCAACTTAACTTAAAAAGAGTCAACTTTTAACTTGAACTAGTTATTTCAAAATTTTAGAGTTTTTAACTTTTTATTTTTTTTTATACAAGTTGAAGTAATTTATCAGTATTAAAATCATCGTGGACTGTTCACGATAAGAGAACAAGAAACATCCAAAATAATGCTAGTAAATTTTTTCCTCTTTTTGAGTAGCTTCTTTTTTATTTATTTTTCTTTTTTTTTTTTTAACTCAGAATCTTAAGCGCACACACACACACGCACACACACACGCACACACACACTTCAAACTGAACTTAATTTAAAAAATGTATTAACCTACCCAACCCTGAATATGAGGAAACACATTGTATAAATTGCAAGGTGTGGCTGTTGCACCGAATTCTATTTCTTCGAATTTGTCGGGCAGACTGCGAAAAGGTTGAAGTGCCTGACGTCATAATCAAGGAATGGGTATGGTCCAAATCAAATCCATATCAAACTCCCGAATTAGTGAAAGCAGAGCAGATCGGTTGGGGTGTGCCTACGATTCAACGTTTGTGGTTTGGGTAAGCAATTTGTTCGATTAAGTTGGGCGACTCGTTTGCTCGCACGCAACGACGATGCTACGAATTAATTAATTAGAAAAATCAATGTTGAGGAAGAGTCGTCCTCTATGCTGTAAGCTCACACAATTTCCTGTTCTTTAGCACAGTCATAGACGACAAACGGCGCAGACTCCGGGGATTTCTGACTTGTATGAGATCAGACACACCTCTCATGCTAAATACATCATATGTGCCTCAACACCTATTGGTCATGGCATGTGTATTAAGGTGAACATCGACTTTAATCTGCTGTTTCAATTTGCTGCGTCTAGATGAGTTCCTAGGAGAACATTATGCCTAACTTTCTTCTGAAGTTTGAGCGTGAGGATCAAAACTGATTAAAGTTGGTCCAAGTTAGCACAACTGATCGATTGTCTTTTGCAGATATATCATGTCGTTCTCCGATAAAATAAAAATCTTACGACGTCAAGAGTTGGACGCCTTTATCGCGCAGGCTTTCTCTCCAGAACTTATGAACGCTCAGTATTTGCAGGACTTACAGGTAAATAAATACATTGCGATGCACTTTTTACGAACCACGAATCACACCTCGCTTCAGGCAAACATATTGACGATCAATTTGTCATTTGTCATTTGGCAGCTTCCATTGGTGACATCGCGCGGTGTGCAATTAGCTACATTATTCATGGCTGGAGTGGAGACCGCGTTATTGGCGAACGACGCTTGCGGCGCACCGATTCCTTGGTTAATGTGCTGCCCGTGGCTCTATTTCGATGGCAAACTGTTTCATCATACCTTGGCTCGCGCTACCATCGCCAAGAATCTGCTGGAACTCTGCAGTGGTCACATAGATCGTGTAGTGAAGGTTGAAAGGATGCGGAAAGCGATTCTAGAAGGAGTTACCGTCGTGTTCGCGCGTCCGCCTATACCAGTCGCTCCAGGTGCATTAACGTCTTTTCGCTTAATTTTGCAACGATATACCCGACGCTCACTCGTGAGCGTCGTGAGCGAATGGAAGAGTATCGGTGTTCGAAGACGTGGGTAGCTCGATTGACAGACATTGGCAGCGATCGGAAGATCCCGGCTTCGATTGCCGACTCTTCACGTGTCAAACGTGAATGTGTAACAATCTCTTCCATTCTCCTGGCATCCTATACGATCTCGGGCGGTAGGATGCTTCGAATGGAAGTAGAGCAAAGGCCAGCTAAATTGCTTCGCGGGGTTCACACTATATGACTTTGCGAATCTCAAGGCTGCGACAGTGTTCCCGATCGAGCCGAGAGCGGATCCAACTTAACGCAATAGACAATCTCTTACTAGAAAATTGCGTCATAAGCTGATAGGAAGTATGGCCTACGTTTGCACGGAAGCTTAAGATCGGTTTAGTAACGTCTGTAAAAGTACCATAATCTATATTTACATGACTAGTATGAATGTCGTTCTTTTGAAGTCGACCATGCTCGGCGTTGCGACCGCTAATGTTACGTGTAATTGTAGACTATGGGTGTTATCGAGTCGATTTTAAGTTGTAGACGTAGTCCGTGTTATACTGCGTGAAAATGCATTTCCATTATGCGCGTGTTCGTCATCGTGTGACGTCAACGTCAGCGGCAGTACGTTGAGTAATCTCTCTGCACGTTCTCTGTGTGTTGTACTTGTGTGTCGTATATCATATCTGTGATTGTCGATAAAAGATCAAAGAGACAACCGCCTGTAACGAGCCTGTTTCTCATCGTCGCACAGGTATCCGTGTGTCCGTTCCTACGAATATCCTGCCCGCCGGATGTACCATCAACGACGGGCTGATGCGCGGTCGCGGCGGCGGCACGATGCCGCAGCGTGGATTAATGCGACGTCCGATACCGTCTCGCGGTGGTCAATTGGAGATCGCCGGTGTCGTCGTGGGCCAGTGGGGTCCGAATTACGGACAACCCGGCCGTTTGCCTCAACCACTTCAGGGACACCCCCGTGGACGTATCCCACCCCAGGTAGGATATCATTTCAATAGGGTATACGAGTCTCGCAGTCTTGCGGCGATTCGCCATCGTCGCGTCTATACGGAGCAAGAGGCATACGACGATGACGAGGCCCAGATATTAGAGGAGTATATCGATTAGTCCGATCCTTGTTTAAACGCTGGGTGTGTAAGAGTCTGTCGCACGGTCTTGCACGCCGGTGTACACATGATTATACAGGTGAACATCGAGATTATGTATTTGAGGTTTATATACGTTAAGCATCAAGGATATGCAATTTATTTTAGAATTCGAGGCACATCAACTGTGTAGTATACCGCAGGGATTTTATGCGCTATTATATACTCCGTTGCACCGTCAGAACCTTTTTTTTTCTACGGTGTAGCTTTTTAGACTTTCTTTTTTTTTTTTATTTACCTTTAATGACCTTGCAATTTTGTATCATCGCATCTGCATGTTTTTTATATGTAGTATAAACACTGTTAAAATAAAGACCTCTATTATATTTTAACTCCTAGTATTTTAACTGGTGTTCCTTATTTTAAGTTCTATTCCGCTTTGCGAGATTATAAGTAATGGCACAACCTGAATAGCTGAATAAAGTGCATCATCGAGTAACGAAACAATCGTAACTACAACTCGTATACGAGTTTTTGTTTATTGCGCATATTAAAATCATTTATTAAGAAAAAGATACATATTTACGCATCTTCGATAGATTTTGTGTATACTTAATGATTATATCAAGAGTATATATACTTTTCTTACGTATATATTTGTCAGTTTTTAATTTAACGGTGTATCTTACATTCTCCAAGCTGAGAAAAAGCTATATCATTTGTATAAATTGTTATTATTGTCAATATTAGAATTAAGATTCTAAAGTACCTTGTCTCCCACATCTCCAACCTAGCTCTGAATTAGTCGTATAAAGAAATGTAGAGTAGAAGATCTTGACGAGGAGGTAAGTATGCTTGTGAAAGAGACACCTGTAATGGTGGGACAATGCGACGAATATATCGCGACCAACGATGAGATTCCCTCTCATACAGAGGGAAACAATGCGCAGGTGAAAATCTGTGATACATCAGCTCAGCGTCGAGCGTGACACTGAGAAAATACACGATTTAATCGATCGCATTTTATAAAAAGAAAGAAAGAAAGAAAAGATCTGGGCTGGGATTGATGCAGCGCGCACCACACGGCGCCCACGTATCTGACTTCTTAACTCTGCACGTGTCACCACTTCGGTGATTTTGTTGTAGGTAACTTCGATCGGCGGGCTTAAATACAGTCTTCCTCGTGGCTTCAATCCGATGGGTCGGCCAACGTTTCACACTCGCGGAAACAACCGCGCTCCGATCGCCGGACGCGGCAAGAAGACGCAGATGAAGGTAAAAATCTGTCAATCTTGCCTCCTTGACTCTCCCGCGGGAGGGGTAAAGCGTGTAACAACACCGACTGTTTTTCCAGATGACTGGCAAGAAGAAAACCACTATCAAGAAGACGAAGGAAATCGAAAAGAAGGACAGCAGAGGTCGCGGCATCACTGTCGACGGAATAACCGATTATAAGTAAGCATCTCGAGTTTCTCTCTAATACATTTCACTCTAATACATTTCTCCTACAATTGTCCTTACTCGATTGACCTATTTTTGCGCTCCGAGGAAAGCGATATAGTCACACGCGTGCGTGTGTGTATATGAAAATATGTATGTATAACGTCCGCTGCTGTTCTCAGCGAGACGGTTCCGAGCATGAATTCGACGACGAAGGAAACGCCGCCGGTACCGGGCCAGTTTGACGACGCCACAGAGAACAGCAAGAGCGTGGAGAAAGGACAGGGTGACGCGCCGCTCGTCACCCCAGTCGCCACGGAGAATTAAGTATCAGTATATCGGTAAAAACGGAGAGAAAAACTCTCCGATGACTAACCACTCCCGGATGTGACTCAAGACTGCAAAACAAATCTACTTATATGTTCCGAGCGATTGCGCACCGTAACATTCGAGAATGGACGACCATCCTCGCGTCGAGCGAGAGGATTTAGTAACGGATTGTTAACGAATTTCTGTTTTCGATAAAATTTGACTCGCTTTGATATCGCCGTTCTTCAGGATATACTTATAATCAGCATAATTTTAAAAAGTCGAACATTTAAAAAAATACGCAAATATTCGTAACACATTCTTACGAGTATTTGAGACTCTTCCTTTTTTCTCCTTTTCCGTGAAAAATTAAGAAAAAGAGAAAACGCTGATAAAGTATAGTATATATGTTACCTGAAACGGCATACACGATGCGTGTACATCGTGTATGTAAAATTGCAATTGCATCTTTCGAAACGTCGACGCGCCGCGATTTTCTGGAGTTACACAGGTCGCAATGAGATGTTACGTGCGCAATAACTCGATATGTCTAAAGCTCTGATGGGGCCAAAATGTTGAACTAATAATAGGAGACAAGGAATCTGTACTCACGGTGTCCATCTCACGAAATTATTTTAATGCGTGTGACACGTGAAGTATACAAAGATTTTACCCGTTCTTGACATGTCCTCACTGCCAAACCAGTACCACTCTGTATAAGATAGGAAGACAGACGTAACGAAGAGACAAATCGTGCTTGTGCTAACGAGCTAATTTCGCTCGCATTACCATGGAATGGAACTCGACTGATTAGTGTATGCGTGCGCTAATTTTACTACTCAGAACAAGTCGTCAGCTGCTATAAGTATTTAATTCTTAAGAAGTGTGATTATTTTTTTTACACAAAAATATATATTTTCCGGTATTATATGAAATGCTCGCTGCGACGGTCTCAGTGGTCAGGTCTGATCGCGAAGAAAGTAGCCTGATATACATGCGTAGAGTACACGTACATACACGCACACAGACACGCACGCACACACACACACACACAGACACGCACGCACACACACACACAGACACACGCGCGCGCGCGCGAACACAACACATCAGCATGTTCACACGCGCACACAAGCCACATCACGATAGCGTTTACTGATTTTTGTAGATAAGAAAGAGCCAGACGGAGCACTGAGGCAGTCATTAGCACATGGAGACTGATGCTTTTCATATAGGTAAAATATATATTTATATATACATATGATTTAGATATTAGAGTTCCCATATAGTATACTATACGTAAGTTGTGCCTGCGTATTGTGCGTGAGTGAGTACTTGCGAGTACACGAGAGAATTTGTGAATACCGTAGCGTGAATGTGCATCGAGCGAAAGAGATGGCGAGGAAGAGAGAGAGAGAACGAGAGAGAAAGAGAAAGAAGGAAAGAGTGCAAGTGAGAGAGAGAGAGAGAGAGAGAGAGAGAGAGAGAGAGAGAGAGAGTGTGTTACGAAAGTGATGTACATAAAGCGCGGGATGTTATGTCATTGTTGACGCGTGTACATACGTGGGATTGCAACCGATTCGTCATGTGTACACGCGTGTACGCAATCTAGGTCATATATTTATTTGCTGTTACGTTGGAGAGAGAGAAAGAGAGAGAGAGAGAGAGAGAGAAAGGAGCGAAAGAGAGAGAGGGAGAGAACGTGAATGAATGAGCTTGGATTGACTTAAAAGTTTTAGGTACAATAACGTTTCTATATCTGACATCCGCAGACTTGAGGCGTATCGCGAGGGTGCCCGCGAACGTGCAAGAGGGTGACGATTGTTGAAGCCATTATCCTCACGGTACGCCTCATAATTGTTTAGCGAATATGCTACATCACGGCATCACACGCGAGAAGTTCGTCCGTGGGCGACGATTCGGTGATTTTTAGATTAAAATGTATTCGTCCAGTTTTGTGGAATTTTTACGTTCTGCTACACGTGGGCATTGTCCGTGATTATATTTTGACATTTCGAGGTAGCCAAATCGATGATACGTTGACTCACGATCACAATCGCGAGATTTAGGCGTTAGATGAGGGAAGGGGGGAATTGTTTTAGGGAGAAATTTAATTATATTTATATATATATATATACATATATATATATATACATACATATATATATATATATATATATATATATATATATATATCACAGATTGTTCGCGTAAAGGAGGAAACGCGCGTGTTTCTCCCTGTGTGTATGTATGTGCATGAGCGCGCATACACGCGCCTTTTGTAGCATATTTCGAGATATGACCCTCGTTTAATTGTACATATATAAACGGTTACTTTAGAGAAATGACGGTATGATTGATATACGGTGTACATACAGAATCCAGATGCGCGTGTTAACCGCGCACCGGGATTAGGATGATTATGTTAAAAATGTACTATTTATGTGAGTAGAATAGTCTAAAAGACTTTCTACCAAAGATCATCGGAGTTTAAGAGAGCAAGTTCTTTTGTCGATAGAAAATGATATATGAAACGGTGAAATGTGGAAAGAGAGCAAGACAGCACGATAGAACACGATTACTAAAGTAAGTAACGAAGGTGTGAGGATGCAAAGACATGTGTGTCTAAGTGCACGGAGTGCGATTTAAGACGAGTAAAAGAAAAAAAAAAACATTTATCGAGATAATATAAATGAGAGATGATAAGATAAAATGTTATATTTTTGTAGATTTGTTATTGCGTAAAATGCATTAGGACAATGAGAACCTTTATATAATTTGAGTAAAGTGACAGTTAACAAGCCTGAGATTTAAATGGATAAGTGTGAACGGAAAGAACAGAGTGTGAAGGGAAAAATCAGAGAAAGAGAGAGAGAGAGATAGAGAGAGAGAGGGAAGGAGAGAAAGAGAGAGAGAGAGAGAGAGAGAGAGAGAGAAGAGGAGATGGAGAGACGAAAGTGCTTTTAGATGGCATGTTATACGGAAATAACATCCGCGGAGAAATTTTGCTAAAGAAAAAGAAAGGAAAGAAAAAAACGAATTCCACGTTCTCCTACGTTTCCGAAGCTCTCAGTTCCCTGAGTTGCTTGTAGGAACAGGATTAAAAAGGACACACAGTACATCATATGTATACACACACACATAGACACACACACACACACATTTTATATAAGTACATGCATGTATACATATACGAGAATAACTGAAATGAATCGCAACTATGTAAAGTCAGCTTCAATGTGCGCCGAGCATATGTGGAAGTAATTCGATTCACTGTTTCATACGCGACGCGTACGCGAAATGGACGTTTGCTTCGAGTTTGTATCACAGCCACGCCTCACGCATATATAATATATTATTTGGATATATCGTTTAACATCATTCGAGTCTCATCGCTCTTAACAATTAGCGTGCGTTATCGTGCAAGTACGTCACCAAGTACAATCGACATGGAAGTAATTTCTTTGCGCGAGAAGGTAAAAGAAAAACGTAAGTTTCGAAAATCGACAAGTCGACCGTGCTCTGAAAGACACACACTTATACATATGAGTATATACATTATATACACACACGCATACACACATACACATACAATACATACTAGAAGCCGACTTTCTGAATCTGACGAATACTAATGATGAATTTGAGAGTAAAATGCCACTTTACGCTTTTACGTAAAGATAAATGATTTTCTTTCTGAGAAATCGAACTCTTGATATATACATATATATATATATATACATATATATACCGGATACAAAACGTAAGGACACAAATATGATGTTACGCAACGCGATCAGTCGCCGCTGCGCTGATGTGAATAATGAGTAACGTGAAATAATTTATTATAAACGCAAAGCGTATAATGCCAAAAAAAGGTAAATATGGGAAACCACATTGAATACAGCAGATGCAGAAACGTTGAAAATAAATATATTGAAACTCGCATAAAACACGAACGACGTAAAAAAAGGAAAAATAAAAACAGGCACGTACGACGTGCCTGCTTTTCGTTGTAATAGAGAGAGAGAGAGAGAGAGAGAGGGAAAGAGAGAGAGAGAAAAAGAAAGAAGAGGGAAGGGATAGAGAGAGAGAGAGAGAGAGAGAGAGAGAGAGAAAGAGAAAGAGAAAATGAAAGAAAGGAAGAGGGGCCCACGAAACTCGTCTATGATACCGACATACCATTAAAAAAGATACACGAGTAATCTATTGTATTTATAAAGTAACGATCTATAATGACATTTGAGCATTGTGTGTTGTGATAACGGAAAAAAAATTAATTGTACACCGAGTAATAATACTAACTCTCGATAATCTTTGTGCCGGAGTGGCAGACGCTTCAACGAGGAAATGATCGACGTAAAATAAATCGTGGCGAAGATTGGGTATCCTGACGAGATATCGTCTAATAATCCGCGTCTCTCCGTCGCGTCGCGCGAGAAGTTGTTCGTAATAAATAATAACGCGCTCGACTTTTTCCGAATGGCTGTTTCCATTTTATTTCGATCGCCGATGCTCATTCAGCACAGAATATTAACGACGCAGCCATCAACTAGACTCTCTAATTAACATCTTAAACGTAATTCGTAAAGTAGCTTTGTATCCCTTTATTTTGGAGACGAGAGGGAAAGAGAGAGAGAGAGGGAGAGAGAGAGAGAGAGAGAGAGAGAGATTTTTTCGCTGTATGTTATCCGCGCGCTCACCCCCTTTTCGTTTTTCGTACCGCGTAGAAAGAGAGAGAGAGAGAGAGAGAGAGCGAACCACTTATAAAGAGGTCGTCTTGCAAAAATCTAGAAAAGAACAAAAAAAAAAAGAGGACAAAAGACGAGATCATTTAATTCCAATAACTTGTTTTAAATGATTGCCCCTCCTAAAAAAAGAGGAATATGTATATTACGTTTCACATATATCTTAGATGCGCGCACGATGCGTCGAATAGCATCGTGTCGTTCGTGTTGCTCTTATTTTTTAACTTGCTGTAGCCTTGTACGAGATGTAGAGTTTGCGAATTTTCATAGCGATCCGGACATAAGAGTAATAATAACGACGAATAATCAACCTGAGTTGCTATATGTGCGCTCGACGTTTTAAATCTTAAGTTTTTCCTTACCGTAGTTTTGCTTAATATACATAAAAAGTATGAGAATATACTAAAAAAAAAAAAATAAAGATACGATAGCAAACACAAATATAATCGAATAAAGTAAAAAGAACAAAAAAAAATTAAACACTTATCGATGTAGCTGAAAAAAGAAAACGCATGTGGGCCCCGCGCGAAGACACACCTTATATATTATTAAATATTACATAAATATAACGTATATTCTGCTATTATTTTTCATAGCTGAGAGAAGGAAAAAAAAATGATACACGCATACGCGCGATAATAATGTATGTTTGATAACCATTATAGTATGTTTATTTTTCGTGTTTTTACTTTCTCTTTCCTATACATTAAAGAATAAAAGAAATAAAGGGAGAAATAATGTAATATGATCGCAAAAGCGCATGGGATGACGCAATGAGAGAAAGGGAGAAAGAGAGAAAGAGAAAGAAACGTTGCACCAGTTTGTGTATTTGCGAGAAAAGAAAATGCCCTTCGACAGCTTTTGTAGCCGAGATAAATTCTACTGTCCGGAATATGTCGCAGTTTCCGGTTTACGAAGGGAGAGAGAGGAAAGACAGAGAAATAGGAGAAAGCGTGAGAGAGAAGGGTGGTGGATGGAGAAGAGAGAAAAGGCAAGAGAGGAAGGTGAAGGGGTTTGTTGATCCGAGAAAAAAAAATTGTACGTGCGCTAAGCTATTATTGATAATCATATAATTTGACCTCGATGGGTTGGCCGGTGATCAGTAATATGCTGTAAGACGGCGGTGCGCAGACGGTTTCACGAATTCACTTTTCCAGATTTCAGAGAAACTCATTGTTCAACATTATCGGACAACAGTAAAGAGAGAGAGAGAGAGAGAGAGAGAGAGAGAGAGAGAGAGAGAGAGAGAGAGAGAAACCGAGACACAGGGTAGAGTCTGTCGAGCAAGGAGAGATAAAGAGAGAAAGAGAGAGAGAGAGATAAAAAGAAAAATCCCATTGCTCGCGGAGCGATTCTCCGAGGGACGAGAGAAAAAAATGTGCGCGCCGGAAGAATTACACTTATTATTACGTAATTTATTATATATACACTGATCGTAAATAGCAATGAGCCGGCACATCGGAGTAGAATTCGAGTAGACGAGATCGTCCGATCGTTCACACGCAGCCGACCCATTCTCGGTCCTCGCATTTATATAAAGGCAGTCACACACATTGATGTATTCTTGTTGGATTATTATACCATTGTAACACTTACTGTTGTAACATGTACCCCCCCCCCATTCATGTCTAGTGTCGAGCAGAGCTGATTCTATGCTTTCGCTAGTTCGAAGAAAAGAGACGCCGAGATCGTGTGTGCAAAAACAAGAAAAAAGAAATCTCTGAGTAATCATTATTCACAACTTCCGTGATTCCGGGGTTATTACATGATTTTACGAATCAAATGAAAGGGAAAGGAAGCGAAAAGGGAAGAGAGAGAGAGAGAGAGAGAGAGAGAGAAAGAGAGAGTGAAAGAGAGAGAGAGGGCGGAAGAGAGATAGGGTGAAAGAATCAGTGCTGGTGAGAACACGAGGCAACCGTGAATAAGCAAAAAGCAAAAAAAACGACTATTGTAACTCTAAAGTCACATTTAAACTACTTTTAAAAGCGGATACATATTTGGAGAGTAGCAGGTATAATAATTAATATAAATGTAGTGGCAATTCTCTATAATACTACCACAAAGAAAAAAAAAACCAATATATACAATGATGATTATTCGAAGTGTAAAACTGCGAAACGCACTCTTTAATGAATGTTGTAACGATTTAGAGATACTTAAATTGCATTGATATTTGCTGTAAATCTGTCTGTTGGAATGTGTATGCTCTGTACGCTTATCCTACACTGTCTCGCGCGACGTCAAGTATCGCGAGATGCCGGTTTCAAAGTCCCACTTTCGAGTGGAGAGAGAGAGAGAGAAAGAAAGAGAAAGAGAGAGAGAGAGAGAGAGAGCACAGAGCGGAGCGGTCCGATCGGCAGATAAAGTCTTAAGTTTCTTCCTTTTTCTCAAGAGCGTAACTATTTAATCCTTCATTTATATCTTCTATAACGCAACCTCTCACAACACACATACACACGCAGAATTTAGAGTATTTAAGATTCGTAGATTCCTACGTTTTGAGTTTACACGAAGAAAGGAGGGAAGCCTTGCGCGCGACATAATATATATATATGTGTGTATACGGCTTTTTTTGTGAAAAGGCTACGAAACCAATTTGATCGAGTTTTGTAAAAGGAAGCTCTTAGCACCAGAGGGGAGGATAAGAGAGGGAGGGTTCTCGGATATGGTTGGCTGACATTTTCGGAAGTTTAATGATTTATCGAAACGTGTTGTCATGTCTTGAATACAATTAAAAAGAATATGAAAAATTGCAGCGGAGCGAGTTTACTTTACTGAACCTCCCGAGAAGTGTTCTCCTGTTACCGATGTTTATTTGTTTGTTTCTTTGATTTTGCGCTAATGGCGTTCTTACTTACTTGACGCTTCACGCGCAAAGGAGAATAACGTGAGACGCATGAAAATGGTCCCTTTCGATTTCACGTGGAAAACTCAGAACTCACGAGCGTGTCTTTTGAGTAACTTTATTCAAGTTTATCCTATTCGTAGTACTTTATATTTTGACGTCATACAGGTTAATAATGATGTACATATATATATATAACAATACGATAAAGTATATCAATTGCGTGTAAAATTTGCTCGTTTGCTTCTGCAATTTAAAAAATTAACTAAAAGAATATTCACTTCGCGATATGCAAAATGTTCTCGAAAGCATTAATCGCAACGGTAATTTTGGTTTATTGAGAGAGATGAAACGTTTTGGCAGTTAGACCCAAAGGGATACACTTGCAAATGTACACCGCGGTGTCTTCGTTACATTGCACTATCGTTTATTTTACGCGACAGTCGGCGCTGTGAGGACCTAAAAAATAGAGAGGAGTTAGCATTATAATTTATCACATTTCATTGGGAACATAGGAAGCTGTTTCTTGAAGTCTTCTAAATCGTCGATATAATTCTTTCGCTTCTCTTCGCTCATTTGCTCAATTATATATTCCAGAGAGAACTTTGCCATTCTGCGATCCTCAGCATCATCTGCAAGGCAATCGGGTTCCCTTAAATCTCCATTATGCTAAGCCGATAAATGTAATATACGGTCAATCATCACAACGTCACACATGCGTAGGAACTAATTTGACACTAACTTTTCTGCATCACCTCTCTCTTCGATCACAATGAGACGCTGAAAGGGCGCTCGTTTAAGTAGCGCTCTCAGCGTGACATCATGATCGAACATCGTAACTAAGACTCACTAGTGAATTCCATAGATCCCCTTTCTTCAGGTTCAGGACTGACATGGCTGTCGGGAATATTCGCCTTCCCGACCACGTGTATACTCAGTTTCCGGAAGTTGGGTCCGTTCTGCACATGCTGCGCGTACCATGCTCGCAGCGTGTCGACTCCTATGTGCTGCAGCGCATTTAATTCCCTGTGGTATCTATCAAACACGTAGTATTCCGTCTCGATCTCGTTCCAATTCCTGTCAACTTCTTGCTTCAGATGAACATCGACGGAGTGCTTCCTCTTCTTCAGCGTCTCCTTGAACGTGTCCAACTCTTCTTGCGTGGTTTTCTCCAGAGTCTCGGCGAACGACTTCAAGAACTCTTCGATCCGCTCGTCCACGTATTCCGTCGTGTACTTGGTCGCCCGTATAAAAGCTCTGATGTAGAATCCCAAGATCCCGTTGGTGTTTTTGTCTTTGCAGTGAATGTCGTAGCCGAGCTGTTCCTTGGTTCTAAGTTGATGGAACATTGGTTCCTCCATCATTAACTGAAACGAGCGGAGTAAGATGTAGCCGACGCGTAACCACGAGATTCTGCGACCGTTGGATACCGACATGATGACAGAGTTTTCGTAGTTTGCGCTTTCCTCTATTTGTTTCCATAGAATTGCAAATACTTTCGCAGGGTGAAAGTACAATCGATGAATTGAACAATATACCCCATGTTATTTTAAAAACCAAAGAAATCTTGCAAGTCAAACATTCAGTTTTGTTTTTGACACAACCCGAGGTACTCTTCGGTTTAGTGATATTTATATTTTCACTCTGTAAAAGCATTTGCGATTCTAAATAACAAAAAAAAAAAAAAGAAAACAGTACAAACTACGAAAGCTACATTATATCGATATCTAGGATCCTTTCGGCATCGTGATACCCACCAACAGCAAATTGATCATCGCGCTTCCTTCGTCCGACTCAACTCCAAGTTGATAATAATTTGACACTACGGAGTTCACGTCGGTTTCGTTAAAGTTCCGCACTTTGCAGTAGCGCGTACCCACTGGTAATTGCATGATTCTCGGCTGTGGCTTCTTACTGAGCTCTAAAGATTCGCATTGGAACATCCCGACGGGTTCTCGTATCTTCTCAACAACGTCATTCTGCGTCATGTTACCTTGCACCAGGCACTGAATGTAAAGGTGACTCAAGTAGGACTTGACAAACTCCAGAAGATCGCCGAAAGTGACATCCCGTATGGCGGTGTGTTTCTGAATATCCGTGCGGTAGACTTGCATCAATACCGTTAACCTTATAGTGCTGCGAAGAAATACGAGAGAACTTTCTCAAGGAGGTCTCAATGAGTCACCGGTAAAAAGTAACCGGTTTGTAACTTTTTAGAAAAATTATTTAAATTTATAAAACGATGCGTTTTATGCTTTTAATGGACGTTAAATAAAACTAAAAAAAAATATATATATATATCTGTTCTTGCATAATTCTTTCTGAAGAAACCCGTTATCTTGATAGTTCCGACAGAAATCGCATCAATCATTAGTTAGTTCTGGTGTTAATTTATAATCTCTGAGCGATTGTTTTTCGAGAATGTCATAGTTATGCTAATTAATGAACGCTGTGAGACCATACGTGGTGATGTTCTTGGGATCCAGTAGGGAATTGTAGTACTGTGTGGCCAGATACATCTTCATAATTTCGAATAGATCCTTCGTGATGAGATTCGGGAAATCCACCATTCGCTTTACGATCATCATTAGTACAAGCTGCAAAATAAGAACATCATGGTACCACGAAGTCGTGGAACTGTAACTACGAGGTTTTCAACGCACGAACCGGAAGTTTCTCAGTGAAGCCATCCATACGCAATAGAGCACCATGTTCGAGAGTTTCGATATCATAATTATATCCCACCGCTACAGCTGGATATAGATCTTCAATCAGCATTTGGTTCAAAATCATGACATATAGATCCATAAGAACTGAGCTAAAATGTCACCCTCGAGGGTCTTAGATATAATGAAATAGAAATAGGGCAAAGCAAGAGAGAGACAAAGAGAGACAAAGAGAGACAGAGAGAGAGAGAGAGAGAGAGAGAGAGAGATATGGGGGAAGGAAGGAGAGGAAGCAAAAGTTGAAATAGAAATAAGCAAAAATTAAGGTTTACATCAAGGTGCCCAGCATATACAATTATTAATTATTAACTGAACATTACTTACTTTTTTACCGACTTGTATGGCACGTCTGAGATGAAATATAATGACATGTAACAAATAGGTAGACCGAACGTGGGATCCGGTCGATACCATATGTTCAATAACTTGTCGCTGTATACTTTCTCAGGATAGTCAGGTACTTTTTCCGGCAATGACACCATGGAGAAGTCGTTAACGAGGAACATGTTCGGAAGCGGCAAAGAGAAATATGAATACGGCTCGATGGTACTCCAGCGTTTAATACACTCCGGCGATATTTCGGTGTCCGTGTACTTAGTCACGAACCAGGGCTCCAACTTGTCAAACTCCTGCTCGTTGTACATTTTGTTGTAGACGATTATGTTCATGTTATCCGGTGCCAAATAGTCCAGATATTGCTTTATCAGGTCTGCATTATACTCGTAGAGCAGGAAGTTGCCGATTATGTATTCCCGCGGTGGATAATAGAACATGGTCTCAACCATGTCCACCACGTATTCCTCGGCCTCTGTTTCCTCTAAAAATCTGGAGAAGTTCTTTGAGAACTCCTGCTTCTTCACAGCGACCCACTTGAGTTAATAACGCCAGAAGAAGCGAGGAAATACACTCTAAAAATTCTGCAAAATCCGTTGAAATAAATAGGGCATGAAACAGATATACTCACAAAATGACGCTTACAATCTGTACCGCGAGCAGATTTATAAAGTAGTCCAAAAATTTTCCTTTTATTCTCTAACAATCAATAAACTTATTACGACTTACGATTTTTAACATATCTCCCCTCATAATTCAATCACGTTAATTTTACGGTTATTTACTGATCGCGTTGGAGGAAAAGGAAAACGTTTGTATTAGTTCACAGATCTATTCCATCGATTATAAGCATCATTTTATGGATATATTCTTCCACCTCGATGCATTTTTCAAGAACTTTTTACGTGTATTTTCCTCCTTCTATTTTCGCTTCCTTAGGTCATTCTAAACTCCACACACACACACACACACACACACACACACACACACACACACACACACACACACACACGCACGCACGCACGCACGCACGCACGCGCACGCACACACACACACACACACACGCACGCACGCACGCACGCACGCACACACGCACGCACGCACGCACGCACGCACGCACATACACATTCGTTTATTTCTGAGATATCGTTACCTGAAGTTGGTGTTTACAATGTGTTGATTTTCGTCATACAAAATCTTCTGTGGGCCTTCCCTCTTGACCAGATTGATATAAGAAAATACAGCATCAAGTACTTCCTCCAAGTGTTCGTGTCCTTCATCAGTGAGCACGATATTCATATAAAACAAACTGTACAAACAGTTGTCTTCGAATTCTTCTTCATGATCACAAATGATAGCGATACACCATAGTTTCTGGCGCAGATAACTCATCAACGAACCTTGACCGCAATTGCCAAGAACTGTTGTTAAATATTCATCGGGTTTAGTCTTATAGTGTTCAACTATTGAAGGCATCACCCATGTTATTTCAACCTGCAACAGATGACATTTCATTCAGCGTTTTCCACATAAACTCAGGAATACTTTTGCAATATATCTTTCTATCATTTAATTCGTTCTATAATCAAATTCTTATCAAATTCTGCATACACTGCATAAGTCTTTAATTGGTTTGATTTTGTACATCCTTCGGAAAGCCGGAGTATCGAACGACTTGACACCTTTGAATTCGCTAAAATCATCGGCTGGCAACCCATTATTCGGTATATCAGAAAAGTACTCGACCACGTATTCTTCCAGCGTGTCCAACGGTAATTTTCCCTGTAAAGCAACATATAAATCAGTAGTTAAGACAAATAAGATAAATGAAATAAGATAAAATAAATCATGTGTAAATACGGATGGAAAGTTTGCTGCAAATCAAAATGAAGCTGCTCCTCTCACCTGTATAGCTAATTTCATTCTGTGAGCACTATAGTGACGTTCTCTGAACTTGTGCAACTCCTCGTACAATTTATCCTCGCTCACATTGTCGCGCAATGTCGTCATATTGCCCCAACTAAATTTCCTCACCGGATGATTGTCGCAAGCAAAGCTGCTTTGTAACTGTAACTTTTTGTTTGTGTCGCTGGGCAAGGCCATCTGGAATTCTGCGCGAATATGTGTAATGATACGTTGTGGAGAAAAAAAAATTAATAATGTCGCGATTGTTTCAGTGTACAACGTACCGCTTTCCACAGCTTCTCGCTCGCGTGTGATTGAGTCCCTTTTCATCAGTGGGTTGATGAAGAATTGAGCAAAACGATCGAGGGCGGGTTTCAAGTTATCCTTTTGTATACAGAAATTAAATGTTGTCAGCTCGAGTCCAGTTACCCCATTAGAGTGTCCCCCATATTTGCTAACATAGGCATCAAAGTCATTTTCCTACAAAATAAAGCAAAATAGAGAACAAATCATTATGTTTGCAATAAACACAGTATTATATATTCTAAATATTGTTTAGAATTATAGAACAATCTTTAAAACTGTTACTCGCAGCAACAGCTTGAAGCGTAATACCTTTGGATACTTTTGCGATCCCATGAAGATCATATGCTCTAAAAAATGCGCCAAGCCTTGTATTTCCGGTGGGTCACTGAAAGTACCTACTCCTACAGACATTGCACATGCCACCTATTTGGAAAAAAGACATACCTGTATAAAATAATATATTACAAATGTCAATAAATAAATGTTTCATTTATTCATGCATTTGAAAGCACTTCCCATAAACATTCTACTTCAAAATAGTCTTTCATTCACAAAAAGTATATCTTTTTATAAATGTTTACTTAGGTATTGGCAATGTTAAAGAAATATGTAATCATACTATTGTTATTAATATATGGTAAGTTATGTCAAGAGAAATTTACACAAGATATAGTATGACATGTGAAATCTGTTATATTGATACCATCCTATCTCCCGTCTTGTTTCCTCTAGGTAATACATCATCTTCAGATTCGTCTTCATCAGATTCCTCATCTTCATCAAAGCTTCCTTCATCATCTTCATCTTCAAATTCATCATCCTCATCTTCAGATTCATCCTCCATATCTGTATCACTTTGATCATCTTTGGACATATGTGCACTAGTTGCTATATCAAATAATAAATCACAAGCGTTATATCTTGAAATTGTGTATCTCACACAATTGTATATCACACTTTGTGTACAAACACTAATTGTACATATCTGTCTGAGATGTACTCACCTTTCTCCTTATCTTCATCTTGTTGAGCGCCTGATTTCATGTCAGATATTAGCACAGCTATCAAACCATTTTGCAGTTTGATAACCCTAAAGTTAATATCAAATATCAGTACTAGTGCGTGTGAAATATCAGTAATACCAAATATTAAAATAAAGCTCGCAGCTGTGCATTTATTACACACGAAGCTACACATGTAAAATGAGAAGGAAGCTACGATACAGCAGATACAGGTGTTATGCCGAAACCTAACCTAACCTGTACTCTTTTTTGTCATTCTCCGACTTAATGGGAGTCTCCAGGTACTCGACTCGACGATGCTCGTTACTGTCGTTCATCATCCGTCGTTGTTCCTCCATTGCTCCTCCGTGGATTTCGTATGCTCCGACGTTGAGATTAGGATTAAGCGGCGGCGGCTGATCATTCGGATTCGAATACGGCGGAGAACTCGCGGAAGCGGCACCCTGTTCAGTCATTTCCCGTTCGTTCACGGGTGTTTTCCGTATGTATTTTTTCACCATTCTGTTCAGCAAATATATAATTTTACGCGTGCCTATCGTAACGGTAACGGCCCCGTTACGGGAACAACCGCTAAAGAATAAACGCTAAAGACCATACGTCACCCATACCCTGCGTACCTTGCTTAGCAGGAGTAAAGCCCCTTGCACAATGCCAGGCAACAGCAATAAGAATAAAAAAAGATCAATCACAATAGATTATACTTGTAATAGTCGATTATGATTGGTCTATTTTTATTCTTATTGTTTCCTGGCATTGTGCAAGGGCCTTAAGCCAGCGGCACACGGTGCTTATTTTCGTGTTGGATTGCTTGCTGGATGAAAATACTGCGTTCTGATTGGTGCATTTTCATCCATCTTCGGAAATGTCTCGCTTGCTACACTCGCTTGCGCGCGCGCACTTGCGCGTTCATGCGCTATAAAGGTCATTCTACAATACGTGTCGTAAGTTGTAAGTCGTAAGAATTGGCGAATCACAGTCAATTATTAGAAAAATAATCGGCTATAATTGGTCAGTTCTTACGACTTACAACTTACGACACGTATTATAGAATGACCTTTATAGCTGCGTTTCAATGGCTGCATTCGACAGACTCAACAGTTGGACATTACTAGATTTTCCATTGAATCTCGCTTCTGATTGGTCAATACTTCTGAGTCTATGAAGAATCTAAAAGAATGCTCCAATCACAGACAATAATCACTAAGCGCTCTCTGATCACTTTGTTCTACTGAACGCGGCCATTGTTCCTAATGCCAGTACTGAAAATAAAATGGTTTGCGTGACGTATATCACAGATTTTCAGTGCTAGCAGTGAATGTCGGAACGCAGCCAATTTGCAGGCGAAAAACTACCGATAGCCCCAGGCAGAACAGAAAATCATGATGACATGAAAATGACGTCAAAATGAAAAGGAAAACTCATTTTTTATCATGATTCAATCATTTTCTCGTCATTTTGATGTCATCATGATTTTCTGTTATACCTGGAGCATTATTATCAATAGATATCTATCGATAGTTTATTTCAAGTTATCACGATAATTCTCAAAAACTTTTTCCCTTCACAATCGCAATATTTTAAAGTAACAGCTTGTGTGACGTAATACTTCGAATCGTTTGATCAGCAATTAATAAATTAATTTCCCTTGCTTGGATTAACAAGTGAATCTGGTTTAAAAAGATTTGTATTTACAAATGTCCGAAATAAGCGAATGGAGGAATGGAGGCCACACAAGCTGAACTTTTAGGTTAATATAGTCATAGATTTTCTGCCTTCTCCAAGTATTTGCATCAAAGTATACTTTTTATGGCGTTTCCGAATAACAATGGCGGGCGAACTTCACATTCGAAGTAGTACTTATCAACGACAAACCGGGCGGCCTTTTACTTTTAGTCTGTTCTGTTCTTTTTAGCTGCACTGTTTAACTGGTGCAACAAGTTGGAGTGAGAAAAAATATAGTTATCTCACTTTAACTTACTGCACCGGTTCATCAGTGCAGCTGTCAAGAACAGACCACTTATCCTGAAGAATAGTCGATATTCCATCGGCCAACGAGCTGTAACTTCGAGTCCACTTTCACTTGAATTTTTATATCGAAAAATTATTTTTATACAAAATTAAATAAACGCATTTTACAAAAGGGATCCTTAAGTTTTCTTTATATATTCCTTAACGATTGTCATACGTCATCAGTTCGTTCATCCTGATGGATGATCGAAACTGAATGGACGCCTTTCGATTCAATATGAAACAATTCGATGAGGTCATCGTCCATATGCAAATTAAAAAATAAAAGTTTCGCACTTTCAGGCGACAGACGATTCTGATTCGTGTAAAAATTTTCCTTTGCATGCTCGACATGAAATGTCATAAAAGATTTTCATATTATTAACGGAGAGATACTCATTCTTTAGTCTCGTAACATAAAAACAATTAATTAAACTTTGTATCGGATAGTAAAGGATTAAGAACTAGAAACTTAAATTTGCGGAATACTTGTCTATAACCATTTTAACATTATTCTTTATCCTAAGTTATAGCTCATTGAATTTTAATTACGTGCGTTCAAGAATATCCTTCGACTTTGTGAGCCATGCTTTCGGCTCGCAGTTATGCAACGGACGAGCGAAACCTGTTAATAAATTAATAATTTATAGAGAGAAACGCAGGAGGAGAATGACAATGCTTGAAGCGAGATACGTCTATCGACGTTTTATTACCGAAAATCGCGATCATTGCACGTATACAATTGCCTTTATACTTTATGTATTAATGTGTTGCGCGTCTACATACGTACGTGACAATTTGTCAGCATCGATCATGTACAAATATTACAAACAGGTACAAAATCTACATTGCTAGAGTTAAATATTGTTTCACGCGACTTTCGGTGTCGCCTATACTCGCTCGTCAATTATTCAAATGCAAAACTTAGAAGAGCTTGAGCTTGGTCTCTGGAGCTCTCACCGCGCGAATTAATTCGTTCGCCGCTTCTTCAGATGGGGGTGAGTATTCTTCTTCGTTTTCTCTCTCTCTCTCTCTCTCTCTCTCTCTCTCTCTCTCTCTCTCTCTTACGCTCAGTCATTTTTATCCTCTATGCTATTTTGTCGTCTATTCTTTCTAAACTCTCGCCAAGAATCTTTTTGCGAAATTTTCGGCCGAGATTTGCATCGTGTAATTATTATCGTGGACTCGTCGCCAACGTTTCACCGTATTCCTATCTTTGGCCACTCTTGGCAGTGACAAGTTGCGAGATTCGTATGTTCGTTTAACGTTTAATTCATTCTCACTCGTCAGGCTCGATGAAGTCGATGAAATTATTCAAACTCCACCAAACGGCGCACATTACACGCCGTTGACTCGATATCGCGCGGTAGCAATATAAAAATTCCTGCAGGTCACATGCTAGTCACATAAATAAAAAATCTGTACAAAGCACACGTGTCCGTTTGAACTGATTTACACTAGTTTGCAGAAGCACTTATGGATCTATGGATTTATCGACGATTCACCAGGTACGTAGGTATGTCAATCAGTTTACAGATATTGTTCGCTATGTAGCTCGCGAATTCTGTCTCGCACGTGTTTCATCATATTACCGAGCATCACACACTTTATGGGAGAGCTACGTTTATTAAAAAAATATTATACTATATACGACAGTATGTACAAGTCAATACTGTGTGTACTGTATTTACAGCGATATTAAATAATATTTCAACTTAAATCTCCCGCATGTAAGTCTGGTCCCGCGTCGTCAAAGTAGTCTTTGTACTAAAAAGATAAAAAATCTGAAAAGCGATTGGCCATACACGCTCGTCGCCTGATAGTAGAAAAGCTAGTCAAGCCCTTGAAAGGCGTATCAAATTCGTACGAAATCATCGTGTGTTCGTATGTGCTTGCTTTCAGAATCACTTCTCAGAATTTTTAACAGCTGAGACATGTAAAGAACCAAGTTACGCATTATGAAGCTTTAAAACTTTACGAGCTATTTCTTGCATCAGGGACTTGCAAAATATTTCTCGGATCCTTCATGGTTTTACTAGCTCGAAAGATATTCTAACCTGACCTGAAAACGTATGAAGAATGGTAGAAACTGGCATAGTGACGGCACACAGGTACTTTAATTAACCGTGACGTGTGCTGTCTCCTTGTTATCGAAGTAAAAGAGATACAAGTGAAAATTCGACGAATTTTTGCAAGCCTCCGATACTTCAATTATGATATAAAAAAAATTATGATATAAATATAATAATATGTACGTTTGTGCCTACGGACATATTGCTTGTATCACTCTTATACGTATATGTATAAATATAAATATAAATGCAGCTGAATGTATATCAAGCATTATTGCAAGGTATTCAGCTATTTTCATTAAAATATAGGACATTGCTTATATATGTATGTACACGTGTGTGCGTGCACGTATATACAGGCACACATGCAAAGTACAAAGGAAATATGTACACTATATATGTACTTTAAAATAATCAATCTATAAAAAAGATTAAGTCTCAAAAAATTACAAAAATATATAATATGCACAGAGTGTCCCACCGCTTCTTCGTCAATTGTAACAATTATACTATCGTCATAATATTTAGGGCTCAAGGGTATCTGCTATTGTGAGATATACCGTAGCCGAGCGCGCGGAATTCCTATCCATGGCCGATTGCTTATCTCTTCAAACGCTATCAAACGCTTTCCCATGAATGAAAAAAGAAACTTTAGCCTCGACTTTAGTTTTCGACTGAGTACTGAGACCCTGGTCTCAGAGTTTCTTCGGGAATGTGCCATTGACGAACGCAGTTCGCCGGTGAGCAGTGAGACAGACTGTGGGGTGTAATCTACATTACGCTATTGTACAAATATATTTCATTGATATAATGATGATTTAAAGCAAAGATTTATCGATATTTAAGATGACGTATTGGGGAGCTGTCGTTACGGGTTGTGAGGTGAGCGCTCCGAGTGGTCCGGCTTGTAGCCTGGACGGTCCGGCTTGCGGTCCGGATGGAGAACCGGACGGTCTCACCGCGATTCTTCGGCGGACCGTGTTCTCTTGAACCTGCAAGACGACCGGAGCGTTCTGCACTGGTTCAGAGTTACTCATTCTCCTTCTTTTCTGAATCGGCGACACTTCATGCAGATGTAAGTGCACCTGGTGCGGCAAGCTCGTCGCATGAACCTGTCCGTAGACCTCGATTTGGTTGGCGTTGCCATTCTCCTCCTCGTGACTTTCGTCCTGGTGGCCGTGGTCTGCCAGAGGATACTGCGCCTCAACGTGCTCCTGCGCCATAGCTTCTGCTTCTTCTTCCTCGTGCAAAAGACTCTGCTGTCCCTCGGCCTCGAGAGTCACGGAGGGCACGGATTCCATAGAGTTCTCGTCGCTACTGCCGTCTTCGTCGTTCTCCATGTAATTCTCTTCCTCTATGTACTCCATGTTCGGGTTGCCAACCACGAACTTCATCTCGCCGCGTTCCAGCCGTTCCAACATGTGTGGCTCAGACATGGATAGCGTGACGCCCGCTGGGTCCTTCTTCGAACGGCTCTTCATGGTTTCGACCAGCTTCTTGGTCTTGTCGGGAGCGTATCTCCACAGGCCCCCTTTCTTTTGGGTACTGTTTTTCGGCTCGCCGTCACCATCATCGTCATCATCGTCATCGACCTTCTCGAATCTATTGTTCAATGAAAGATTGTGCCTTACCGAGTTCTTCCACCCCGCAGGCGCAGTCCTGAAGTAAGGAAAATGGTAGCTGCAAAAGGATAAAAAGCTATTGAGCTCTACATACATTTGATTACGCTACATATTTAGAGACAAACCAAGAGATGTAATAACACGTAATAACAGCGTCTAGCAATTCTACGTCTTGAGAATTTGATCTAAATTACATTCTTGTTAATTACATTCTTGTTGAGAATATAATTAAGATCAGCTTAACAGCAGTCAACTTGACTCGCCATAGTAGTCGTTTTATGTTCAATGGAAGTTAACAATAAAAATAATAACGTAATGATCGCAAGAGACAAAGGTACTGCGCGCGTACCATATAAAACTGTAGATGTCGCAGACCCGCAGAGCTCCCCGGTAGCTATTCTTCAAGGCCAACATGATGAGGACCGAGTAAGAATAAGGAGGTTTCGGATACTGGGACGACGCTTCGTTCTCGCATATCGCCTGCTGCGACGGTTGATACGGTGGGATTATCATCGGCGGCTCCCGTTTTTTCCTCCTGTCCCGTTTGATGCGATACACCGCGTGTTCTGGCGACTGGCTCGATTCCGACTGCGACAGCCTCATGAGCTTGATCGGCGACACCATGAGAGACGAGACTGAGGAAGCGTCCACGTCAACGTCCGCGACGTTGATGGGCGACGACAACGGCGTTTGGAAGTCCGAAGGTGTGAGCAATGCTGTGTCCTCCTGTCCTTCGTTCTCGTGCTTTACTTGTCTCTGCTCGTTCTCCTCCTTCACCTCCAGCTTCAGCTCTTCCTTCTTCAGCCTCTCCTCTTCCTCCTCTTTGCCTTCCTTCAGCTCCTCCTCCGTCAACCTGCCGTTTACCACATCGCAATCTTCATCTTCGTTTTCCTTGCTCTCTTTTTCGTCAGCCTTGCTTGTGTCGATTGGCTCGGTTTTTATTACTAGCTCATCTTCCGACATGGGCTCGTCTTTTATTACGGATTTATCACTATCCTGATTCTCGACGCTGTCCCCGACCTGGATCTTCTCCTCCGTTGCGTTTCCTGTCGTTTGTACTTCCTTGTACGATGGCGCGATGGGCAGTGTGAGCGGTATCACCTCGTTCGGATTCAACAGAGGCAGTGCGTCGCTGTCGCTGAGATCATGCTGATCCATGATCTGACTACGTTGATCCATGTTCCTGCAAGAGGGATGAAGTATGAGTTTCCGTGAATATACGGCTGTACGCGCGAGGTGACAGTGAGAAGAGGCAATTTAGACAAAAAGAAGCAACGAAACTTACCAGGTTATTTGTTTGAAATATTTCACAAGTTTATATATCTGTAAATCCATCGTGCAAGCATTTATCACAAGTATTGGCTTTACTCAGAATACACTACAGAGCTAGTGTGCCAGTGAGTTTAGTATTTCCATCAAAAATATTAAGTTGAGACAAAAGTTAGATTTGCTGCTTATATAGAGTAGTGTAGAAGATAATGAACCTCTTTGAAATTCATGCTGAATATTTGAATGTGAATTTGAGACTACTATCAAGCAAATATTCTTTATTGAAGCTTTATTGGAACTGGTACCCTTGAAGGAGGGAGACCGAATAATAATTTTCCTCAGCGGTAGAATGTGTTTCTCTGTGTGAAAAAAAAAAAAGAAAAAGAAAAGAAAAACAGTCGCAAATTTTCGAGCTGATCGCGATTCTCTGCTGACGCACGTCCCGTCACAAACTTCACAAACGAGGAGGTTTACCCGTTGGAACTATCGTTGAGCTCGCCGGGTTCATCTCTCGGTAGAGACTGCAACGAGTAGAGCAGTGTATCGAGATCGGGAGGATTATCCACTTCCGTGCTCAAGTAACGTCGCAGGTCCCATATTTCGTCAAGGTTGAAAAACTGGCTGTCATTTTTCAAGTGTCGGAAGATATCTATGTTCACCATCTTCGTCGGCCTGATATCGGCCAGGCTGCTCTCAGCGTACAACATTCAGTAGACTGCAAAGAGAAGGAAAGGATACACTTGAGATGTGAAGAACCAACGCGACAGACAATATGCCGCGAGCGAATATAGCTCTGAATTGCGAAACTAGAATTGTAAAAAGACTTTACATATGATTGTAATATCAAATCGTCCTCACTCTCGGCGACTTTGTCGAGTCTTCATTAGTCTGACCGTTTCGCGCTCTTGCGTTACATTACCGTATTTAAATTAATTCAATAGCGACGATGAGCAGACACGATAAAGAAGCAGACAAGAATAAAGAACGCGTGGTGGTAAAATGCGTGCGGGATTTCCGAAACAAGAGAATTACCATTTGAGTGGCGCCCGCTTCTCGCACGCTTATTCTCCGGTTCGTCGTTTTCATTTCATACGCGATATGCGAAGGGAGATCGGGAGAACGCGGTCGCACGTGTTATTATTGCGCTCGCGAGTAGTCATTGCGGAGTAGACGCGCTAATAATGCAGCGAGGAACGGAGACAGGGGAAGAATGCAGAGAAACGGTTGGAAAGAATCGACGAGAGAATGAATTGCCCATGACTCCGTTTTAATTGTCGCCCAACGGTACGGTCATCATCATCATCATCATCATCATTATCATCATCATCATCATTGTGTTCGGACCAAGTATCCGACTTTTCTCTTCATCGGCTCAAGCAAGGTCCAAGCAAGGTACGTACGGTCGGACCTCACAAGTAAACGTCAGACGTTGATTTGTTTCCAATTTTTTATAGTTATTTTTTATGTCAAAATATAAAGAAATCTGTTATCATTTGTAGGTTAAATTAATTTTTTCAATTTTTTCGAAATTTCTTAAGTTCTTTGTTCATTTCTTGTACCAGATTTTTACCAGATTTTGACCAGATTTAAAAAATGAGCTTGTTTGCTGGAGTGAGCCGAAAGATTACCCAACGAATGTAGCGTAAAACTGAACGCTGTTTCAACAATGACATCAGCTACAGTCTGTAAAGTAAGAGCGTGTACGGCATAAATGGCAGTTGGCTTCAAATATTGTCCAAGTTTTTTTTTAGCCGTATTGTGAGGCATATCTCAAGCACAAGCTTCGAGGAAAAAAAGTGTGCGCTTTGAAGCAGCTGACACGACAAATTCGTCTCATTTGGAGGTCTTTACCGAACGAATACGCAGTCAACTTAGTGGAAAGTATGTCTCGGAGATGCCAGGCAATTATCAATGCCGGTGGTGACTGGACTCATTATTAACGGTATAGCGTTTTTCTTCTCATGGAGTACAACAAATCCATGTACTTAGAAATCATCAAAAATAAATTTTTCTACACATTAACCCGTACACGCTCTTACTTTACAGACTGTATATTAGATCCGCCATTTTGAATTTTACAAAATGGTTCTGATTCATAATCGGCGACGTGTGTGTGTGCAAGTTTCAACAAATCAGATACATATATTTTTAAGAAATATTGTTTTAAATATGTCTAAAATAGTGTACCTGCGCCGAACTTGAAAAACTTCGAAAAAATTAATTTAACCTGTAAATAACAACAGATTCCTTCATATTTTGACATAAAAAGTAATTATAAAAAATTGGAAACAAATCGGCGTCTGACGTTCCCCGAGAGAGGTTTACTTGGCAGCCGTTGTCAGCGGCAAAGGGGCGAGGGGGCACGAGGGGGCGCGAGCGTGGCGCGGAAAATCGCGAGATAAGATCATGGTTCGATCGATCGCGCGCGCGCGGATCCGGAAACGAAAGTCGCTTCTTCCCCGCGACAGACAGCAGCGGCCGCCGGCCCCTGCGAGATGACAATGCCGACGACTCCGAAAATTCCCACGCTATCTCACAGCAGTTGTTATCAGCTTGTTGCGTTATATCGTGAGCGCTACGCTGATGCACTTCGCTCGGCAAGGCCAACAGATCCCGCGTGCGCACGCGAGAGTGTGGGTGTGTGGGTGCGCGTGACCTCGCGTGCACGCGTGCGGCGTACAACGAGGATCTTGAACCCACAACCGGCTTGTGGGTGTGACTGACTCATAGTACTATAGTCGATTTACTATACGCGCGTGCTCGTAGTACTCTCTTCTCGCCCTCCTCCTGTTTTCTCTCTCTCTCTCTCTCTCTCTCTCTCTCTCTCTCTCTCTCTCTCTCTCTTTCTCGTAGGACGTTTTTGTTTTTTCTTCTCTTTCTCCCTTTCACGCTTTCCCGCTCCTTCTCCTCCTCCTCCTGACTGACTCGCCGTTCAACCTTTCCTCTCAGCCTCTCATCGTGCCGTTTCTCGGATCGAGAAGCGAGAGACCCCGGCATCGGACACACGACCGACCGGTTACGCGGCTCTACGCGCGTACTCGCCTAGATATGGCGACGTAGCTCGTCGTTTCATCGTCTCCTAGCAGAGCGCTCTTGAGCATCCCTTTCCACTCCTTGCGCAATTACGGCTCGTTTTCCGCGATACCTTGAATGCGAGGAATTTTGTCTTGGGGCCATTGATGAACGGCCGTCCGACGTAGATAAGTCAATCTCTATCTCTTTCTCTCTCGCTCGCGAGATAGATTAAAAAGGCAAACGACGAAGAGGAGGAGGAGGAGGAGGAGGAGGAGGAGGAAACAGAGACGGCTGCGGGGAGGGGGAGAGAAAGGAAGGCGCTCGGTTTGAGCTCGGCGCAGGAAAAAGGGAGGAAACGTATACTGGAGCGCATTGTGCTCGGTCGCCGTGCGGAGGAGGGAGCGAGAGACCGAGACGAGAGTCTTAGAGACCGAGAGGCAGACTTGAAAAACAGACGAAAATGAAGCGACCGCAGGGCCCAAGGTTGTTGCAAGCCGAGGTCCGCGGGTGAAGGATCAACGCGCGCGTCTCTTAATGCCGCTCTCGATTGCTTCGCTCCTCCCTTTATGCTTCTCTCTATAGGGTGTTCCGTCGGGCGAGCCGTCGCATCTCGCTGAGTCCGCAAATTCGTCGGACAATTTCCAAATCGACTCCCATCCCTCCTCTCTCTCTCTCTCTCTCTCTGCTGAACTCGCTACCGAGTAGTCGCATGCGTTCGTCCCAGGTACTCAAAAGTGGAATTTGTCAGCCTTCGACAGGTGCCAACATCGTCGGGGTCGTCGTCTATTAAGGGTCGCTGACTCCGACGGACGCGGCATCCTCAGCCGCGGATAGAGCTATTCCGGGTCGACCGAGTTCTCTCCTCCGCATAATTGGAGAGCTGAATCGAGCTGAAGCGCACGGCGCGCGCTTCGGTGCGCCGGAAAGCGCAGAGGTCGAGATAACGAATACAGAACGTCGTCGTCGTCGTCGTCGACGACGAAGACGGAGCGCGTGTACGTGTGTGTGCTCTCCCGTTCTCGGTCGCGCTCGCTAATTTTACACACTTTCCGTAGTAACTGCTTCGCGTTGATATACCCGGCGAATTATTACATCATTGACACGGCCAAGCGAATAATTCGCTGGCGTTACAACAATCGAGCAAGGAGGATTTCCCTTTCACCGTGCTTTCGAGACTATGCGAGCGCGAGCGCGCGCGCGCGCGGCTCACTTCGGGGCCTCGGACTGCTCTCGCAACTTAGAGACGAGCCATGCAAATCGCGCGTCCTGGCGCTCGAGAACGCAAACGCGCGGACGTTATGATGACCGATCGAGAGATATCCGCGCAAGGATATTCTCGTTGCGCGGTTCTAAATTTTGCAAGATTTCAAATGTTGCTCCTTCAGTTCATCTTGGGCTGGAGAATCTTACTCACTCAAAGCGACTACAAAATGGCGGTATTTCAGGCGGACGTTGAGGCTTCAGCTGAACGAACATTTCACTCGATCGGAGTAAATACGTAGATTCCTCTATCGGTGGAGTGCATCAGATTCCGATGGAAAGTATTCACCCGACGATTCAGAGCGAAGGAGCATTCTCGAACTCGAGCAAATTCGGTGGTCTAGACTCTGCTTTTGCAGTGAAGTTTTAGTCCAAGGAATGTAACGATGTGCTGCGGTAAAACCGATCGCACTCTAAATTCGCGGGAGCGGATGCGATCGAGGCACATGGCGCGTAAGATCTTCATCATCACATCAGGACATGGCGTCCTCCTCATTCGGATCCATTTGCAAATGATCTGGTCAAGATTCAAATCCTCGAGCGCGCATCGACACACAGAATATATATTCCTCCGTCGAAAGGGATATTTCCGTCAGGGCCGACCCCGGGCCCTTCGCGACCACAAGCCAGCCCTGAATGCTGCGCATTTTGTCGGTGTCTGAAACACCTGACGGAACGTTGGACGGCAATGCACGATACAACTGATAAATAGGGGGATGCACGGATACCATAGAGAAAGAGGAGGAGGCGGAGGAGGAGGAGGAGGAAGAGGCGCGGTGGTAGTGGTGGAAGACACATGCGGCGCAATTTGGAATGCGAGCGCGTATCCACGCATCAAGCGACCGACACGCGAAGGGATTGTCTTTGTGGTCTGCCAAACGAAACGAGCCGGGTTGAGGCGTGTTTAATCGCCTCTGCGCGATGTACGATGAAAATAGAAAAATCGTGCCCGGCGAGAAGGTAAAAGAGAAAGAAAAATGAAATGAAACACAAAGTACGCTTCACCGAGCGGACAGACGAGGTAGTTCTCGTGAAAATGCAGAAAATAGATGTGCATAGATAAAGAGAGCGGGAGGAAGAGAGAGAGAGAGAGAGAGAGAGAGAGAGAGAGAGAGAGAGAGAGAGAGAGAGAGAGAGAGAGAGAGAGAGAGAGAACATCGATAATTCATTTATCGGATTTCAGGGAAGCGGAATAAATGGTTAATCGAGCGACGGAAATAAAAGACAGAGTGTCGGTCAAGTCTGGCGGCAGTTATATTGATACTTTATGCTTCGTTATTCATGAACGGCGACGAGAACGCAGAGAATACGAAGTGCCGAAAAATATGCCGTTCGGAAGAAATTCTGACAGCGAGAGAGAGAGAGAGAGAGAGAGAGAGAGAGAGAGAGAGAGAGAGAGAGAGAGAGAGAGAGAGAGAAAGAGAAAAAACGGGACATAAAGGGAGGAAAAATTCAGTTAGAAAATCATTTCAGCGGGAACAAAACGGGCCCAGAGTCAGCCGGCGATCAGTCGCCGCCATGGCGATCTCGCGTGAGCATGGCCACGACTTCTTTGTGATCGCGCTCCGACTGGGAAACCGGTTTCATTCGCGGTGGCGGTAGACTTCTCTCTCTCTCTCTCTCTCGCTCGCTCTCTCACTCTCTTTCTCTCTCTTCCTGCCGCCCCTTTTGCCGTGTGTGAAGCGAACCGAATGTGAATTGCCCGTCCCGATAAATGGAACTTTGTCGACGAGCGTGCCAACACACGAGAAACCGATCGTCCGCACGCTGCTGCTCATTTGCTATTGCCGATAGTAATCAGCGCGCGATAAAAATGAGCGAACGCGAGAGAAAATCTGCCGCAATAAATATCTAACTTTCCAGCGATTAACGGAGTTATAATATCGAGTGTGTGTGTGTGTGTGTGTGTGTGTGTGTGTGTACATATATATGTACGCTCGCGTCGCCGCTTTACCAAAAATGAAAGCGCAGCTGAAACGAAAACGCGCGCGGGCTCCTCTCCCCCTCTCGCTCGACAGTTTACATGTATAGAGACAAACGTCCCCTTCTCCGTCGCCCCGCTATCGATTCGTATATTCCACCCTGTGCGTGCGTAATCGCAGCCTCCAGTCCGGATCTTGCGATGGACCGACCGTAGATACAGAACCCCCGTGCCCCTCCTGCCCGTACTTTTCGCCGAGTATCGATCTGATACGCTCTCCCCTCGTTCCGCCAGCTCTCCCTGTCCTTCACCCTCGTATCCTTCCTCCCCTTCGAACGGCATTTGCTGGCTGCAAGAGTGTTGCACCCTGGGTTTGTCAGGGCGGCACCCTAACCCCCTCTTCATTGGGTTCTCGTTTGAAAACTCACCGGGCTCTATCTCTATCTCTCTTTCTCCCCTCTGTCTCTGTCTCTCTCGCATCACCCCTTATCCAGCGCAGACCGCTCGTTAACCCTTAATACCACCGCTCGCCGGTGGTACTATCGCTGCTACGCTTTACGAAGAGAAAGAGTTTTATACGTTGCACATGGATGGTAAACGTATGAATCTCCTTCATCAGCATGATTCGACTTTTCCACCAAAATATTAATTCGACAATCTGAAGGCTCTTACTCTCTCATCCAGAGATTTTCCCTAACGGTCGTCTACGCTCTCTGTGCATCGTGTATAATTGTCCGATAATTTGCACGCCGATCGGACTATTTCTATCTTCATCCCGGGATCCTCGTCGGGAGGCGAGCATATCACGCTGCTAAAATCGTCGCGATTTCGTTCGCTGTCTTTCGCGCACTTTACTTTCTAATCCGCCGGAACCAATTGTCGCGGACTTTGTCCGGGCGTTATTTCCCAGAATCGGACCGATTCGATATCGATACTCGGCCGCTTATGTGGAACCGTTGTGGTACGCAATGATGTCTCTGTACGCACACCTCGGCGTGTGTATGCGTATGTCATCGCACGCACGTGGTCGCGCGGAATTGGCGCGAAAAAGTTTCGCCGTCGCGCGTTACACCGTCGTCGTCGTAGGACGACGACGATCACGCATGCCTCGCGTCTACATGCCATAACGGCGGTCGAGTCTAAAAAGAAAAGAAAGAGAAAAACAAAGATGACGAGAGAGCTGACAAAGTATGGCGAGAAGTATGACACGTATGAGACAATTGTGACATGTAGGAAAAAAGATTGAGAGATACCGTTATGAGAGAATTCGGAATCGCCGACAAGAGGGACTGTTTCCTGCCGGAGCTCGTTCCTGAGCTCCTATTACTTGAATGTTAATAAATTTTGCGTGCGATTATACAGTAATGTCCGTCGAATGAATTCTTCGACGAGTCATCGGGAGAGAATTCATGCGTTCGCGATTCTCCTCCTTCGCGACAAGGATGCGAATCCGCCGCTGCAAAGCACGGTTTATCACCGGCTTAATGCACCGGTATGCTTCGGCCCTTTCATTAATATGTAACGCGTTCTCTCTTGCTTTTGTCACCTGGCTGGTGGCAAGCACAGCACAGCGTTGCGCGATGTGTTTTGATTAGGGCTACGGCGTGCTAATATTGATTTGGCGAGCTTATCGTCGACCGAGCGATGCGCGCCTTCTCCTATTTGCGCTACGCCACGAGCTGCGGTGCACAAAAAGAACAACGGTTTATCTCTTCTCTCTCTTAATTCATAACTGTATGACCTGTGTAAAAAGACGTACCTGCCGCAACGAGAGATAATCGAGACTACCGTAATTTTCTTTTCTCTTCTCTCTTTTCGACTACGCACCGCGCGCGCATCACGTTCTTTCGCAGCTAATCGCGGCTTTCTTTGCCGTTCTTCTCTCGTCCTTCTTACTGTCCCGGACACTTTTATCCAGTCTCTTTCCTCTCGAGATTCGACTAATCGACGTGTAACGCTCGGATAACTCCAAGAGTCCGACTCAAACGTATCGATCAGCGGGAAACGTCTGGTGATGGATAAATATAGCAGTTAAGAAGTTCCGGGAAATTTTCACATGAACACATCGATAGCACGAAATCCTTCGGAAAACGTGTTCCCGAGAAACGCTCTTCCTCCTCTCTATCACTCACGCGTATTATATTATGACACTTGCAATTGATTTTTTATTGCCAACTCATTGAATGACACAAATTCATTCGCTTATGCGCAAGAGGCATACTTAAAGATACTCCACAGCAAATGCGTAATAAATTCCTCCCTCCCTATCTTACACCAAAAAACAAAAACATACATAAACTCTTTCTCTCTCGCTCGTTCGCTCTCACTCACATGCCCTTTCACTCACTCTTCCCGCCGAAACTTACGCGGTGCCGTAACTCCCACGCCCGTACGACCCGTTCATTCACGCCGACTAGACACAAGGGAGACAGCCTGTTTATACTCTCGAGCCGGTACACATTTTCTTTCTTTCGATGCGATTCGCGTGCAATCGTGTAAAAAAAAAAAAAAAAAAAAAAAAAAAAGAAAAAAACGACACTCATCCGACGATACGTCGCGGAAACAGCCGCGAATCGACCGAAAATATCAACACGCGCGGCAATATGAGTTAGTCGTGAGAAAACGTCAAGTTGTGACAGAAAGGTAGACAGCGCGTATCTCTCTCTTTCTCACGATTTGTCAAAACCGAGCTCGCGTCTACTCGCAACGAGGTATTGAGAGGCGAGAGGGAATGAAGAACGATGAAGAGATTCGGTGATGGTCCGTTCATCCAACCATCCGTACGTCCGTCCACCCGTCTCGCTCCGATATACGGTCGGCTCTCTTGACAGATGGAGAGACCATGAGACAGACGGAGAAAGAAAGAGAACTTACATATATATATATACACACACATCACGCTCGCTCTCGCTCTCACTCACACGCGCACACACACACAGACACGGACGGAGAGCGCGCTCGCGCCGGCGAATGAGCGATCGGACGAACGTTCCACACGACGGACGAACACTTTTTTCGCGGGCGATTTTACGCGAAGCCGCGCCGACTGTGCCGGACCTTACCGTGTTTTCGACGCTCGAGCTGAAACACCGTGCACCTTCGCCGCCGCCACTTTCACACTCATACATTTACGAGCGGTAGGCGCGATTTTCGACAGCGACCATGTATAAACCGACACCGAGACACGGGGCCCCCTTTACGGAACTGAAGCACAACGTTGACACGAGCAGCAGCCCCGTGGAACAAAGACCACGCACGATTTCAAATCTCGCGGCGCCGATTGGCTGGGCGCGGTCACGTGGCCGCACAGCAGGCGCTCTATTCGCCGGCCGTGGGCAGGGGTGTGAGGACGTTTTGAACGATGCGCCGCAATGCACATGGCTGACAAGGAATCGGACAATTTTCTCACGGTGCTCTCGGAGGCGTAGCACCGCGGCTGCCGATCGCGCCGACCGCACCGACGCGATCGTTCATCGCGGCCGCGCCCGGAACGTTTCCTAAGGAGCCAGCACAAGATCCGCGAGTCGCGACAATTGACAGCGAAACTCACACCCTAACCCCCCTACTCGGGGGAAAATGGCCGAACCCAAACACAACACAGCGCGCACGAGAGAAGTCACTCGCTGTAGCGGTGCGTGCCGTTGTATCTTGACAGATCGCGCGGTCCAAAAGCGGCGCGCGACTTCTCCGCGACGCGCGAACGCCCGAACGGCCGTGATTTTCGGCGCGGAAACGACCGGGAACGTTCGCCGAGCCGCGAAACAGAAACGAACACGACGGGCGAGTCCATCACACCACTACGGAGGGGAGTCGGGTAGCACACCGCGTTAAGAATGAACTACAATACGCGCGATAATGGCGGGAAGCACGCGCACACACACACACACATACATGTAGGCACACACTCGTACCACATACATACGTGGCGCACTAGGGTTTATTGACTTCGGTCTCAGGTAAACGTATACCGCACTTGTCACGTAGCACTCTTCCAGTCGTGCTCTTTCCCTGTGAAGCTAACTTTGCATGAAACGTTGCCTCTTTCTCTGCAATTTTCTTCTAGCATCAGCAGCCTCTGTGCCTGGTGAAAACTTGCGCTTCGTCGTAATCTTTGGTTCGCCGTTGAAATTAACAGCCAAGCCTCTTCGTTGATAGCTCTTGTACAAATAGAGTATTTGTCTTGTACATTTTGCACCGTTGATCTTGGAAGATTCTCTCCAAGCATGTTTCGAAGATGCTGTTGGTATACTCTAAGTATATCACACTTCAAAGACAATTACATGCTATTGTTTAATAAGTTTCATCTTACACTTGGCAGCAGTTACCTTTAGATCATCTTTCTTTGTATGAGCTGTGATTATTTGCTTTAGTCTTATTCATGTATATTCATTTGTAGCATTGCTTCTTTGTACATTTTGTATTGAAAAGTTCAAATCATTATTCTCCACACTAAGGGCGATGATTTTTTTGAAGTTTATATTGTTGTCCTATGTCCACATCATCTTCTGTGTATGTATCCTTGTTTCGATCATTTATTCCTTTGCAATAATGTAATATTCTTAGAATATTACATGTTAGAAACTTTTTCTTCCTCTTCATTGTGAGTATATTTTGATATTCTCTTACTGATATTAATTTATTAGTAGATATTGAGTTGACAGAATTGCATATAATTGTTTCCTTCATGTTACATCCTTCAGTGGTATATAGCCTCTTGAGAAACAACAAATTTCCAACAATATTAAAATCTTGAAATTATATAGCTTTGGTATTCTAATATGAAGGGGATAAATCGACTTGCTTCATGAAATTGCAATTGCTCAATGCAGAGGCACTTTTGATAATAAGCATATCATTCATATGCTTGAAAAATAAACCAGAATTAATTGTTGACAGCTTCTTCTTGGTACTTTTGAATTAACACGATATTGGTACAGAACATATTCGGACATCTGCATTATACGCCGCATAGGATTTTGTTTCTCTCCTTTCACTCAATAGTTCAATGGTAAAATGTTCCAAGATAGAATGCTCATCTGCAAAATAAAAATTGTCCTTTACAATAAAACAAAAATTAATATAATACTAACAGTATATACTATAAATTATTACTTATTAGGAACATATTTATCAATTTGGTACATTAATTGTTAAATTACTCATCAAATAAGCATTTATGTAACATTTTAACCAAGAAACAAATCTGAGGTAAGATATATAAAAACGTTTTGATGCTTACCAAATGTCAAATATTTGCACAAACTAAGCATTTTATGGACCAAAATTTATAATTGGACATCTAGATATATGAAATCTACCGAGATTGATGATAGCCATGACATCTTTGTGTACAACATTAACATGTGTACTAACCTGCAAAGGGCATAAAAAGATTAGAAAACTGCAGTCAAAGTATAATTAGATGTTCTAAACAGTGAAAAAATTTGTAAAATACTTTAATGCAGTACTTACACTAATTTTTGCAAGATTCTTGTTGTGTGCATTCAATAAACATTCATCGCTCAATTTGAGTCTGCTAATTATATTTGGATATTGCACTCTTATGTACTTTGTCTCCCAGGAACATGAACGTTGCTCTGCTAATCCATACGAGTGCCGACCAGTAGATATTCCCATTCTGTCTAGATCAATTAATAAATTTTTAATTTTCTCAATTGATAACAACTAATCTGTCATGCATAAACAGTATTGAAATATATGCTCGCAGTATTCTTGTTAATATTAAAAAGTGCACTCATGTACCTGTGCAATATCCGTATGAGTGTTGAGAAGAATCAACAATTTTGTCTGTTCTATTTTTATCCATATGAGGTACACAGTTGTGTTTCTCAGAATGATTCGTCATATGCCTATATCAGTATCAATCTGAAATGAAAGAGATAATAAGTAGAGATTATATTATATATGCAAACAACATTTTCAAGTGTTATTTAATAAGACACTAATGAGATCATTTTACTATTCCAACATTAGCTGATAAATAGCGACAATTTGTTAAAGGGAACTTAGGCCATTTAGGACCAGCGACTCTATTTCAGGACCCCAGAAGAACATCACATGTAATGATGAAATTGTAGATGGCTTTACTCGATCAGTTCTGTATCGCGTAGCGAGCAAGCATGAGCAAAAACTCAGCTTTACTGCCAAAAAATAAGTGTCCTATAAATTACCAAGCCCAAAATGTTCATGAATGGCATCACCACAGAGAACCCGCACAAACTGCCACTCTTTTTCGCGAAAGAAACCTCGACGATTCACGATCTAACGTCGCGCTACCATCGATCAAACAAACGAAATTAACTGGAAATTTGCGACGAAAGCGAGATATTACCGAGTTTCCTCAATCTGGGTCACACAGCATCGAGCTTCTTCGTCCCTCGGCCGCAGCATCGTCGCGGCGATCTGGTCCGGGCAAACACCTCAAAAGCGATCCGGTCGACATCGCGAACGGTCGGTCGTCGGGGTCAGCCAAGTAGCTGCGACTGCACGACGGAAAAGAATAGAAATAGAAATTGATATAACAGCACAGGGAGCGCAGGGTGGGGCATGCAATGGCTGGGTAGCGTCACCGACGCTATCTCCATTTCGTCGCTTCGAGAGCGTTCTCTCGCGCGGCCAGCGTCCTCGCGTTATCGATAGCGCGCGTAACGAGCATCCGTTGAAACGACCGGCGCTTCATTGTCCCGTGTCATTCTTTCGTCGCATTCTCGGCGAATGACGCTAACGAATGTTACATTCCGCTCTCACAGCACGGGAACTTTTCAAATCGCCGCGACCGCCCCGGAATTCCAGTTCCGGCGAGCGACGACGACGTGGTCGGAAAATGCTCCTGATTTCACCGTCGTCTAAGTAACGAGCCGTGCGGCAATTTATCTAACGAGGAAACGCGTCGCTGAGCGATCCATTCCGCGAACACGGTCGGCGTGGTTTCGCTCTTCTGTCGCGCGCGTTACCAACTCGCTTTCTCTCTCTCTCTCTCTCTCTCTCTCTCTCTCTCTCTCTCTCTCTCTCTCTCGCGCTCTGTGCCTCCAACTCCCCTCCCGCCTCTGCACTGCCTCCCTCCTCGATCGCTACCTCTCTTTCTCTCTCGCTACTCTCTCCCTCTTTCTCGTTATCTTATCGTTCAAAGGCATTTCCAGTCCGAATCGCGGCCGTATTGTCTCGACTCGATAATTGAAAAATAACGGACCGCGTTCTCGGCGTGGCGTTCGCGCGGCCACGGGCGAACCGCGAAGCGAGATATGCAAATCACACGGCCTGCGAAATTCGCTCCGCAGCAGGCGTCGTTGATACCCTCCCAGGCCAGCCGCGCGCACGCCAGGTATCCTCGGCACCGGTTGCATTACGACGCTCGGGGACCTTCGCGAGCGCGTTACAACGTGGAATAATCGATAAGGAATGGGTGATTTTGCGCCGTTCGATTGACAGTCGCGACGCACCGCGAACGCGAACGCGTGAGAGAAGCACGTCCGGCTCGATCGCGAAAATGCCCGAGCCGGAACTGAACAACGCGAATGACGCCGTGTGCGTTCCTCGGCGAGATCGAGAGCATCTCGCCTCGTCGGGGGTCAAGAGATACGCGCTGTCAATCCAACGTTCGTCAATATAACGTTTCTTCCTGAAGAACGATACACAAGACGTCGCACACACTCTGTCTCGCGCGATCTCCGCGTGAGAGGATCGCTTTTCACCTTCTCGCACTTACCTGTCTTCTCTTGTGCCTTCTGATAGTCGAATTCCAGCTTGCGTAAGCGTGGCTTTAATATATACTCTCTTGCTTCGCAGCAACGCTGATGACGCTCTCTCCCGATCGGTCGGCGTCATTAACGCTCGACTGCAACGATTGCGGCCGCCGAGGTTCGCAGGGATGATTCAAACCTGATATGGCCAGCTGATGCAAGGACACCACGGACCAAGGTACCGCACGTTGACCGCCTGTGCGTCGATTCAACTTGCCTGCTGGCCTCTACGCCTCGGCCAATCCGCAGCGTTGAATGACGTAGCCGATGCGACGTCGTTGCCCTCTACCGTTGCGACGCTCAACCCTTCTTGGAACGCCAGCCCCGAACTTGCTCTCGTGAGAATTCTCTGACCAACGGCCGATCAAAGCTGCTGCTGCTGCTGCTGCTTGATACGCTGCTTGATATTTTTTACAGATAGACAGAATTATCTAGCTACATTTTCGTGTCCCGGCATGGTTGATAAGGTAGCTGCGGGTCCTCAAGTGGAACAAAAAATCATGACATCAAAATAACGAGAAAATGACCGAATCATGATGAGAAAAAGAGTTTTCCTCATCATTTTGATGTCATTTTGATGTCATCGTGATTTTCTGTTCTACCCACTGAAATAGATACTAACTAGAACGAGCGTTGGCGTACGATTCTATTGTTTGCATGCGAATAGAGAGGGAGGTTCTCTGGTTTCTCTTCTATCCTTGTCTGACCCACAGTGTCGTCAAGAGTGGGGATAATGAGGTACAGTCAATGAAAAAGTTAGTCGCTGAAAGTAAAGAGTGAAAGAAGTGAAAGAATGAAAAAGTGAAAGAAGAGCGAGAAATGGTAAATATGCACATTAGGTCAACCCCCCTCAAAAGTTGATGACCTTGATATATGTTGTTAAGGACATGTTCCTGAGTGTTATGCAAAAAGTTGCAGTCGTCGCTCATTGTTTATTAAAAAGTTGTTAACAAAAGAACTTTCAAAAGTAGAAAATTTTCCGACACCATGTATGTGTTTAAGAAATTAATACGTATTATATACGTGCTATATACGGTATATTTTAATTGTATTTGATCGTTTCTGTTATATTTATTGGTAAATATTTACCTATGCGGACCATCTCCCAATCTCAAAAATTTTAGTTGTATGTTATGTAGATCATCACTCTGAGTAATGCTGGAAGGTTTTAGGCGGCGGTCACTGTTTATTAAAAAGTTATTAACAAAAAAAGTTTGATATATACGTAAGTTGCAAGTGCGTTTAGCACGGCGCGCTACGCGCGCCCCACCCCCGTTACCCGCTCCAACCCTTCCTCATCCCTTTCCTCTTGTTTGTCTTCAATATTTACCCGAAAGTGATTGAAAACAAACAATGGAAAGGGGGTGAGGAGGGGCAGGTGAGATGGGAGTGGGGGGAGTAGGGGGTGGGGCGCGCGTAGCGCGCCGTGCTAAACTCACTTGCAACTTATGTATATGTCAAACTTTTTTGTTAATAACTTTTTAATAAACAATGAGCGACGGCTGCAACTTTTTGCATAACACTCAGGAACATGTCCTTAACAATAATATATCAAGGTCGTCAACTTTTGAGGGGGTTGACTAATGTGCATATTTACTCGAGAAATTATAAAAGTTATAAAAAGATTGTTGATAGAAAATTAAAAGAAAATAGCATTCGCAACGTCAAATGGACCCTACTTATAGATATATATATAGAAACCAATTTAGCTTTTGATTCGGACTGTGCTAGATAAAGACACAGTGCTATTTTAGAGACCCAGTGACGCTCTCTCTCTCTCTTTCTCTCTCTCTCTCTCTCTCTCTCTTTCTCTCTATTCGCACCTCAGACCTAGCGCTCGTTCCAGTTAGTATATATTTCAGTGGTTCTACCTGGATTCATGGCTCGATGGAGGAAACGCTGTGAGAATTTACATGCTTATAATATGTGTATGATCGCGTTTCTCATCGCGTTGTGCACTATTATGGATATGTTGTAAAAAATGTACATTGTAAAATGTACATTCTACATTATTGACACTACATTAATGACATTATAAAAAATGTCATTTTTTTTTATTAAGAAGTGATCTTTCGATATGTATGATAAATTAACGAGCAAATCTGTGTGCAGCAGTATGAAATTGATGAACAGCTTATTGAAGAATGCGTACTATTTCTTTATTTCAGGCACCCAGACAGAACAGAAAATCATGAGACATCAACGTGACGTTAAAATGATGAGGAAAACTCTTTTTCTCATCATGATTCGGTCATTTTCTTGTCATTTTGATGTCATCATGATTTTTTGTTCTACTTGGGCATTAGGTTAAAATACTTGAAGGTAATTGAGGTTTAAAGAACTTGTATTTGTGGGAATATCCAAGATACATCGTAGGATTTTGGTCACTAAGCCACTATGGGTTTAAATTAAACGCCCATTTTTCACATAAGCCCAAGATAATAAAGACATATGATATATATATATATATATATGCATATTATGTATATATCGCGTTCAAACATTCGCAATGGCCGGTATTATTTTAGTAAATATTTCTATTCCCTTGAGGAACACATCTTTATTCAAACATTCGTTGGAGCAGTGGAAAAGCATAGTCATGTTGTTTATCGGCGCAAAGTTTAGAACGGGTATGCCCAACTGCAAGAGAGAAATATTTCAAGTGTAATTTACTTTAAAACCAGTTGCTGTAAAACAAGAATAAAATTGAAGGAATTGTCAAGAACATTAAATTTTGAATTGAATTTTGTGTAAACCAAAATAGCAAACGTCTTGCTCAGTTCATCTCTCATCTCTTATCTCGTTTCTTGTTTTATTAAATATATATACTATCTTATAATATAAATATCTTTTTATAATATATATATTTTATGCCGATAACATGCCTTCAACTTGAGATATTTATCCCATTTTGTTCATTTTGAAGAGACTGTTCTTTTTTCTAGAGAAGATCCTAATTATACATTCACGAGACGAAAGTTAGCTTACCCAGTCGGAACTGTAACGTTGATTCGACGTCGATGAGGGTTGAATTAACGTTGATTTAACGTTTTATCGACCATTTCGACGTCAAATTAACGTCGAATTAACGTTATGGTTCTGACTGGGTTATGATAAAAAAAAGCAAAGCTCAATGCTTACCGCGCGTACGAAGCGAGCATCCGTAGTGCCTGGAAGAACAAACGGTTTGAGTTCACTACCCATCTCAGAAAAGACGTTCTTAAAGGCCATCCAAAACGGATTAGAATCATCGATCCTTGTACCCTTGACTTGAGGATTCTTCTCAACGAAGGAATAGCTTACACCCGGCCCGGCTTCTTCACACCAGCGTTTAACAATAGCCTCGAATTCATCGGGATCGCGTGAAGGCGGTAACCGAACGTCGATTACGGCTGTGATCTCCTGAGGTATAACGTTATTTTGCAATCCACCCTGAAAAAGATACATTTAGTGAATTAGAGAGAACTGTGTTGGGGCATTAATTGATTAGAAAATTTTGCTTGGCTAAAATAACCAAAAATAATCTCGAGTAAATCGTGTAGATCGAGTAAATTTAATAATTTTGAAATTTCCAAAGATCGATAAGTTGACAAAAGTTAGGGCACTATTATAGTAATATATTCTTGAGAGTAAATAAAGTAAAAAAGTCTAATACTATTTTTTTCTTTCGACGAATAGTTAGCGAGATATCGTAAGTTAAATGTTGAAAGAGTTACCAAGTTTTCCTTAAATATTTAAAAAAATATTAGGCAAATGACAAAATGTTTCAGACAAAAGTTGTTAAAACTAATTAGTAGAAAAAGAAGATATAATAAAAAATTGGGCTTTCCATTTTAAAAAATTAAGTTGACCTTCAAGACTGACCTTGAAAATGCCGTCCAAATAAAAAACTGATATTGCCATTTCCTTTCCCCTTCGAAATCATGGAACACGTGTTTTAGCTTTTTTTAATATCTTTCATAATTTTCGAGATTTTTTACCTGTTACGTTTGAAATTCAACACCCTGTATACATTTTATCTTAGGTACTACTACTAACCTTGACAATTGTAAGATTCAACGCTGTTACGTCACTAAAATCATGCTTTTGTGACATTCTGGCTTTCTCCGATGCTCTGAAGTCCATCATGCGATCAATCATGACTCTGAATTTTTCCCCAGCTGTGTTGTCATATAACAACGAGCCATGGCCGGTAATACCTTCGCATCTTATACTCAGCACCAACTTTGTCTTTTCATCATAGGCAAACAAGAAGGTTGGAGTATTGTTATCGCCACAGCATTCGTCTAACATGAAGCTGACATTCAGGGACTTGAAGTGTTCACTACGCACGTACTCCTTCATCCCGAATATTCCGCCGATTTCCTCGTCTGGCACGAAGGAAACATGAACAGTTCGCGACACACGTTGACCATTCAACTTGAGTCTGCGAATCGCTTCCAGGTATTGTATTCCTAAGGCCTTCGTGTCCTGAATACCACGAGCGTAAATGTCGCCCTTTTCGTCCATGTGCGCGTCAAACGGCGGATAAGTCCATTCATACTGGATCAATTATATTTATATGTTACAATTATAGCATGCACAAGTCCAATTTATAATAATTGCATTCCGAATTCCGCAAGATGCAACAGCAGATGAACAAGGATTAAACGATGAGTTGCGTCGGCAACTCGGTAAATTGCTGAGATTGCTTAATTTTTATAAAGATACAATGTTTAATGCTTTAATTACATAAAATTAATTGATCCCTAATAATAAGGTCTATTCACCTCGAAAACTGGCACAACGTCCATGTGACTGTTCAAGAGAATCGATGATTTGGCCGGATCTGTTCCTTCCCATGTGATGATCACTACCGGTTTGTCGGGGCGCACATAGTGAACATGGATCGGCAATTGAAGAGAAGCCGCCTGTCTTCGTAGAAACGCCACGCAATCCTCTATAAAACGGAAGAAGCGAGAACAAAACGCCGAATATATTATTTATTTTAGAATCGGGCCAAGAGATATTTTGTGATATGTTATAGGCCAGCAAAACGGTCACAAAAGCGATCCCCGAGACGCCCTTAAGGTTGCCGAGAATTTGCTTTCGCATTAACGTAACTAGTAAATTTTGCACATTCTCTGCTGTACATTTTGTCGGCAGACTGCTAATAAAAATATAGCAAACTGTTGGCAGAAAATAATGACAAACGGACAACAGGAACAGGAAGCAGAACTTATTGTTCCATTTAAATATAATATCTACTAATGGAATATATTGCGGATTCTACATGGTTTTAAATTTCACGTTATGCCAGCAGACTCTGTCGACAGAACACGAGCTTAATGCTGATGCAAATGACTATGAATTTGATGATACGGATGATTATGATATTCTGGTCAAATTTATACTGGCAATCCTCTAGCATATATTAAGATTTTACTTATTCAATTAGCTCACCATAATCAATGTCCGGATGTATCGTCGGTATCCGCAAGTATTCGCGGAGAATTTCTACAGCTCTTGAATTCAAATCGTCCGACGATCTTTCAGACTTCGAGTTCTTGTACATCTTGCGTCTGAGACTCAACTACATCGAGTAAGGCGGGAAAAGGAATTTAAGAGGACGATTCTAGCCTAAAAATTTATTGTTTACTTAATTATATGTAAAAAAATATCGACCTATATATGCAAGACCTGTAAATTTCTTAATGTATTAATTTATCGTGTATCAATTATCGCTGACACTGAGTGAGAATTACCGCCCATGCTGTAATGTTCTTATCACGAGTATATTAAGTTCATAAAGTACGCGATAACATTGTGTATAATCTTAGATGATTAATGAGTGAGCCGAACAGACATAAAATATAACTATTACATAACACAGAAATTGGGTGCAATATAGCAATGTTACACGCACGTACGTATACACATACACACGTTGATTCGCTAATATATATATTTTATTAATCGTCGCACATCCAATGTGTGTGTGTTGTTATGTTATTCAACGTTATGTTATTCGATTCAATTTTTTCAATGTAGATATGTTATAATGTTCTGCGAATGCTACAAGAATACAAGAATTATATAAATCTCAAAAACATCATCGAAGTCACTGGGATCGCCACGTGTCACTCAATCATCAAGTCAAACAGTACGGTCAGAATATGGGTCACATGTCACATGCGTGACTGCCGTTCGAGCCACTGACGTAATCGACGTTATTGAGAAACAAATACTAGGAGGTGCAGGTGCAAGTGCAAGTGCAGGTATGTGTAGGTAACCTCGATCGCAGCGGTCGCGAGACGTGAGAAAGTGAGGAATATATTTCTTTTTATATACGCACACTGGCGTTCCTTGAGTAATTAATTTAACGTTGAAATAACGTTGAATAATGTCGCATAAATGCAACTGCGTATGAGTGAGAGATTTATTTTTGCTGCAACGTTCACGTTATGTTACGCGTTATATTCTGTTATGTTGCAATAATGTTACTATTGTATATTCGTCTTTGCTGAGAGTTCAAGAGAGTTTATGTCTATTCTTTAATTTAAAAAATCACTCGGTGATTTGACAATATAAAAACCTTTATCTAATCAGATCGAACATTTTTCATCATTTTCGATGATATTGTAAGATACAGACGAGGGAGGACAGCACCAGTCTGTTCCGGGAGGAGCCACGGGAGAAAGACCGGTCCTAGGAGATCAGACTCGTCGGATGGAGAAGAGGGTAAAAGGAGACGCACAGAGAAAGACGGGGCTTTTTGCCTTTGGCTTTTTAGCTTTAGCCTTTTGCCGATTAATGTCGAGACGAATAATAGAAATTAGAGTCAAGTCGAAGGAAGAGTCGTAGAGCGTTAAGCTTTTGTAAAGAGATATATTTAATATAAGCTGCGGTGTCGGTTACTATTGTATTATTGTTTATTTAAAATATACATACTTATATTCTTGTTCATAATAAGAAGAGTTCACATTAATCGCTCGGAACCTAAATATCCTGAACATCCCTCTCTTATAAAGGAAGAGGATCAAGAAGAGGAGAGACAGAAAGATAATAGAATAGAGAAATAGAGGATCTCTCTTTTTAAATCTTACACTTGTGACAGTTAGATTTGTGGATATATTACTCGAAAAACCATCAAATTCTAAGAAACTCCTTTCATCGGAAAGGGATAGATTATTTGTTTCTTGTACAGTGCAGGGAACAGCGTTGTAGAAATCTAAATCTCCTGCTCATTAACCGAAGCGGAATTATTCGATATTACATTCTGATCGTTATTTATAACGGAATTATTTGTAATAATATCCAAATTAGCTGTAGGTTCTTCGTTAAAATGTAATGGAAACAAATCAACACTTTCTCGAATTAATTTACGACAATACCTCGTTGAAAAATTCCACAAAAATTTACGCTTTGGCATGACTAATTATGTGTATTTTAATATGCAACTGATGTAATCCTATAATTTTGTACTTTAATATGCAACTGATGTAATCCTATAATTTTGTACTTTAATATGCAACTGATGTAATCCTATAATCATGTACGAATAAAAAATATTTTCTACGAAATATGGATTATACTTCCCTTTTCTCCTTGTCCGCCTATAGTATTGTCCAATAATTGTCACCACTTCATCAACAATTGTCGTTTACATTACTAACAATAAGTATGTGCGTTTACTACAGTCCACAACAGAAGATTAAACAATCGAAGGTTGTCGGAGAAATTATAACAAGAGCGACATGTCACTCCAGCTTGGAGACACAATCATTTGTTTCTTCAGCATTCTCCGATTAATCTGTGTTTAGTTAGTGTGTATATGTGTGTGTTAGCAATAGAATTTGTTACACGTTGCTGCGATTAAGAACAGGATTTATTATAAGTGGTGAGTATTATTGGACAATGCTATAAAACAAGGAGAGTTGTCAAAAGCAATAAACTAGTTGTCAAAAGCAATAAATAAGGTATACTTACTATTGGCTTCTGGATGGATGCCGCGTCAACGTTGAGCATTTTGCCGACGTTTCGCTAATATTGCGGTTTGCATGATCATGACGAAACTGCTCCGATACAGTCTTCCGCAGATGAATATTTTTTTATCAAAAAATATTAGTCAAATAAAAAAATGTTTCAGATAAAAATTGTTCAAATTAATTGGTAAAAAAAGACGATGTAGTAAGAAATTGGGGTTTTCATTTGAAAATTTCGAGTTGACCTTCAAATAATCCTCAAAATCAAGTTCAAGGTCAATTTCAAGATCATCAAAAGATAGTACTTCATGATCCCTGCAACTTTTATTCGAGTCATTTTCCGTAAAAGTGCGTACTTCTGGAGATAATAAGGAGGTCTGATACTTTTCAATAACCCTGTATAAAACTGCATGGATTATTGTGAAATTCCTTGACAATTTACAATCTATTATAATGTGATTTCCTTTTCTTGTTGTTAATTTTTCCACACGATATCTTTTACTATGCGAATTATAAGAAGACTTGAAGAGTTAATATCTAAGAAATAATGTAAGGGTAATAATAAAAGTAAAATAATAAAGTGAGGAAATTAGATTGACCTTTATGCATTACAATCTAAAAGAGTTGACATCTTTATAACGTTACTCGCATATGTATTTCTTCATATAATTTCAGACGATGTCGAGTGGTAGATTCATTGTAGCAGAATTTCCTGATGGTGTCCAAGTAATACCAAAATTTTGGCTATACTCCATTCTGAGTAACTTGTACAAAATAAAAATGGAAACATTAAACAGTATGAAATATTGTCTATTGTTATTATTATAAGCAAGATACTACATGTCCCAAACACAATGTTACATGTAATGTACATGTAACATATATGTTATATAACAGTTACATTGTTGAGTAGGAAGTTACAACTAACATGTATGTTACATTTAGCATTGTGTTTGCTGAGATCTAATCTCTTCTGCAATGTGGTATTTATATATAATTATTTTTATTATGTTACAGATATTTGTAATTGCAATTTGTAATTTGACTATGTTATAATAATGTATATTATTTTATTTTCAGCTCTTTTTACTTCATAGCTGTTGATAAAATTTAATTTATTACAAAGTATGCTAAAAACAATTCTAAGCTCTTACTCAGAATACTTAGAAAATTCTATGCCTATTTGTAATAATTTGTAAAACTATTAATATATATAAATATATATTCACCTTCGAAGTTCGTTGTATGCATTCATTCATTCATTCAATTTATGGCTCTGAGAAGATTTATTACACTCCTTCTCTTACGCCAATCACAATTTTGGAAATAAAAGAGAAACAAGAACAACGCGTACGCAGTCCCCAAGATAAAAAATATGCGTAGTTACGGGAACTACATCCAAACGCCGCAGAAGAGAACAAAAGACTTTGTTCGTTGCATGCATTATATGTAAAGTTCAACATAAATGACATCAACAAGTTTATTCTTCCCCAGTGGTGCGATTATGTAACTAGTTATTAGCCCCATTTTTCTCATTTATCGCTGTACTGAAAAATGTATCCAACATCTTCGACAGTTTTTGAGATTTGAGCCCAGCCCCATCGACCAAAGACCGGGAAATTTAAACGTATCTTAAGATGTATCTATCATAATAAAAGACATTTTATAGTCTATACATCATAAATGCAATATAAATAATGATTTTAGTTAATTTAGTCGATTTTATTAGATTATGAAGTGATAAATTACATAATAATTATACTTACATAATATATAATTACATAATACTTACATAATAATTATAATTACATAATAATATGTAAAGAGAAGTTTGGAGTGAATAAATGCAATGCAATACAAAATATCCAACAATAAAGAAAAATATACGTATATTAAAATATACATTAAATTTGGAACATAAATACTGTCTTTTAATAAACGTAATTTAACAAACGCGAACATAATTAAGACTAACAAAAAATAATACAATTTAACAAATGCAAGCATAATTAAGGCGAAATAAATATAAATGTTAAAAATAATAATAAACATTATGTCCATAACAAAACTTGTTGACCTTTAAAAAGAATAATTTTTGTTAAATCATGCCTGATGAAAGTATGGTGTATTTTTAATATGGTAGTTTTGCCGTAATGAAACAATTTTATTTTAAGAAATAAAAACAGAATTGATTTTATTAATATAAATTTATGGTTTTCCATAACACTTAACACTTCCATAAATTCATGTGTATGCATATCAAAGTTTATAAATAATATAGATATATTAATATTTCTTAAAGTATTGGATATCATCGTATGAAAGCATCGAAACTAGTCAACTGATTATTAAATCATACAACATTCAATTTTGTTCGCGAAAAAAATAAGTAACATTATAATCATATTTGTAATATTTCACCCTAACACAAAATATAAAAATGAGATTTAAATATTAAATTTTTAACTTACCTATAGCAAGGCACAGAATGTCTCTCTGTTTCCTTTTTGCTGTGATATTTGGATGATTTGCAGCGTTGTACAAAACAATAAATAACCATGTTCACACTTTTGTTGTATTAATTATCACGTTAATATCGCGTTAGACCAAACACTTGATAAATGACAGAATTTTAGTTCTAGGAATTCCTCACTTAGTCGATGGAGGCGCGACACATCTTGGCTACCAGTCTGAAGTTAGCTACCCATACAGCACAGCACCGTTGTAGCAACATTGCAGCAACGTTGTTTTGCAAGATTGCAACATTGCAGAAACGATGCGAAATGTTGCTGCAATCTTGCAGTAGAGGTAAAATGTCCGCTTGCAACAATATTGCAATGAAATATTGCAGTAACATTGCAGTGTAACATTGCAGCAACATTTGTAATATAATTTATATGCAATAATGCTTTATATATATATATATACAGGGTGTCCGGAATGTGATCATTAATATTTTGTGTACTGGTAGAATTCGTTAAAACAATTAAAAGAGTCCTGTGCCATTTTACAATTTTTTCAACATTTATTCCGTAATTAATTAAAATGTGTAAACGAGAAAGCGACAGGACGGGCTCTGTGTATAAGAAAATGGCTTACCTCGCGCGGCGAGAGGCAACCGTAAGCGACAAGAGGCGTGCGCGCGCGATGAGGAGTGAGCGAGCGCAAACGACGAATGAGCGAGCGCAAGCGACAAGAGGCGGCCGCCCAGCGCTCTCTACGCACTCATTGGCTCA